TAGATGTGCCACAAGGATCAGTTTTGGGACCTCTCTTGTTCAATATATACATAAATGACATGTTTATGTTTATATCAAATAGCCAAATATGCAATTATGCTGATGACACAACGCTTTATGTCATCCACCAAGACATTAAGCAGGCTATTAAAACACTAGAACAAGACGTAGTTATTTTGAGAGAATGGTTTCAAAATAATTATATGAAAATGAATGGGGACAAATGCCACCTTATAAATTTTGGTAAAGGCAGCAATGACACATCTCTGAAAATAGATAAAACGATAATTAAACCAAGTAAAGAACAAAAACTTCTTGGAATAAGTATTGATAATAATTTGTCGTTCAAAGGACACGTACAATCGATATGCAAAAAGGCCAGCCAAAAGCTACATGCTTTATCCCGAATCTCCAACTTCATGGATGACAGAAAAGTAAAACAGACCATGCCCGTCTTCATTGTATCACAATTTAGCTACTGCCCTTTAATTTGGATGTTTTGTGATCGACAGATGAACAACAGAATAAACAGAATTCATGAAAAGTCTTTGCGTCTTGCTTATGATGACTATGAATCAAGCTTTCAAACTCTTCTTGAAAAAGACAACTCGACGTCTATCCATGATAAAAATCTGCAATTGCTTCTTACAGAAATATATAAAACTTTACATAATCTCAACCCAAGTTTGATGAAAGAAATCTTTACTGAAAGAAATACATGCTATAATCTTAGAAATATATCCCGAATATCGCTATCAAAACCAAAATTGTTATGGTATAGAAAGTACAATCTTTATGGGATTCAAGCTCTGGCAAGAGTTTACAAATGACATTAAAATATCTTCTAGCCTCGCAATATTTAAGGAAAAGATTGAAACTTGGAAAGATGCTTCGCCTACTGTAAATAATTTTATAATAATAAAAATAATAATAATTTAGATGTGGGATTCGTTGTTCTCATTTTTATTACAATTTAATAGTTTCTTAATTTTTTTGCTTCGAGTACTGAAGTTAATTAATTTTCTCTGACTGTCCAATACTCGTTTCTTATAGCCAGTTTCTTATAAAACAATCAGCGTACTTCCTTTTATCAAAACAATCATCGCTCTGGTCGCGCGACTTGGCGAAATCGAATCAGCAAGTCAGCGAATCGGCGAACGCGACCAGTCACCCAGTAGTTCAACTGAGTTGAACTACCCAGCGAATGGTCTCGCATTTGCAGCGAATGAGGAACTTCAATTTGCATATGCCCCAACGTGCATTCGCTTAGTCACGCGACCAGAGCGAATAAAGTGGAAACCTGCCTGAAGATACAATGCTATTCCTGACACATTCGGGTGATGCGAAGTTGTCTTTGTGTTTGATTTGATCATTTACTTAGGACTCGGCTCTATTAAATGATGATATGCACTCCCTATAGCTCGAGTCAAAGAACCAATGAAAAGGATTCGAGTTATACGTAGTTACATAACCCGAACCACCCTGTTCTATACACGAAAAGCGTGTACAGCTCTGCCTGTACGGCATCTAGCACTTTTTGAAAACGATGAAGAGATATTTTTCCATCTCTTGCAATTCTGGTGCACCGTGTTATTCCAGAAGCAATGAAAAAACTGGTCCACCGGTGAACATTCTGTGACCTCATCTCATTAAATTCATCGTTCTGAAAGCCAAACACTTTGGCTGGTCCCCCGTTTGCGTTAATCTAAAGTGCTGCACCTATCTCGAAAAAAGTTGCCGTTGTGGGCAATATGTTTACTGTTTGACTGAATCCTTTAACCGTGAATGTTTCTCTACACACATACAATATGTATGTAGTCTGCTAATTTTCATGGTTGTTGCATTGTGTCGTTGAAAGGAAACTAGCTTAATTTTGAAGACCCCCCCTCATTTTGTAATTAGGTTAGCAAAATCCTGAAAGAACTTCGTTTATTTGAGTCAAAACTACATCCTGGAACAAAAGTGATTTCTAGTGACTCAAGTGGCCTAAAAACTTTCAGTCATACATTACGAATTACGAAGAGCAGGATTTAGGTAATTTAAAGAATCGTTCTGAGAAGAATTGTTGCTGGTGTTACAAAACATCGTTACCTGATATTAAAGCATTGATTCTTTCAGCACCTTGGTGTTTTGAGAAACAACCGTTGGATGTTGATGCATGGACTCAGAACGAATTTCTGAAGGAAAGAACATTGAATGCTGTTGATATGGAATACAATCATGAAAGATCTACAGCTTGAAGGGAAGAATTTCGTTATAAGTTAACTACGGATTCACACTGACATAGAATGCAAGTACCCTTATTACAATCATTATTCGCTGCTGTAGTTATCACCATTAAAGAAATCGCATTATTCTAAGATTGTAGCAACGACAAGAAATTGCAATGCTTTGTTAAGGGATTACGATTTGCGAAAGGAATCGGGTCAATTCATATGAATAATTTAGATGACGCTTGTAAATGGTTTGTTAATGTTTGTTGGTTCGAATGAGCTGGAGCATAAGCCTTCACCGTCAAGTTTGACTGCAAAAACACCGCTTGTCAAAATTTGTCAGTCGTAATCTCAATTTCAAATGCAACGGCGCCTTTTAGGTGCTACATCCCTTGGGCTGTTTCGTTCGCATTCTTTCTGCCTCTGTCTTTCGTACGCGAAAAGACTAACCCTCTTTTCAGAAAGTCTTTCGCGCGCGCAGACCTTGCAACAAATGGGAAAAAGTGTGTTTTTGATCAAATGAAACTAGGGAAACGCGCGTTAGTGAGATTTGTGGAACCGCGCGGCGAACAATGCAATTTTAGTTGGAGTACGGCCTTAAAGTAAGACAACCTTGAGTTAGACAGCCTTGACGAGAATCTTTAAGACCATCACTGTGGGAATTTTTGGGAAGTTGCGCCTATATCGAGGGCTTCAATTCAACCATTTCCGAGCACGTGCAAGGCTTTAACATCAGTACTAACAGCTCATGACACGTCTTCCTAAAGTGACATACCCCTTTTAAATCACATAAAACTATATTTTGGTGTCACTTGGGTCATTCGAGTAAATTTTCCGAGGTTTCACCGAATAGAATAGGTTAAATGTCTTTGAACAGATCCATTGCTCTCTATCAAGTTCTATTTATATGAATGATGGTAACAGAATTAAAAAGCACAATAGGAAATGCACCTTATGTCAAAGATTATTTATTTTTTCTCTAGCCATGGACTACATTTGCAATAAAATAGCAACCCATCGACCACCTTTCTTCTCATTTGGAGCTAATGACCTCTAAACAAAATTTTGCCAATCACATTGGCGTATCGAAATTTGATTATACATACAAAGTTCTTAAAGCATATATATCGCCACGAACAATACATATCATAGAGTTGTCAATTGCTTAGCAAAGTGCATTAAATATGCTTAAATTGCGTTGAAAAGAATTTGCTATCCTTTATAATTAATAGGATCGCCCGAAGCGACTGTTAAATAATATACTATGTTTTGCAGGATGGTTTTTACATTGTTTTATTTGAGAATCTTGCTATAAAAATCATACCTAATTTCATGATGAAAAACCTCATATCTATTTTAGAATCCCACAAAAGTGCAAATGACCCGCAAAACACAGTTGTTTTCGATGCAGTCTTTTATAAAAATACGAGACCAATTCTCGACAGTTGTTGCTTTTAGTCCTGTAGGACAATACAGGCATTAATTTTTCATATTTCATTCCCTATTTACCTAAAAATACTCCCAAAAGTTATAATTCCTATTCACAATTGATAATATCTTTAGAATATCGCTCTTTTAGAATGAAGTTTCTATTTTAAGGTAGCATTCTACAACTACCAACTGTTGCTTTTGAAAAAAACGTTATCAATACCTTTCCGCATTTTCTGTTATAGCACCGCTTTCCTGTAACTTGGTTAACTTGGTACGACTGTGACTTTGATGGGCATTTTCACATCCAAGCTATTACAAAAAATTTGATATCTGACTTTTAATAAAACCTTGATAACCTTAAAAAATATGTCTTCTAAAGTAAAAGCAAAAACTCCTGTAAATTGACGACCAACTTTTAGTTAAGTGGATAAAAATACCCAAACATCTATATTAGCTTTTAGTCATTTCTTTCTTATCGTTTGCTATTTAAGTCACTTCTTTCTTGTCGTCAAAAGCATTCCCTAGTTAGAGTTCCGTACATAAAAAAATTGTGCAATTCCACTTAAGGTTCATTGCTTAACTTTTTAATAAGTCTAGCACTCAAAAAAATATCTGAAAGTTTTATTTCGAGATGATCTCAGATTTCCAAGACTTTTTAAATCGATGACTGCTGAATTTTCTTGATCTTGTCGCAGATTCGTGTCATCACTTAAGTAGTTTTTCACTTGGCACTTCTCAGAGAAGACATTTCACAGACGGCCAAAATGCGTTTAGTTCTGGTAAATCTGTTTAGTGCAACATTCTTCCAATCAGTGGCTGAGATTGGGCTTAATAGCCAAAAATGAATTCTCAGATTTTCTCAGGAAAGATGCTTGATCCATTTTTTTATACATATCGGCAACTTTACGTGATGCAAACGATTTGATAAAAATATTCCATTATCCTTCATATTAAATTTTTATCTGATCGCTATCTTGTTAAGTTAGCCTTATTTTGCAATATTACCAGTTAGCCTTATCTTAAATTGGTAAAATCGCAGAAATAAAAGCAACAAATGCAGCCGCTGATAATGACTTAGAGAAATTGATGGAAAGAACAAACAATTTCTAGCGGATCAATAAAATTAAAGGGTTTTGAATAAAAAGAAACACTGAGGGAAACCAAGATTGATATACTGAAAGAATCTTCATCAAGCCTTTTGTTTTATGGTGTTTTATAAGATTTTTATATTTGAGAGAATCAGTTAAAAATTTGCATAAATTAATTGGTTTTTACATTTTTAGTGACTGGACAAGCACGATTGCAGATGAAAAGAAAACAGATCATATAATGATAGGTGTGTATCTTTCTTTATTTATTATTTAAAATCCAACTTAAAATAAACATTTGGTTTGGTGCTGTGTTTTATCGGGTGAATATTGAGGTAAGAGTTTTCAGAATGAAAGCATTTTCTTCATAGCTTCCCTTCAAATCGACCCAAAATTTCACTGAAAAATGGTCGAAACTTGAAATCAAGGAAAAAAAGTTTTTAACAAGGTTTTAAACTGGATGCCTATAACACGTGACTAGATTTACATTACCATATCACATGACCAATATCCAATTCTAATGTCTTAAGGGTTTTCAAAACGCAATCTGCACTTCTGCCTAGATAACATTATCAAGTAGAAGTGATCCATTTTACATAATGAATGATAGTTCAGAAGGTAAGGATGCTTGCTTTTAATTTACTCCCAGCAAGGCTGACAGTTTAAAGGACAAGTGACATGCTCTTGGCGCCATATTTTTCTTCTTTTAATTTAAAGTAAAATGCTGTATGAGAGTGTTGTTGAAATATTTTTCCTTTCTGATTTCATTTTCCTACTTAAAAACCCTTCTCAAATTATGGCGGGAAATGAATCACGTGACACCGTGACGTAGATTGTGATAATTTGTTATTGCTGCTACTGGTATACAGTGCAATATTAACGTTTACAACACGCTTCTAAACGAATTCAGTTCGTCTGGACCTGTCGCGTCGTGTTTCGTAAATCTTCTATTAATGACAGGAAAATTCTGAGTCATCACAATGTACGTCATAGGGTCACGTGATAAAAAGCAAAATCGCGCCCCCTGCGCCCCCTGATTAGAATTTTTTGTTCTAAACCAGAAAAATGTTTACTTCTAAATGATGATCTATAAGTTAATGAAAAGAAAGGATAGGGTGAAAAGTGTGTCACTTGTCCTGTCGTGAACAAAGTGCTAAAATTTTGGGCTACTTTGGTCAAAATTGATGTTGAGCACATTTTAGGGAAGTTTCAAAAGGGCTTTAACAACTATATTGAGCCCATTGGCATGCTAAATGTCCTCAGCAAATGAGTGATGAACAATTTTTGGCTGCTGACTCGTTGTTTTCTCCAAAACATTTGCTCAATATGGCATCGTTTGCCCAATTTTCTATCAATTCTGAGGATTTGCTCCATTCTGAGAGAACTTCAGCTGCCCCGGACCCCATCCTGTATGCTTTTGTTAGGTTAAATGCATAGTAGGCATTAATTCCGGATCTGTTAGGAACTAAAAAGTTTTGTTGGGTAGGCATGCTAAAAGGCACAGCAAGGTAATTTAATTTTTTAATTTTAATTTTGGCAAAAACTAGGATTTAAGCAACCTCAGTTCCTTATTTCTGTGGCTCTTGTTTGTAAAAAAAGGCACCAGCGCAAGCTTTCTGGTACATCAGTGGCGGCTGGAGTAATTCATAAGAAGAATCTAGAGCTCGGATAGACAAAATAACTGAGTCTGGAGGGTGTGCTTCAATGTATTTTATCCTGGCTATGCCAATCTAAGCTCGTGAATCTCCTTAGTATGAATGTATATTACTTTGGCTTAAAGGGGATAAAACACCAACTGATACAAATTTTTTGTCGAGTTATCTAATTTTCCTGGGCAACATATGACTTAAATTATTTAGCTACCTTTTTGCTTTGCTTGCATATGCATTATATACACATTCACTTACTTTAACTACGAGTAAGCACTTGGCGATAATAATAAGTAAAACAAACACACTAAATCATAAAATGACAACAACTGATACTCGCGGTACACAATGCTGGTAAATTAGCAAATAATGAATGGTCCTTGATAAGATTACAGGTCTTAGAAAGTGTTTTTTCATAATGCAGTTGCTATGGTTAGTGCTTTATGCCTTGCATTAGGGAACACCTCCGTTGGCTTCCACGAACACAGATTTTTGGGCCAATTCAAAACGATCGCTCTATTTTAGATATGTAGATGATATTTTCGCTATCTTAAGCTCAGATCAGGAGTGTGACTGTTTCTTAGAAAAACTTAATATGCTGCATCTAGCTCTTAAATTCGCCATTGAAAATAAGAAAAAGACCTCTTAAAATTTTTTAGACGTTATGTTGCAAAAAGAAGGACTTGGGTTGCTTACCTGTGTTACAGGAAGCCAACATTTTCTGGGCAATATATTCGTTGGAATTCCCTTAGTTTAATTAAAAGAACACAGAACACAGAGCATTTATGATCTGATCTTAGACTAGAACGGGTTCTAGAGCTTGACAAAATCAAGGAAATTCTTCTGGGTAATGGCTACCATTATTGCCAAAAGTACTTGGAACACCAAGCAATTTGCCTTTTTTTATATTTTTCAATCGTTTCCCGGATACTCCTATTTCCGCACCCATTTCCCTCCGAAAAAATGTTGATAATTTAGAAATGGATCAAAAAAGAAGCGCAAAAGAAAGTGCTTCCTAAAATCCTAACCCGTTTTATAGTAAACCAGCATTGTTCTGTTGGGGGGAGGGTGATTGATTTTGATCTTGCAAATTGACGTCAGTGTTCCAAGGCCTTTGGCAGGGATTGTACACTGAAATGTCATCTCGACTTGTTCTAGGCAAAAAATCGCTAGTTATTTGGCAGGGGAAATTTTGGTCTTCAAAAGTGCCTTGTTTATCTAGAAATGCCCTGAATTTCTAGAAATTTGAAAGCCTCGTGTGGTCTATATTAGTAATGTCATGCTCTCATCAATTCAAAAGCATTCCGTTCCTGCCAATCTAAAAGTTTAGTCGTTTATGAATTTTCGTGAAGATGTAAAACTCTGTATGTAGGACGCAATAGTCACCTATTAGCCGATAAGATAAAACAGTTCCTGCGAGCATCAGGTTTAAAACGGTTCTGAAAAGAAAACAGCCACGGCATATTTTCAAAAACCAAAATGCGCAAATAATTCGGCAATTTTTCGCTCACAAAACCAGAGTGCGCCAAAACATATTGTGACGACAGTTTCAAGTTCATTGGGCAAACAAGGTCGTCTTTTCAATTAGGCTTCTTGGAATCTGTTTACATCAAAACAAAGGATCCCGGCTTGTGCAGACAGAAAGAGTTCACTTTTTGTCTTGGACACTTCAATTAGATGAGAGATTAACGGCTGCGAAAACAAAGATTGGTCGAAAACAAAGAACCAATCAAAAGTGCTATTCGTCCTCTCATGTTACTTGCGATCAGCATTTTTTGCTTAGCTTTGCACATTATATGACGTTTATACTCTGACGCAGAGTCAAGAAATATTTTCAACCTTGGTCCGGCCAAGGAAATCATACTATGAAACCTTCCTCGTGTTTAATAGGTTCAGAATAGGCTTGGTAAAAAAATTGGGTACTCAACTGGTCTTGACTCCCTCTCCTTGCAACTCGGTTTTTCCAAAACATTTTAAAAATTTGTAGCATATTTTCAATAATAGAAAGTTTTTGAGACAGATGTAAAGTGTGTAGATGTTAAAGCCTGAATTTTACAGTGCAAAGCAATTTTGCAAACACATTCATGTTAAAAAACATCAGGCTTATAAATATTATTTTATTTTTTTATATTTCGTCTGACTGTATTTTGACAGCCATGGACAATGCGAATTCAATACTGTTACCTTCCTCAATTTCTTTTTGCTTAATTAATCTTCCTCCGGCCAGTGGCCGTGGGGCCGTGATGTTTTCCTGACTCTCCTCTGACGTGTGTCGGACGGACGAACAGTAATTTGGTACGATATGATATGTTTCCGCTTTTCTGTGGTGCTATTTCAAATAATGCAATTGTAGGTTGTTGACTGTTCGGAACTATCATCCTACCAGATGCGAAATTTGAGGGAAGACTTGATGATAGACATCAAGTAAATGATCTATAGTTTAGGCCTAAGTTCGAACCTGGATTCTGATCCGGGTCATCTCTAGACATTTTCAGGGAGATTGCTATGTAGATTTCATAACGCAAACATTTGTAACTTCGATTTAAAATGGGAGAGGTCCATAATTGAACAACCAGCTCTGACGCAACTGTGCCACAAACTTTGGTATTTCACTGTTTTTAACCTTTGTGCTTTAAGGAAAATCCATCCAAAATCTAGCTTTTTTCAAATTTGTCGAGAAAGTATTTCGAGTAACCAGCACCCGTTCAAAAACTTCTTGATTGCAAATTGGTTTTGTTTTTGTAGCTAAGGAACAAGTTAAAAGGATCAGTGCTCATATCTTTTGATGATTAGTGTCGCAATCAAGTAGCCACCGCTGACCGCAGTAGCATTTGTAGCGTCCATCATTCTCCTCAGACAGGACAACAATGGCGTCGTCAAGATAAAATATGATGGCTTCTTAGAAATCAGTTATATATACTTCCTGACAGTCTGTTTGAAGTGTTATAAAGGGTCTGCTCGTTATTGTAAAAACAATGCAATCAAAATATGAATAAATATGATCGCCATTTTGTGCCGACTCATGACCTGCTCTTCTACAGGTCAACAATAAGAGTCATGACATTTATGACACCATGTATCAAAGTTTGTTCAATAATTCATAAATCCTTCTCGTTTTATCGGCTATCTCAGCATTCTGTACCGATACAGCAAGCTGGGTCAAATGTGAGGTCTCTGGAACGATCGAGGGGCCCCTAAAACACTCGTATAAATACATTTACTAAAAGCACAAAATTTCTAATTAAGATTTCCTTTTATATTTGTCTTAATGGATTCATAATGCCCGACAATATCAATAGTAATTAAATCAGATGAAACATTGTATAAGATGTATCAGATGAAACATTGATAGCACATATTACATAGAATTTTCCTAGGCATACATAACAGAAATTTCTATGTTTCAAAATGTTCACAATCAAAGGTAATGACGTCACTATTGAAAATCGTTAGCGAAAAAAAATAAATAGGATTTTAGTATCTTTGGAGTATGTTGGACAAGTATTATCATTTTTAGTTGACTAGAAAGTTACAATACATATTACTGTCTACACTATTAACAAGAACTACCTTACAATATTACTGTGACGAAAACCCCCGGGGAGCAAAAGACTGTGTCTACCCCAAGGGCATTAACATATACACATAAATATAAGAATAGGAAATAAAAATAAAAATACGTTACAGAAAAAAAAATGGTTACGTGGTGTACATTTTAATTTGAAACGAATTTATTCAAACCAACTAGTATTGCAGATGAGTTGTAGAGTCAAGTTGAGAATGTTTCTATTGACTTTTCTATTGACTATTGACAAGTTGAAAATAGCACGACAGATCAATAATGAATGATCTGAACTCCAGCCTGGACTCCAGCAAGGACCATCTCTTGGGCCGATATTGTTTCGCACGCTTCAAAAATTTCTCTGAATTTGAGCTGATGCATTTACGTAAGCAGTTTTCTAGACACGACATTCCATGAAACAAAAATGACAATATCATTATGAGTCGAAGACATGGCGACATGAAGTAGAAACAAAATCTTTCAAACTTTTATGCATGGTTGCTTATCCTATTGTGGTGGTGTTAAAAAAGTCGGGTTGTGTTGAAATTCGTTGCGTTTTGAGTTGTGGTTGCTTTACGCATATATAGCGCTTTTACACAATCAGTGACTCATACGATATAAAGCTGCTACGTTCACAACAGGAGCTATTCACATAATTTCAATAAAAACCTTACATTATATTTTCTTTTCTTTCATATGCCCCATCTACAACTTTGCGACATATCGTTATCTTCATGCATTAATTTCAATGGCTACTCAACAAAAGTCGGAGAATCCTAATTCATAAAACAGGTGGACGAAGGATCCTTCTCGGAAAATTGTCTGTCTTCTCGCATCTATAGATTTGGACTTCTTGTTTGGGTGAAAATTTTTCTTTTGAAAATACGTTCACTATTGACATGTTTCGCGATTTACTTTATAACCAAGGCTAAAATTAGTAGAAGCAGGCATCCATGTCAATGTATGTGACAGCCAGAATAGAATATTGCGTGGTTGCCGGAACGGTTTTACAAATAGGTTCTATATAACGACATGTATGGAAAAACAATAAACTTGTCTGTAGAATCGATTGACCTAGAACACAGTAGATCTAACCGGATTGTTTTAGAAAATCTACTTGATTTCACGTTAGCTGCTTGTAAAGAAATTTCACTGTCGAGTGTCTGTTAACAAGTTTATCCTATAAACTTTGACCTGGTTTAATACCGATGTCTCTGATAGCTTGACACTTACTTAACGTATTCCTTGATAAACTAATCGTCTCAAACGTGTTAGGCTCTCGAGATAAATGTATACACATACATATGTGGTTGTCAGTGAAAATAATTGATTGCGTGAACAATGATCTCGACATCTGCACACACTTGACTTTCTAAAGGAACGTAGAAACAAAAGAAGCTCATAAGAAGGCATAAAGACCTCATATTTGCATTCCCTTTACAGATGCAGGGACATGTGGACAATTTTTGGTGAGTTTGTAATGGTGCTTACGCAATTGATATGTGATAGACGCTCAGAATCAATTTGTTCTTGACTGTTCATGGGTTCGATTCAGTAGCACGTGCTCTTATCATGATCATTATAAATATAAAACAAGCAGCAGGTAAATGAGTCAAACCAATCGAAAAAGAAATATACTGCTTACAAACGGACAAAGCGTGACACGAAATTAGTGAAATGCAAGAGTAGGAGGCTTTTTGTAAAAAGTTCGTGTGAAGAAGTCGTTACCAAGAAAAGCATCTTGAACTGAGAGACAAAACAGAGGTATCGATGATTCTTTAGTTTGTGAAGATTTATTAAAATTGATTTTATTTACAAATTATCTGAGCAGGGTTGGGGTATTCTTCAAAACGATTATGATATAAATTCAGCCCTTGTACAATGGATAGTGTACTGCTTTGGCAAAAATTTAAACTAGCAAGATATTTCTCCTTCAGGATACTTTCAGTGTGTTATGTCAAAAACCGGTGAACTCTTTTAAGAAGTTTTTTTCGCTACAGTTTCTACTAGTTTGAAGATTCAGCTAAGGTGCAGTTGCGTATCTTGGATGCAAAGAACTGAAATCAGTTTAAGTTTAAGACTTTGTTGACGTTTTTCAACGAGGATATAAAAAATAATCAACTCTTTTTTCTGTTTTCTAAAATTCTAAATAATAAACGCTTGCGAGCAACACTGCATGCAAACCAAACAATCAAGCTGATGATTAGGTTCATTAAGTGTAAACAGTATTCATGCTTCAGCATAACAGAAACATGCAAAAATTAAAAATTAAAATATAAAATTGTATTGAAAGTGAATAAAAACCTGAACTACGTAGAAAATCTGTTTAAAAAATAAAGCTGAAGATTCAGTTGCTTTGCAATACTGTGTGTATGTGTTTGGTGAAACATCTAGCTTGACCAGTAGAATTAATAAAAACGGATTAAAAACAGAATTCAGAGATTTGAAAGTTTGAGACAAAGAAAATCAGTGCTTCAAAAAGAGTGAGTTGACGGGGATGATCCAACATGAAATTCCTATCAAGTATTTGTTCACTTTTTATAATTATCGAACTCGCCTTTCGTTTCAATAGCTGTCTTTTGAAAGAGATGTCGACGTCCGTATTGAAGCAGGCATCTGGTTCTAAATTTTGAAAGTCTGTTCGTTAGTCTCCTTCTAGTTCCTAAATAGCAAGGAAAATCGGAAACATACCACAATTAGGTATTCTTCGAAAGGCAATCCTTGAAAATTAAAACGTCAGATAACTGCAAGAAAGGTAAGCAAAAATTTGAATGGAGATATTCTTCAAATTTCATGCCTTGGAAATTACAAAATTATTCATGTGTTTTTTTTCAAATTGCAGATAACCCTTCTGTCTTGCAAGGGTTTGCACAGATCTTTGCAAAATCATCGCAGATATTTTCTAATTATAAATAGTTCATTATTTCAAAAAACAGCGAATCTTTCTCAATATTGTATGGAAAATATACAGCATTGGTTTGCTGGAAGTGTTTTTCCACATTTGTAACCAAAATTTTTAAATGCAATCATTTCTTTTCGTTTATCATTTATTTTTTAAAAGTTTTTCTTTCTACAATAAAATCGTCACAAAACAACAAAACAGCGTCTGTGAAAGTGTGTATCGCGTAGGTTACTTGAATTCTAAATTCTTCTTTTCCAATTCATATCAAATATGTTATTTCTAACTTATGATACGACCTATGAACACTTTTCTACATATAAACACTTTTCATGTCGGCTTTTCATGTCATGCTTCTACGAACATAATAATAACATACATAACAAAACATAACATAACATAACATAACATAACATAACATAACATAACATAACATAACATAACATAACATAACATAACATAACATAACATAACATAACATAACATAACATAACATACATAACATAACATAACATAACATAACATAACATAACATAACATAACATAACATAACATAACATAACATAACATAACATAACATAACATAACATAACACAACATAACATAACATAACATGACATAACATGACATAACATGACATAACATAACCAGAAATACAGTAGGCACCTAGTCGTCTTACAAAACCATTTACATCACATCTTTAAAAGACCTTGTCAAGCAGATTTTTCAAAATCATAACTAATACTAGCATGTGACGCAGGCTAAACTAATACAAGCTGTGGTTTTCTTATTCTTTGTCATCTAAGGGTCGGTTTCTTTTGGAAGGGTTATGATAACAAGTTTTCAAGACATGTAATACACGTTTTATAATAACTAGGACCTGTTAATCCAAAGAAACTTCCTTGGCTATAGAACATGATAATATGAAAACTGTCAAATGAAATTTATATCGTATGGTAAAATTTGTCACCTTTTCCTCATCAATACTTCTGTTGGTATGCAATTACTTAGCAACATGAAAATGGCCAAAAAACCTTCGACGGGTCACTCGATCTAATGGAGTAATTCATGAGAATACAAAAACAATATCATTTTGATGTGGGCAGTGCTTCTGGCCAGTTATCACAGTCATCTTTTGCTTCTGTTTATGTCTCTTGTAGACACTTATTGGTAGCTTCCACAGATCGAATGTGATTTTCAGCCTAGTAAATTCACGTGGGCTATTCTTATGATAAAATATTATAACGATTCGTTGAACGCCGATGTATGTAATAAAGGCCCACTAATGTTTACATCAAGGAAGGTTATAGATCTTGTCAAACAAACTTATGACTGAAAACATTAAACTCTGAAAAAATTCTGATATCCTCCAAAATTGACTATAAATAACAAAAAGCTTGTAAAAATATAGTTATCTTAAAGCTGTCTGCGAGAAAAAAAGTGGTATTCGACAATCAACGAAAAAACAGAAATGGCTCCAAGAGAATGAAGCTAATTAGCATTGATGGTGATCCCAGGCATGATTCTTCCACCTATGTCCGGTCTATGCTTTATTTCAGTCAGTTTCGTAACACGAACAGATGAAGATTACAACGAAACCATACTCGCAATGAAATTAACTAATGAATTGTAATTAACGGAATACTTGAGGCGGGCTAGTACAATAACTTTGGACATATTGAAATTAGGTGACTGTTTTATACACAGTTCATTTACTTTTTGCAAAAGTAGAGGAATTTTTATGTCATTCAATCATAAGCAAATATTCTTTTTTTCTATATTGTTCTCTACTTTGCATTTTGCAGTCTCGTATTCTACATTAAATATTAAGGTATTTTCCTCTATTTCGCAATAAACTATTAATATTTTCTTTTTATTATTAGTTTTTATTATTATCGCAAATAACAGTCATTACATACCACTTAATTTGTTTTTGATGTCTAATTTAGAAAATCCAAAGTATTTTCAGATTAAAAACTTAAATGGTCTCTGACTACGACCTGTCCTCAGCCTAATTGCAGAAAACACCTTCAAATTAAAATGCAAAACACACTTCGCATTGTCTGTTTATGATGGAAATGCTTTGTGAAATTAAGGAACGCAGACGCATCTAAGGAGCAAACATTTTCCATGCAACTGCTTTAAAAAAACAAGATGGAAAATAATCTTTCGGAACCTTATTCTGATTTAGGTTTAGGTGTATTTTCGGAAAGCTTATCCTGACGTTTTATAGTCCTGAAATGTCAGATGAAAAAGTTTCAATTATGTTGCAATATGTTTGCTTTTTCAAAGCCATTTCAAATTTAGTGCCATCAAAAATTGGAAACATTTGACGAAAGCTTTGAAATTCTTCAGCGTGAATGCCACGCAGAAGTGATCCATCAATATGGCTAAAATAAATCATTTATGGATGTGATTTACCAAAGCTTAAGATAAGAAAAAGATTTTGAAGAAGGCCTAAACCGACACGATTAAACAAAACTATTTTATTCAACTTCAGGCAAATTCCTACAAACTCAACGCTCCCTTCTTGATATTCAAATCATCTTTTCTGACGCAAGCATAATCTTTTATTTCTTTACATTTTTGTGCAAACCTTAACTGCTAACATCTGCCTTTCACATTATTGTCCCATACCTAAGATTTATGAAAGTAATGTTATATCCAATCGCTATTAAAGGTCGTTTCAATTAAATTGCTTCCTAGTTAAGGAAAGCCCCTTTGCTCTACCAGCAGTCTGTTACTCTAATTTTAATTCCTGAAACTATTTATCTTACCTTAATGGAAATCTGGAAATTTTCTTCTTTGTAAAATGCTTTTTTGATGGTTGGAAACTGATAAAAATATCTGACTAATGCATGTAACGTCGACTTAGCAATAACAAAGAAGGGTTTAAAGAAATCAATTTCTTTGAATTGAAGCTACATCAATATCACCTTGAAAAAAGCTGATATTTTTTTCACTTGAACAAAAGTTATTTGTTTTATGAGCTCTAATTTTGCAAAACTTTGAAAAATGTTCAAATAGAAAAGGCCGAATGCTATTTTGATAAACCAAACTTGAGTTTCTTAAAAATATATTACACAAGCTATGATTTACATTGTAATAAATTTGTTTAAAAAGAAATTTAAAGCAACTGATCTGGCAATGGCAGGCTGTTTTGAGGATTTATTTCTGATTATCTTGTTGTGATGATTAATTTCTAGTAGAAGGAGATGAAGAAACAGTCCCCTTTGTTTTTTAAACGATTTTGGCTTGATATTTTGTCTGCAGAATCAGCTTATTTTTAAACACACCTAGTATTGAACAGCTATGACACATACAGAGATAACGCTGAAAAGTTAGACAAAGGTATGGTAGCCAATTTGAAAAATTGCACTAACAAAATAGGAGATCCTTTTTCAATGTTAAAAACTTAAAGATAGACCAACTTGGTGGTCAGAACTCTGATGGATTTCCCCTTGTAACCAAACATTCTAACAATATCAGAAAATTAGAAATTTCCTCATAAGAATTTCCAATAAAATTCCCTCAGATGCTAATTTGGTACAGATACTCATGTCTGATATCTTCTGTACGGCGTCTGAAGCCATCTGGAAGCCAGTCAGCCCAAGTTCTTATCGATTGATAACTTAGAATTAGAAAAAACGACTTCAAATAAAACATATCTGTTTAATTAGCATTGCAAGGAAGATACTTGTAATTTCCCAGGAAACCAAAATGTTTCTGATTTATGGTAGACCGTTCTCTTGGACACAAATGCAAAAAATTATGCGGCGGTTGCTGAAACCCAGGCCCGTCGCTAGCTATTGTGCTCAAGGGGGTGTCAGGAGGTGCTCGCCCTGGATCGACTGACCTGCTAAAACCCATCTGCCAATGCCAATATTATTCAAAGCCATCTACGTTTAATGCATAATCCAAGGCCTTCACAGCTTGCAACTTCATTTATATAGAATTTAGTGACACATTCATCGAATAGTCATTCCACATAAATAGATGCTCCATATTGCCATTAGACTGCTTTTCTGAAGCCTCTAATGCAGTTAAGAATTTGAAATCAATCTAGTCTGCTCATTCTTTGCCAATAGCATACAAAGACAACTTTTCAAAAAGAACTTTATAAAAAACACTGATGAGAGAGAAACGTATTCCTTTGTACTGAATATCTTCCCTTTCGTCAGAGACAATAAAGGACTGCAGGTTTTTAATGAGGCGTGGAGAACCTAACGCAAAAATATTACTTAGGACATCTTATAATAAAAGAAAACCTTTATAAAATTAGAAAGCGAAACTTTTATGAGATGCAATAACAGTGTATAGAATGATGCTATTATGTTTGGAGTTAGAAAATGATTTACCCAGTTTAAATCAATATTCTAATTGCAAAACACATGAGAGGGTGATCAGAAAGAGGGATAAAGCGCAGCTTTCACATGCAAAAGAGGCAGAAGCTGAAAAACTGTGTGTTCTCCTGAAACGTATTACGAATGAAGTCATCTACATACTTCGTTATTCTACATTTCAGGTACCACACGTTTAAAAATATCAAGCAAAATCTTTTGAAAAAGTTAATTCAATAGCATGGATTCTTTGCCTCAGAATTTTCTTTATTGATAAGGGACAGGGCCACTTAAAGAGACTCGGTTTTTACTGAAAAAGGCATTTCTTTGAAAGTTTCCTCACAGCTAGCTCTTGTGCTTCAGTCTTGAAAGGTTGGATCAACATAAGAGCATCTACCAAAATTAAGTAAGAGTAAACAAGGTAAAATGTTGACTTACAGTTCTGAATATCAGACTGTTAGGATAGGTGATCAGAAAGGCTAAAATCAGAAATAGCTTAGTCATTGCTTCTGTATTTAGAAACAACTGGGTCTCGCTTAAAGCCAATTCCATATGTCATATGTTGGCAATTTGATTATTCTAGCCGGTAGTGGTAGTATCAGCATAAGAAAATGTCAAAAGTAGCGGAGACAACAGTGAGGCTTGCTGGAATGGAAAGAACAATTTTGCAACACAAAGTTTCTTCAAACAGAGGAGTTGATTAATGCTTGATTCTAAAGAAGACTCTGCAGAATTTTGTTTACTTGCCCTCTCAAAATGTTTTGATAACAATTTGTTTTCATTATCTTATTAGATCGTGCGTGTGCTGCCTGTTATTTCCTCTTCAATATGTTGACTAACAAATAGGATAGCAGCATCTGTCTTAATTAGCAGATGTAGGCTCAAAGCCTTGTTTTGAGAAATATAAGGATATGACATCAGTAGAATAGTCTTGTCTTCGGAAACACCTAAAAGCCATTTGTTCTCAATCAGATTATAATGTTGACTTGTGTGGTAAATGACAGAATTGACAAACAAACTTGAAAAACATCAAGATAATGTCAATATCATGTGCCAATTTTGCTGCCTTTGATCTTCACAAAAGCTTCTCTGCTGTGAAAATATTTGGAGGAGAATGAAACAAAGCGAAATGCATTTTGACTCTTGAAAAGCATGTTATATAATCAGACTTATAGAAACTTCTCATACTGCTGGAGAAGGTCAACATCATTTGTCATCAGGGTATTTCAAAAATAATATTGTATTATGAATTTGTTTGATCACTATCAATATTAAGGAAGACAAATCTAGAATGACGTCTGCCTGTAGTTTGATGAGAATGTTGCTGCAACAAACACCAAAAAGGAACAAGAGGTTGAACAAAACAAACAAGAAAGGATAGGAAATTAACGCCAAAGCAAGTCTTAACATTGAGTCTTATCGTAGCTGTAGATGTCGGCTAGGGTAGGAAAACTCGAGCAAGAACCATACATGAGGGGGACAGGCTTTAAAACAAGAAAACAGATATATAAAAACATATATTTTTGGACTAAATCAAGCTCACGGAATTATGATTATGCCATCTATTCAAAATATCATATTCAAAAACTGTAGCCAGAGGGAGCAAATTGTCGTCAAAATTTTCATTAAGGGGGGGGGGGGTACAGCTTCCCGTGCCCCCTGCAGCTACGTGGCTGCATTGAGCTTTATGAATGATGCTCCGAAAAAGCTTTTCTTTCAACGAACTGTGGAAGAAAAGAGCTTCCAATAAAATGAAATGTTGAACGGTTTTAGAACTCGATACTTGGAGAGCCTATCAAGCCGTAGATCAGATCAGAACGCCTGGAAAATCCTTCAGGGTAGTCCGTGGCTGCAATAAGATATGCATTGGGTTGATGTAATACACAGACTATTGTAATGAAAAATTTGCAAGAACATCTACCGTATCTTCATAAGGACAAAGTTAGGTAAAGATAAGTGCAAGTCTGGGCGTTACTCATCCTATTAGTGAATGGTCAATGCATTTCAAAGGAATTTTAGGCAATTACTAAAGTCATTGAATCCTAGAACAAGATGGTCTCAAGGTTATCAGCAAATACTTCATTGTTGAAAATACAATTAGTAGTGATTGGCCATATGGACATAGTCACGTCATTTTAATGAACTGAACACAACAACTTGTGAAGTCATCAACATAGAAACTAATTATGTTTTCGCCGCGCATAACTCGTGTCTCGACTATATAAGCCTATTATTGTCACTAACAGCTGGTTTTATAAAATCACGATTTTAGGCCATTTTCCTTATGCCTTGATTCGATTAACATCATGTTGCTCGAAAAGTACAAAATAATAAATTCATCTCCCTCCATGGCGACTGCACGTATTTGGTTTCCTGCTTCTGAACAATGACATTAAAGGTTTCAAATAAAACTGCTTTTCTCCAAACTATCGTGAACTAATAACTTCTGTGTGACGAATAAAACTGCTAGTACCAGTTTTTTAAAGTTAAAATTCGGTAAATTCTTAGGACCGCAAGAACAACTATTTGTGCCAAACAAAGGACTGCGAGAAATAGCAATGACGTTGTGTCTTTACAGACGTCATAATCCTTTAACTCGATGTTTCATCTTTACAAATATGAGGTTAAAAGAATGACAATGAAAACAAATTCTAAATATTGCTAAGACGAATAATAATAGTCTGTTGGATTGAAACATAAATAATTATATCAATTCAGACTGCATATTCAAATTATCTTGGAGCTTTATCACTTACACCTTAAAGGTGCACATGCATTTGAAGATGATTCATTTGTTTACATAATGGATAGTGAACAACTTTTTTATGTCCTACTATAAAAGGTTTCATGAAAGTTTTCCTGCATGTTTAAAAAGAGATAGATTCAGCTCTAAAGACACATCTTTTCTTTTAGAGATAATTTTATGACACCTTACATCTGACAAAATGTTGAGAAAAATCGTGGCGAAAAAGATGGAGGACGGGGATGTGAAATCGGAGTTGGTTCCTCTGACCCAAGTCGAACCGGCTGATAAATCTCAGAGTAACAACAACGGAAGTGTGATAAATAACCCGCTGTCAACTGTGGGTGGGTCCAGCAGCGGCATTGCGCAACCAAGCAACAGCCAATCAGGCACGAGCAACGGTGTTCCCGGGCTAAACATAGCAGAGCTTGGAATACTTCGGAATGTTGTTAGCAAATGGAAAAGTTTCAGCACAAAAAGAAAGGAGACTGGGGACAAGTCAAGTATGTACCGCAAAGGTCCGGCTCCGTTAGATGAACCGGGTAAAAAAAAGCGACGGACGGTTTTAAGATGTACGCACGGTACATTGGACAGTGATGTTGAATCTGTAGGTGACTCGGACCTCGATTTAGATACTGATAATAATTCTCTTGCGAGTAGTAAAGGACTCATTTTGTACTTTGCAAAATTAGCAACGTCTCGCGATGAAGAAGAGACTGTAGATTTACAGTTTGTATATTCGTTGTTACAAGGAGGTGCGGACATTAATTTCACGGACAAACACGGACAAACAATTCTACACGAGATTGCTAGAGCATGGCATTCAGATGTAGCTAAATTTTTATTGACACATGGGGCAGATATTAATAAAGGGGACAAATTTGGAAGGACGCCACTGCATCTAGCAGCATCTGTTGGCTACACAGATATGATTATTTTTCTCGCGGAAAACGGCGCTAATATAAATGCGAGGACAGCAAGGGAGATGCAAACGCCTATACATTACGCTGCCAAAAACAATTCAGTTCCTAGTTTGAGAACTTTGATAAAGCTAGGAGCAAGTATAAATGACAGGGATTACAAAAGCCGGACGCCCTTGTTTGTGGCGGCGGAATCAGGTAAGGTCTCTTTGCACTTGCCAGGACTGTCTTTGAAAATATCCCTTTGAAAATGGGTGCGATTTGAAAAATGTTTTCTTGGACCCTATGCACACATTTGCGGATGTGTTTGATCAGCAAAGTTTTCTTTGCAGAGCCAAAAACATTTGCATCCACACATATCGCATTCTAATCAAATTTTTGCTGTCCATTCGTGTATATGCTTTCAGATATAATATTGTATTCACTTCTCTTCTGTAAATACTGTCTTAAGAGCATGCGTAATCAAGCAAGCGAGCCAGAATTATGTCATTTGGTTAGGAAATATCCTTATCCAAGTGGACACGGCCTAATTAATGTGCAAATCCCGTGTAGACGCGAATTTTTTCGCCAAATTGCAAACTAAACTAAAACGCTTCCACATTCCTGACTAAAGAAGCAACCGGCTCTTTCCTGTCAAAATCTAACTCATCTTCTTAAGGAGGAATCAAACAATTCTTAAAGCAAACTTGAAATCATTAGCATGTGAGCGACTGTGGATTCACGGTTTAACCAGCTTCTATGTATGGGAAAAAAGATTCAAGTGTATATACGTTGGAATATTATTCTCACTGATATCCATTAGCGGGTTTGTGCGGGGCGTATACGTTGGTTCATTAGTTTAATACGATTCAGTCTTGCAGGGAATGTGAACAAATCAAAGTTTTTATGGTAAAGTAGATATCATAGAGCTTTTGCATGTTACATGGACTGAACATAAGTTACATGGTAACGTACGTATGTTTTCATAAGATACTTATGCAATGGCTTTAAAATAGGCCATTGACAGGCGTTCTCATTTCATTCAAACACTTTCTAGGCAGGACCGAGGCTGCACGATTTCTTTTGGAGGCTGGGTCCCCCGCAGCAATCTACGATGACATGGGCAACTCCTGCTTGTCACTTATGGTGGAAAAAATGCCAGGTATTGCAATCGAGGCTCTGGAGCAATTTCATAGTATGGACAGAGCACTGAGAAAGAAATACTATTATCTCAACTACTTGGAGAAAATGAGTGCAACAGATGATGGGGAGAATAGCGAAGGATCCGCCAAGACAGCTCTGCAGGTTAGATCTTGCAAAAAAACTTTAATTCTAAGATTATTGTCCCTTCTACAGTCAAAATATCAAACTGGAGTTCTTTTTCGAAAAAAGGGAAATACTAAGTTTGGGTATGCTATTTGGGAAATTCACTGTTTCATGACTTGTCTTCAGTTGTTGGTAATAAAGTAGACTTACTCCACGAGCTCCTGTTTCGCTACTGCCTCACTTTACGGGCGCTACCTTCACTATTTCTCGGTTGTAGCTTTCAGAAAGTGAGGCAGCAGCGAAACAGAGGCTCATGGAGTAAGTCTAGTTAGAAAGCATATCTTGAGGTCTGGATACAATATGCCAACATCACATGATAAGTATTGTTCTGATATCTATCCAATGCACAAGAAGGTTTGAAGATGATGCAGGCACTAGCCTGTGTCGCAAATGAATTCGAAGTCGATATTCGACTTGGTCTATCGTGCAGGCTAGCAGGCTATCAGACGCTAGATACAGAGGCTAAATGCCAACATAAGTCAAATGAAGCAGCGAATGTATCGTGCTCACTGACTAGGCCTTTTTGGTCACCTGTTAAAGCGTCCAAGGGAAGCATTTATCACCCCTCCATTATCATTGGCTAGGCTTTTTAAACTTCTTTAAAAATCAATGAAAAAGTTGTGGTTTCGGTGCCTAAACCCAAATGTTTTTGTTTTCAATGACGTTCCAAACTGTTGTCGGAGGTGCAGCCGCAACTGCTTTTTGACTATGATTTAAGGCTTTGAGTACCATTTTTTTCTTCTGTATCGCCTTCAAACATGACCAAACAACTGTTTAGGTCTGAGTTACGATCGCTCTTCCTTATAAGAAGCAGTTAAATGTGACACAAACTATACCTTTCAGGTGATTGTTCAGTATTCTGAGCTGGAGCTAATCATGCATCCAGCCATCCGAAGACTCCTCGACGTGAAATGGGATCTGTTCGGGAAGTGGTCATCGATATGGATCGTGCTCGTGAACATGATTTACACAGTGATATGGACAGTTCTTGGGCTCATGCTTCCACGTGATGGAAACTATTACAGGCCCTTATCAAAACATTGGTGGCGACTGGTGCTGGAATGCATTGGATGTATCATGACTGTTTATTTCATTCTGACGGTGAGCTCGAATCATTCTTACCCAACAGTTTTCACACTGTGTGTATAGATAACGTTATACAACTAAATGAAGATATTTATATATAACTATGTAACTGTCCAACAGCTTGTTCTATGAATCCGAATATAACTATGTAACAATGTCTCGAGACAACAAGATAGGACAATGCCATAAAAAGTTAATAAGTGGCTGCCATATTGCAAGCATAATTAGGAACCAGGCCACTTGCAAAATAAAAACCAGTCCAATCAACTAATCTTAGGAAAGGTCAGTGGTCTCACCTAACCCTGCCAAAGCTATTAGGCTAAATGGTCACATTTTTGCTTCAAATGGATTCAAGCTCACTACGGTCGGTGGGAATCAGACCCCTCTTTAAACTCCAGGTTCTAACATTGAGGCTTAATGCTCAAATAAAATGATACCAACTGAGAAACGGGGCAATAAGAAATGAAGGCTAAAGTTTATTGCTTGATATTAAGCACCTCTTTTCTTGATATTGGCCACATGATCATTATTTAAAGAATGGGAGAATGGGTTTACTTTATAAACGTTTTAGAAATTGTTTCCCCTTTTAGCAAGTACTTGATGCAAGAAATGTCGAGAAGAGAGAAAATGTATATAAAGAATGGAGAGCTAAGCAAGTGGAAAGAGACTTAGAAAACTGCCATCCAAGATGGCCGGAGGAAAGACGCTACTTAGAAGGCGAGCTTGAAAGAATACGCAGAAATACTCGCGGGACGTACTTCAGAAACGCGTGGAATATTATAGATTGGGTCACCCACGTAGCTGTTCTTATGGTCGTTATAACAAGAGTAATAACAGTGTTATGGAGGGACGAAAAGTCTGACAAAATACACCCGAAAGTATTCGCACTGTCATTAATTCTAATATGGATGAGACTAATGAAAGCATGCAGGGCATTCAAGGCCCTTGGTCCATTTATTACACTGTTAGGCCATGTTGTTGAGGATACGCTTAAGTTTGCATTTTTATACTTTGAGTTCTTTATACCATATTGCTGCGCATTTTGGATTATATTTGGTGGACCAGAAAACGCAGCTATTATGGAGGCAGCTGGCAAGAGTTCAGACGGCTGGAAATACTTCAATGATCTGGTTTATTCAGTATTTGAAATAACGCTTGTTGGTAACTATCCATGGGAGTCGCTGCTGGCAATTGACAGGTTAATGGCACAGGTAAATGAATGTATATACTTTGGAACAGAATCAAGTGAATCCATCCTTAAATTTACTAGAATAGCAAAAATCTATATTAAAATAAATCGAAATAATGTATAATCAGGAAATAAATATTGCATCATCAACCGCTTATCCCATTCAATAGACTACATAAAAACCTAACTCGAAAAATAATTTGTTCCAATACCAGGACCAATGGTTTAATCCAGAACACAAGGGTTTAGAGAGCTCTCACATGGAGACAACAAAGTTAATGGAATCAATAAGTTTGTCTTCAATAGGCAACCTAAATGGTCAAATATGTTTTGAATGTTAGTGTTCACAACCTGTATGTTACACACATGTAGAACATGAGCTACTTTCCCTTTTTATGAAGGTGCCTTTCTTTGAGTTTTTCACGGAAAAAAGCAGATAGGGCATGGAATGGTCTGTCCGTTGTTTTGAGGTGTCCGCAACAAGAAGGTGTCCGTTGATACAGCATTTGTTTTCACCTCTTTGACAAATGGCTATCTTTTCAGCGTGACTAATGATCTCATTCGTAAAATCCCACACTTTGTGTTCACCGAGTGATTAATAATTGAAGCTGTCAGCTAATAAATGTTGACTGTTGATTCAATGTTAAGTTATTCTCTTTCGAGGGCGTAAGCAAAAATAGAAAATGAAGTCAACGAATTGAGTATAGCAGGGTCTATTTATAAGGTTATACTGACGCAAGTGAATTTACGGCAGATTTAATTCAACAGGCGCCGTTTCTCTTGATAGAGGGATTTCATTCTATCGAAATCAAGTCGTAGGAAATTGAACGAGGGAGTTTCACTGCCAAAATAACAAATAATAAAATGGGTACATTTAGAAAGGAGTCCTTTCATAGACAGAGAGGTACACTCCCTAAGCTTGTAAACAACTAGGGGGTAACGCCTTTATGATGACTGATTTTTTCATTAGCTCGTCATACACGACAAAAATGTTGCTAAAGAATGACCAAATACAAATAAACCCAGCTCATTATACAAAAATAGAACCACAGGAAAAGTAATACCCACAAAAGTATCGTGAATATAAAAGACAGGCTATTTAAACGATACTCTGAGCGCGGATTCAGAAAATCCTCTGAGCAGAATTTTTTGTCTAGTGTACTTGCGCGAGTGCTGTCGACGAATACAGAATGTCTGTTTGGAAGCCACCATGAGGGAGTTACAAAGGCTGACATGTAAATGCTTCATGGTGTAAAAGGGTGTATGCAAATTGACCCTGTGTATTAATGTTTTTAGTAAATTGATCTAAACCGGCATAGATGTGACTACAAAAAATTTAAAGCTCCAATAATCTTTAACTCTCTTACCACTTGATAGCGCGCAAAGAGATTAAGATGCCAAACTAACGTTTTTTTTATCCATAAAGTTTCTTGTAGGAACATACCTTGCAATGTCAGCAGTGGTCTGTCTGAATCTGTACATTGCACTGATGTCGGACACTTTCGCACGCGTGTACGAGAATGCCAAAGCTAATGCCATAATGCAACAAGCAATGCAGATACTTAATATCGAAAGAACCCTTAGCAAGAAGAAGCTGCAGAAAGTCAAAAGGTTCATCGCAGTCGAGTGTGCACCTCAGGTAAGCGCTTGGGAAATGACATGTTAAAAATCCCGTAGACCTTTCGAAGAAAGAAATAATTTTTAAGGAGACATACTTATAGTGTATGTCAGAAGGAAGAAACGCAGAACAGGCTTCTGTGAGTAATAATAATATGATACTTTTCTATTAAACAGCATACTAACAGTGGTCGCTTTAGAATCATGGTCAGTTAAGAGAAGTGGTCGTTCTAGAGCTGTCTGTGTTCTCAAAGATTGTGGTTTTAGAAATCAGGTCGCCTTAATAATTTGTTTGTTTTCCTAAAAACTGACATCTATGAAAAGTGTGTTAATAAAGAAAGGTCACAATAGCAAATTGCTCGACGGACTGATCGGTGGAATTCTTACGGCGAAAATTAGATAGGAATGTAGCAAATATGAAACATTGCAACGCACCGAGAAGAAACAACAATAAACACACGTAAATTAACTGTGGCTTATATTTCGCCCCGGCATACGGGGCTTCATCAGAACAAAAGTGTAAAAATGTTGTCTTCTTCAAGAGCTTTCCCTTTTCAAAACATCATATAGGCCTTTGAAATTATAGAAAGCTCTACATTAAACAACGAAGCTAACACGTATTTTATTTCATTTAAAGGAAGTGTATTGCGCAAATGAAGAAACAGAACAAGGACCCTCAAATCGTAACGCACAGATAATGCATCACGTTGACACAACCTCCGAAATCTTAAAGGAAATGATAAGAGAAGTGCGAAATGATATCGCCGAAGTTTCAAAGCAGTCCGGACGCAATGGACCTCGTAAGGGTGCGTCCGCCTCTGATATTATGATTCAGAAAGAGGCTCGCGAATGGCGCGAAAAAATTGACATTCAAATTCTTGAAATAATGAACGCAATGTCTGATTTGAGAAAATCTCAAGAGATGATGATGCGGGTGATTAAACGGCGGCAAAGTTCGATAAGTTCACAAGGTGATATAGGTGACATGTTGAAAGTCGAATCAACATCGTCCACATTGAAGAAGAAGAAGAAAAAGAAAACTATAGACAGTTTTGAGCGGTCCACCAGTGAGCCTACAGCAGAGGATGGTAAAAAGAAGAGTTCGAAAACAAAGAAAGCAACTTGATTGATCGGGTCACAGTGATGGGCCTAAGAGCTTCACTGTACCCTAATGCAAAACCTTAGTGCTAATGCCATTTTGTAACAAGTAAATTAGCAGAAATTTCCATACAAATTTGCAACCTAAAGACCAGGCTGATACTTTGAAGTGGTTATGAAGATATGAAGAAAGTATAAGAAACCCCGCAGCACTGCAGAAAAGATTTTCGGAGGGCGTTTTAACAGAAAAAAAATATTGTACCGTTCTCGTATTATAGCTGGCAACTGGTACCACTGCTTTGAATTCGTGATAACATTGCTTTGTGATACGTTAAAAAGAAAAACTAGACGGAGGATATATGGAGTTATCACACATTAACAGTGTTTTTACTATAAATATATTTACATGAGCTTTGAAACAATAAATCAAAGCCACCATTAAAGCCCTGAAAGAGATACCCAGCTATATGACTTTGGCTATAGCTACAATATTTAAGGATGGAGTGAAAACTACAATCATTGCCAAAAGTACTTGGAACACCCAGCAATTTGGGTTGTGTTTCTATATTTAAATTATTTTCCCGGATACTCCTATTTCTGCACCCCCTTCTTCCTAAACAACGCTGATAATCTAGAAAACTACTATAATCCCTTACTTCGTTGTGTAGTAAACCAGCATTGTTCAAAGGAGGGAAGGAGAATGGCTGAATTTGCCCTCGGAAACTGACTTTAGTGTACCAGGACTTTTGGCAAGGATTGTAGCTCGTTTCTCAACAAACCCATCTAGTGTCAACAGAAAGCTTTTAAAACCAATTTTAGGGTTAACTATACCCCCGTATATTCATATTCAGGGTTTTTAGACACTGTTCGAAACGATGTAAGGGACTCGCTCATAACAGATTTCGATTACAGAGATGTTGAAAGAATTTGAACATACAATCATAAACGATAATGCTATATGAATTTACGTTTGGCACTGAGGCTAAAGATATCCCCTAACAAGAGAAATTGGACTTTGTAATTGAAGATAGCCCCATCAGAAGCTGGAGGCAAATAGCACAAAGCTACCTTCCAATTCCTCTAATTCTTTCAGCCCCCCCCCCAATATAAAATTCATGTTTAGGGCCCTGATACGTTTCATCGAACACAGCTGATTATTATAATGATTGATGACAATTGATGGTTTGAAAAGGACGGTTTTCGTAACAACAGAATAAATGGCGGTGCAACTAATTTAAGAAACAAGGGTGTCACGATATCGGCTGTAGTCAAAAGAAAGTATTCAGATGGAATAAGCAAAGAGCTCTGTGAGTTAATTCTATTCATAATAAACACCATAATATGTAAATATAAACCATTATTTGCGATGTTATAACAAAAATATCGTAAATGACATGCTTTATCTCGCTAAAAATTTAATAATTAGTAATTTAAGAGTACCAGCTTTTGATCTTAATCTCAATTTATCAAAAACTGACTAATTATTTTCAAACTGATCTCAATCATTGATGGAGTCCGAGTAAGATTAAGGTTGCTGTCACACCCAATACAAAAATACTTCCATTGGTAAAACATATTAGCTGAAAGGAATACGATGATAACGAGTGACAGCATGGCACCAAAAAATTTCCATTGATAATATAGTCGAAGCAATGGCAACAAAAATTTTTAATCAATTGACAAACCTAGAAGACATGGTTTGTCAATTGATTAAACCGACATGTTGTTATCAATTGCTTTGCCAGGTGCTGGCATTCAAGCTAATACGGGAATAGGAGGAAGGTAGGTATAAAATCCATTCTAGACTTGAAAGTGTCAGAAATGAAAATATGGAGGTACTTCATTGTATATCATGTCTGCTTTTTTCAATGCCATTTTTATATTCAATACTGCCAAGAATTCTTTGCAAAAAACTTCCTTTAGTAGAATAATAGAAAGAAATGGCGAGTAGGGCAAACTTCTGGAAGGAATCGACATGAAGAAATACGTGATACGCGAGGAAGGATAAATACAAGAAAGGGAAGGAAAAAGTGGAGGGAGATAAGGGGGAGTCAGTAAAAAAAACTTGGAAAAGAAGGTTGAATAGGGGAATAGAGGTGAAGACAGATGGATTAGAGTGTTGGAACGAGGGGAAATAAAATGAAGATTGAATCAATTGGGAAATGACGTTACAAATAGTAAGAGATGAAGAACGTGGAGCAAATTGGGGAAAGAGGTGAGCTGAGTAGAAAAGAGAAGGCATCTAAAGCCGTACCTAAGAAGTCGAGAGCCTAAAGTCCAATAACGACGTCTACATCTCACTCGCTAGCCGATAATTTTGATCGGATATGTAAGACGGTCTTATTCAGGGTGCAGTGTGTAATTACTTGCATAATTACAATTCAAGTGATTACTGTCACAATTACTATACTATATGATACACATGACGTCATGGAATATGTCAGGGGCATATATTTTACAATAGAGTCTAGATTTGATTTGAAAATTAAACGACCGAAAACACTACATAACATAAACAATTAACTTCTAATTATGTCGGCATTAAAACACAAACACAGTTTGACTGTAAATTCAAATTATATTTAATATCACTGTTTTTATTTCTTTTACTACTTTCATAACAACAACTATCAAGTAGATTGAGCAACGCCGCATTACAGCGCACTTTTCGTCATTTTAATAAAAATTTGGAACTTTGATACACAGTTTGGAACATGAGAGAGAAATAACGCTTTGAACTAATCGCAGTTCATGTTTGCTCAAAAGAGAGAGACATTTTCCCTCGTGTTCATGATAGACTTCCTGTTCTCAAACTTGCTCAATTGGGTATATATCCCTATAATTCGTCAAAATAGCAGCTATAATTGCACCAACCTGATATTATATTCCGTGCACATGTTTTTCGCCTTTGGAATATCATCATGGTTATTGGTACAAAAAAGGGAAAAATGAATTCGCCATAATATCCCAAAGAGCCTTTGTCTCTCCTCTGACTTCGAAGTTCAATTTTAGAGGAACCTCCCTGTCACGAGATCGGGATGATATTCGGGTAACTCTAGGAAACTCTTTTGTAGCATGTGGAAGATATCTTAAAAAAGGGTCCGAAAACCCATATAAATTGAAGGGGTAAACCTTTAAACATTGTTACAAATTTTAACATCCCATATTTGCAGAATGATCTATATACCTTGATAAGAGTATCGCAATGCCTTTGCTATTTTACAAAGAAACAACGGAAAGAGTATCGTTCAAGTCGCTATACAATTTAATTCAAATTTCAGCAACAACAAACCTTCATGAATTCGTGATTGCTAGGTCCGGGCGTTTGGAAAGGGCATCAGCATGAAGTTTTTTCAAATCGTTTTTAGTAAGTTTCAAGCTCAGAGCCTGCAATAAAGAAACAGGTTCTTGCAAGTTTCTGCACAAAAAATAGAGGAATACTATGATTGATAAAGCGATTTGAAAATGAATTCAGGTTGCAAAACTTTTGTATGTTTCACTTTGAAAACTTTACGATACGATGAGATGAACTTCGGGCAAGGATCTAAAGCTTGGTTTGATATTGGAGCTAAATAGGGGTGCTAGGTTTCCAATGGTATGGACATAAGTCGGGGTGGGGTAAGGCGAATACAGGGAATAATGGTAGAGGCTGGATGGGTTACTGGATTAGGGTGGGGCGGATAATGAATGAATAGGGTTGCTAGGGGTGCTAGGGTTGGGAGTTGTTGCGTGAAAAAAAGATATGAGTTTTGACTTTTGTGACTTGAGTTTAGATGATGATTCGCAGAAGTTGAACTTTTCTTGAGACTTTTGTCCAACTCAAAATTCAATATTCGCGCTTTTCAATAATTATCTTCGGCTCATAGGCTAAAGAAGGATACAAAAATGATCGAGGGTTAATGGAAGTCGTGTCTGTCCTTTTGAATATAGCGAGAGAGCATCTACCGCTAGAAAATGCTGTCAAGCGTGCATCAGAAAAGAACATGCAAAACTATGGTATACAACTTTGTAAAACTGCCCTTACCAACGGTATAAGTACTGTTTCATGCAAGTCTTCCCTGGCGATGTTGTTCACTCTTTGTATCGTGTCATAGTCACTAATATACGATAAAAGCTTACGAAATTAGATCCAATTATAAAAGTATGCAGACCTCTTGGTTTGAAGATGGCAGGGATGATTTCGTATGAGATATCGCTTGATTCTCGCAGTTTGTGACTGAAGGACATATTAGAGTCAGAAAACATTTACATAGACTTGATCATCTTTCATCGAATATTAGACGAGCAATAATTAGATTACGGTCAATATTTCATCTGTGTAGGCCTTTTGGCGGCTCATAAATCGCACTTCTCTAGAGGAAGTTAAATTCCCTTTTACAGAATTCATTAAGGTGTGCTAAAAATTGAATTTCTTCTTCAACATGCGATGGGATCGATAAAATTTTGAATCTAAAAGCCATCTGTGTTAGGAATGTTGTACCAATGGCACAATCGGAACAATGTAAAAGATTAGAATTTCACGTAGGAGCTTCGGTCTTGAGCGATTTGCAAAGAAACAGATGATGCGGGCTCAAATACGGCCTAACGAAAGTTATGCCAAATGAGAAAGACGTCTTGCCTTCTTCGCAATCTTACTCTAGGATACTTACTCATCATGTAACAACAAGCTTTTTTCCGTAGGAAATGCAACTTTTAAGACTGAAAGAGCTGTTCGGAACAGCATCTTCACCCCTGAAATGCAATAAAAAGTTTTTCAGATACTTGACTTAAAGATAGACACGTTGTAATTAGACAGTTAGTTGGATTCTTAGCAACTAAAGGATGGACAGGAACGACGCAAAGTGACAAAAACGATCTAGTACCAGGAGAAACAGTATTGTCATAAACAAACAAATACTAACATTGAAATTAAATGCATTGATAATTTTCTATGGCATACGAATCGTATTCAGATTAACTGCGAAAAACTTGTAATGAAATTAAAATTTTGTTGCTTTAAACAATTTCACGATGAAATAAAGTACAGGAGATATCTGATATGCCTATTCAAAAACCTTTCTTGTTCAATACTCGTCTGGGTAATGCTAATGGGGTTAAACCAAGGGAGGCAAGAAAAATATTCTCGTACTGGTAAAGAATTGGCTTTGCAAAGAAAACAGCTACTTTGAGAACGGAAATGTCACAGTTTATTTAACCATGTTGATAATGAAAGACCTTGGTATTTCAAACCTTTTGATAATTATAAAATTAAAAACCTTGTTTGACACAACAAAAAACCTTGCCTGTGTATCAAAAACCTTGGTTGACATTCAAAATCCTAGGCTGACAATCGAAAATGTTGGTTGACTATCAAAGCCATGTCTGACTTTTAAAAAACTTTGCTTACAATCAAAAACATTGATTGACTATTTCAAACCATGATTGATAATTGAAAACCTTCCTCAACTCAGAAAAAATTGAGCGACTAATAGGCAACTTGCTTGTGTACTAAAATGACTATCAAAAATCTTGGTTGGCTCTCAGAAACGAAGTCTGACTATAAAAACCTTGGTTGATTATATAAAATATTTGTTTACATTCAAAATTATAGGTTAACAATCAACAACCTTGTTTGAAACAAAAAAACTTTGATTGACAATCAAGAACCATGGTTGGTTATAGGTACAACATGGTAAACTATAGAAAAACTTGGTCGACGGTAGAAAAACTATAGAAAAGTAGGAAATGCATATCCAACCTTCACAGAAGAATATATCCCAAACTCTTAAAGCGGTTGCAAAAGGCAGTGTTCTAGAAAATGGAAGAAAAACGTAACAAACAAATATTCGATATGGAGTGAAGGGTCTGAATTGCTACTCAGAGTTGCACAAATAATGCGATCATCAGGAATGTAAGAAAAATATACAATTTACACGGTGAAGACTTGGCGCCAATAGGCTGTTGCCAACTACTTCTGACTTTTGACTTCGCTTCATCCTCTTTGTACAAAAGCATTTTAGTCTCTCTAAAACTCTACGTAAATAATGCAGCTGAATCACCTTATCCTACAATGCCTGCCAAAATCACTGGGGGTACCGAGCGGTTTGAGTCCTTTTCTGATAATGATCGTTTCTTTTTACGAAGACTGCCTCCGATCCCACCAGTCCTCCAAGACAGTGTCCATAGTTTAGGCAAATATCATACAAGCAAAATGATTAACCACGCTTCCTGCTTTCCTACCACTTTTTGCAGTAAGTCATGATCTCTTCAAGGGGAGACGGGGAAGGCAGGATTTGACAATTAGATATTACGTATAAAGCTCTAAAACTTTTGAAAGTGGGTGTCAATGAGCTAGAGAAATCACAAATCGATTATCGAACCCATCCAAACACACTTTTAGCTCGAACGTTTGCCTTAAACTTCTATTTTAAACGGTTGTAAAGAATCTGTATTTGAAATATAAAAATAGTTATCAGTTTTGAAAAAGAAAGTCTTATCAATCTTAATCGTTTTTGTTTAAATAGTACATTTCAATATGTTCTTGCTATCAGTACTTTTTGTTTACTGAAAACAAAGTCATAACGCAAAAAGTTTGGCGATAAACATTTGGGTTTTGTTTTCATCTTGAAATAGTGTCAGAACATGAACTAAGGCCAGAAGAAACGTGAACAATAGTGGCGTCTGGTAAAAAAAATTTCTTTAACATCTAATCAAGGTTACTGTCTACCAGTCTGTATTTGCGTCTGTTCAGTTAGAGCACACACGAGGCTTGTAATGTCTGCAAATTGATACATTTAAAACGTATTCATACAAAAACTCGAAATCACCTTGAAAAGACACACATCATCCACTCAACTATGTACATAGCTGGGTCAATACCATGCTTTCTCTACAAAAGAAATGGGCAGCTGATTGAGCTAATTCATGCTATCTGATAGTAACATTTGCCAAACACTAACAAGCAACAAGTGGCCTCCAGACTTCCAATGTTTATGAAGGAAATTTTGAAGCAGGCAAAAATACTATGAACTAGTAGACATTCTCCCATTAATGAGACCCTGAAATACATTGGAACTTGAATATAAGCTTTATATAAAGCAACTTTTTAAAGTCAACCTAACTGTGACAAGTTCATTGAATTTGATATAGATTCATTGATAAAAAGTCTCCTTAATAAAAAGTTGAATTATAGTAAGACAAAACGTTATGTGCATATGCATAAGTTAAAACAGCTTTAAAATTGGAGTCGCATAAAGTCTTTCAAGGGCGAGACTAATTGCTCATAATCTAGAGACTAGCCGATTTAGCAAAGTTGTCATCCCTCGACAAGAAAGATATTGAAGTTACTGCTTATTGGAAGGTTCGCAGTTTTTAGGTCTTGAACTTCATTTCTTGACGGTATGCCTATGCCAAGATTATCAGATTGGAGATACAGCCTCCTAAATAAACTCAAACTTGTAGCACCAAAATAAAACAGTCAACAACTTGGAATCAACTTATTTGGATATTGTGATTAAAATTAGTAAAATACCTAAATATAAACCCAACATGTTAACTATTGTGTAGATTTGAATTGATATTTTCTGCTGTTAATAGTATGTGCCCCTTTTTCATCTTTTTGTATTTTGCATTGAGAATTTAGTTTCCCTATGTTGTGCTTAGAGATTCGATGGCATGTAGAATAGAAAGTGAATAATTACATTGGCTTAACAATCTATACTGTTTACTTTGGGCCAGTGTACTAGTTATGAGAAATTTTTGCCACCTTCTGTAACAGTTTTTCAATGAACTAGCCCAAAAAGAGCTCCCTGCCCATAAGTACTGCGAATCTGATAGAATATTTATTCAAATATAAGAGCGGCTTATTGAATGTAAAAGAAAACAAATTTGTTCTACTCACAAAATGATTTGAAATATATGGATACGTTCGTTCGAGTAAAGAAGAAAATATCAGACAGTCCAGCTGCACTGATTCCTGAAAATCATTGAAAAACATAATTAATACTTAAAAATGCAGGTAAATGATAAATAGAAAAAACTGCATGTGAAGAACCTGATAGAGAATTGACATACCAAAAGTATACAACATTTTGAAATTTGCTATGAAATAGATTTATTAAATGACATTTATCTATGACAATTCAGATTACACTGAATCTTTTAATCATTACCCTAATTCATTGCATATATGCCAACTTTAGTTTACAATTCCATAAATTCCATTATTTCTTTCTCATTTCCTATGTTTCATTAGTTCATATCGTCATTCTGCTTCGGTACAACTTTTTGCTTTTTGGTTCCTTGCTTTAATTGTGCAGCAAATCGGCCCTCTGCTGTATCAAGCTAGGTTATTCTGGATGTAGAATGGTCAAGATAATAACGGCAGAAAGTCCTGAATTCATTTTTAAAATTATCAAGATTCGAATCAGTCAAAGCAGAAAATTAACAGAGAATAGGGGAAAAACATAAATGGATGAGATATCACAACAGAAAAACCGCATCAGCTTTGGGATATTAGTAATGATTGTGGTTATGGGTCACATGATATTATCTCATAGTAGCAACAGAAAGAAGTATAGGTTTATCAACTTAATAAATGTCAATCAAGAAGTATCGAGGTTTATGCATACCAGCTTTTTGCCAAAGTATCCTTGAAGGTAATTATCACAAATGGAAACCAAAGCCCAAAATGATTCCTTGGAAATCAATAGGATGACAATCTTAACAAACAACATTTAACATTGATACTATGGTATTCTCTCTCTAGAGAGATAGAGAGAGAGACTATGATACTACAGTTACTATCGCAGTCTTTCTGTTACGCATTATGTTACAAGATACTATCACACTTTTTTTAAATACAGTTAACCGGTCATTTGAAGCAGAAACAAGATACTACGTTATTAAAAATTCCAAGACATAATGTAATGATAATTATGGCACCACAGGTGTAAGGAAATAGAGGAACTAGGGAGAGTGTAGTAGCCTCAAGTTTCGAGCATGATTGATTCAGTAATTTTTCTAAATAAAAGGATAAAGTGCCAGGGAAGGGGTAATGTATTGGTGATGTAATTCTGTCTCTTTGTTATTCCATGATTTTGAATCTGGCCCTGTTTAAAAAGGAAATTCTTCATGGGGTTTTCCTGTTGATAACATGGGCATTCCCTATGGTAAAACATAATTTTCTGACAGTTAAAAAAGGTATTCTGACAGTGAAAGTTTTCTGACATTTGATGCGCTAAAATAATCATTTATCCCCAAAACGACTTGACAATTGGCACCATCAAATCAAAAATTGGCTTTCTTTTTCATATACATAAATGAAATTTGGATTTACTAAATTAGGTGAATACGTAAACCAGGTAATTGCCAGAAGTAACAAGGTTTTAAACACCAAGAAAATATAGCTTCTTGGTTATATATAGTAACTATAGGTGTTGATAATAACTATAGGTGTTGTTTTACCTCTTCTGTCATATGCATGAGTAAAACAGCGACAATTGGAGACAAAGCCTAAATCGAAACAAATCGATTTCAATACAAATATCATCATTAGCAAAAGATACAATGGATTATAACAGTATCAAGACTCTAGGCAAGCAGCATTGATTGGACAACCTCAATAGTCGTGTACTCGCATTTTCTAACTGATGACTTTGTAGTCCAAAAAGAAAAGGCTGAATACAGAAATGAAAATTATTTAAAAAAACAAATTGACATCATGAATTTCTTGGTTACTTTGCAGTTGAAAGATGGACATAATACCTAGTAGAATATCTCAATTTAAATTATATGATTGCAGTAAAAATCGTACTGCTGCACACAAAACTACAGTTATGTAAAGAACAAAACAAAAACACCAGAAACTCTTCAATGTAATAATCAGCTGCTACAAACCTGACTGTATCCAACATCTGGATTATACAGACTATAGGCTTTGAGAACTCTGAACAAACTGGTTTGCCTTTATAAAAAAAGAAAACAGCATTTTATTTCAATTTCATACAATAAATAAAGCAGCTTGAGAAGAATCATGAAAAATTCATTTTAAAATAGAGCTTTGATAATTATAGAATGGTTAGCACAAACATCTACTGCCTTGAAAACTGTCGTTTTTGAAAATTGATTGAAGAACTCCTTGAGCTTTCTGTCAATTTTTACAACAAGAAAGAGCTGGATTTATTGTCAGTATTTATGCAAGCCAAAATTTCCTTGTCAATATATTTTTGATATTTTTGAGGCTGAGTGTGATATTTTGCTAAAAGAACTTAATAACCTTCACCCAGCCCTTCAGTTTACTTTTTAAAAGGAAGAAAACAATTTTTGAAAAGGAAAAAAACAATTTCTTGCCGTTTCTAGATGTTTTGGTTGAAAAGTCTGGCACTGGATTTTTTACCAGAGCATCCGTAAACCTATATTTTGCCCAGAAGTTCGTTTTGCCTAAAACAAAGGCAAATCAACCTTATCAAAGCGTTAACTCACAGCGCACTTGTGATTTGCTCCAAGTCAAAACTCGACTCGGAACTTGGCCAACTGAAAAATATCTTTCTGAAAAACGGCTATCCAGAGAATGTAATTGTGACTTAAATTAGAGAAAAAATCGCAAGCATTTCGGCTGAAGGAAAATTTGGTCCTCGAAAGTGTCTGGTTTATCTAAAACTACCATGGACTCGTAACAGTTCCTTGCGATTTAAAAGTCGGACCAAACAGGCTGTTACAAAACGCTTCTTTGCTGTTAATCCACGTATTGTTTACAGTATAAAAAGGTCCATCAATTCAAAAGGATTGCGTTCCTACCACCCGAAAGAGTTCCGTTATCTATGAGCTTACGTGCCATTGTGATTCTGGCTATGTAGGACGCACTACCGAAAGATTGGAGGATATAATAAAACAGCACGTCCCTTCTAGCATTAGAAACAAAACTCTCGCCCAAAGAGAGCAGCCACTTCGGTCTTGCAGAACTAAAACTACATCTAAAACATGCGATTCTAATAACATGGGTAATGGCGACATGTTTCGGATTATTGGTAGAGCCCGTTCGTCGCTCCATCTAGCATTTTTGGAATCTATCTACATAAGCACGAAAAAACCACTTTTTGGTAACATTTTCAATAGGCAAGCGGCACTGATTGGGCAATCTCAACAGTCATGTGCTTGCCTTTGTGGTTGGCCTATTTCGATCCACAACTGGGTATATTATATTCCCTAGCGTAGTATTTTTATCTACGTTCTGATGTTTTATACTCTGAAGAGTTTCAAACGAAAAGCTTAAGTGTGACTCATAATGTTTGCTTTTTTAAAACCATTTTTAACTTTTTTACCACGGAAAAATTGTTTACAAAATTTACTTCACTTTTAGGGAGCATCCATGTCGTTTTTAATGATTTTAGGGAAAGAGAATTTAAGCTTGATAAAGTTATTCACCCAGGTCCCTTGTCTTCAATGTACAGCTCATGATATGGAAAAGTTCTTGGTACATCTTTCCAAATAGTATGCTCCCATTCCGGGCTCTCCTTTTCTGCTAATTTCTGTAAAAGACAAAACTACTCCTGATTAAAAGTTGAAAAACAAATTGTAGTTGGTCAGCAAGCCTCGTTTTTCAAAGAATCGCACAGTTTTTTGTTTGAAGACAAAAAGTGATTGAACTTTTTACCTTTTGGAGGAAGTTTGGCAGAGATGTAGTGTGAAGAAATCAGACGCCCTCATCCTATAAATAATCACTGGGGTTGAGGTCAGAGTTGCAAAGGAAGATGAGGAATTAATTCAAAAGTCTGGAGGAACCTGTGTTGTTATTGCCATGAAACTGGACTAACCTTGACTAGGTCAGAGTCACTTATTTTGAAAGAAAGCATATTGCCCAACTTTTCCTTTGACAAGATACAGCTTATTGGACTTACTTGGCTAGTTCAATGCACCTTTGGATGAAATAGGTGTTGATGGTCCTGACTGATGACACAATGATGATGATTATCATTATTATGATTATGATGACAATTGATCCAACCTTTGCAAACTTCTTTTTGCTTAGATGAAGTAAAATAGTTCATAATATCACTTTTTAATAATAACACTTTCTTAAGATCTCAACAAATAATTGTTTACTTTACCCCATAAACATCTGACTCCTTTTCTTTCCGTTTTATTGCTCCTGTTAACAACTGCCAAGCCCTTCCTCTTATAGCTGAGGGTATGCCTTTTCTGCACCTTTCCTTGATTTTTTCCTAAATATTTTGCAGATAATTTTCAATAAAAGATTTCAAAATTAAATATATTACAAGCAAGAATTTCAAGACTATTTCCACGATATTCACAATTATGTAAATACACAAAACACTATGATAATATGAAAGGCTAAATTTTACTGAATAACACTTACTTACATTAATCATGATTAGCTTAATATATGTTTTGGATTCTTAGAAAAGAACTATTGATCAAAATTGCTTTTCTGATTCTCAATAGGAATTGCAACAAGCAGTCCACAAAATTTGATGTCACTATGACTAGAAAGTATTATCACAGTTTTACTTATTTACTTATGTTTTTTTATCACCTTCCATTTCAAGGTGGCAAGATAAACAAAACTGTCAATAATATGTTGTACATCAAAGATGTGGTTGCTCTACCATTTCTAGCACACCTGGGTTGGCTGTAGTTTCTTACGAAGCAAACTTTATATCAACCCTATCTATCAATAAACTTTTTCTGTGTCACTCTTTGGAGAAACTTATTTCTTTTGTACAACCTGCCAAAAGTCCTTGGAATGACTTTTTACTAAAGTGGTGTTTTGAAAAAAAAATTAGCATTTTGAGGCAGAAAAGGCTGACATTGAAATTTCTTACTCTCTTTGATTTGGACTTCATGTATGTTTCCCAGCTTTTCATCATGGACAGCCATTTCATCTCTCTTTTTTGTACAATTTCTATAGGTAAATGGATCTCTCTATAAAGAAATAAAAATTGAGATGAACTATGAGAAACATTTATTTCTATTCTCTTTATTCTCATTATAATAGCTACAATAAAATCATTATGAATCATCAGTATAAAAATAGAAACCAGTATCATAGAAATTAGTACTAGAACTAAAATTATAACAGAAGAATCTGGATATTTTAAAAGTTAATCAATGTAAACTTTCTCAGGATGTGAATCATCATTGGCGACCATTAGTTCTTCATTCAGCTGTTCTTCATCAAGGTTGTCTTTTTCATCATGTCAGTTTACACACAAAGGACAATTTAAAGAAATTGATAATGCAAGAAAAGTAATCTAGGAAAGGATCATTCTATATATATGGAGGTGATAATGGTAGTATCTTATTTTTGAATGGCTCAAGATTCAGTTCTATGCTATATTTCAACAAAGCTTGCTATAAAGTCCAACTTCAAGGTCCCTCATTTCATTTGCCTACCTTTCATATAGATCGAGCATTTAGTTTTAAGATTATTAGATGATGTTTTTAGACACACCAATATGATATTAAATTTTTTTATATTAGCCATGAATTCACTTTGGCTCCCAACTGTACCATTGGTCAATCACATTTGTTTCACATAATTGAATAAGTTTTGCCTCAATGAGCCAAATTTTCTTGCATGTGTATTTTCTTCCAGGAATACATTTTATATTGCATGAATGGCAGCTTCAGTACCCACTCTGGGACCTTCACACACTTGAGATAATCCTGCTGAATATTTGAGATCCCCTTCAAATTTTGATGACTTCAATTGTATGTAGTGGAAATCAAAATATATGAAACTGAATTGGAAACAGAATGCGGTGACTGTCTGTCAAGCGACAAAGTACTTCACAAGTTCAAACTGATCTAATGCCAGGGTTCTCTTGAGGAATCAAGCAATTTGTGCTTTAAGCTCTCAAGCATTATGGGTCTGAAAAATGAACTGAATCAAGCAAACAAAGCTGCAAGAGACCATCTGTTTCTCTCAAGGAACTATAAAAATGTAAATTCTCTACTTAGTGATTTCAAGCATGTAGTATCTGATTTATAAACTGGGCTATGGAAGTAAATGCTTTCCTTTTGTTCTCAATGGAGAATAATAATTCAGTTGTACAATACCATGCATGCCCTGCTCATGAATAAAAAATTTCAGTGCCACGTTCACCATCCCTTCCAAGTTGATCATCATTATTATTGCCTTGCTTAAACTTCCACCTTGCTCTTTCATTTTTATATTCTTACACTATGATAAAATGTGATCCAGATTTCACTTCTTTATTTAGACTCTAAATTTGCTTTGCTAGAATGTTCCTGCCTTTGAGTGTGCACTTCAAATGAACAAATGATTTTTTAAGTTTGGAGACACTAACAGAAGCAAAGCAAAGTGTGCTTGATCAATTTATTCTATTGTCAGAGTTATTTTGTATTTTTCTGGTAAAAGCACTATAATCAGTGAAGAAAATCACACAAATGTTAGTAAACGATGCCAATTAATCAGGACACGCCTACACAGAACCCAATTTCCATAATGCCACGCCCAGCCTCCAATGTGTAGCTTTATTTTGGGAAAAATATCTGTAGGACACTGGGAAAACTGGACATACCGGGAAAGAAATATTATTTATCAATATCAAATGATGAAATATTTTATAACTATATTCAGCATATAATATATCATATTATATTCGAATAGGATGCAGAAAAGGTGTAAAACCTTTTAGTTAAAACTACTTACTTGGACTGGACATTTTCATTTGCCTCGTGAACGATAAAACCATATCGATCAGTTTGAATTTCACCATTCAGTTCATTTATATTCTTACTTCGATCTAGATCTTTGGTGTAATCTTCGATCCTTTTGTAACTTAGGCCGGTGATGGTTGACGGTCCATGATCTTCCTCCCTCCGAGGGCTTACCATTTTCTAAACATTTAATGCAAATGTCTGTTCATTAAACTCAAAATATATGTCCACTATACTTTTTGAAAAAATACACAATTTCATACCGGAAAGGAAGCTTATCAAGCCCTACATTATCGGAATTCCAAGCTGTTATTGTTCAGCTGTGATTTCCTCCTTTTAGCTCCGAGTGGAAGTTACACCGGCCTCGTATTCAACAAAATTGTTGCTTAGTGACCTTGTCGTCACTACAGATTTCATCTGGCTCGAGAGAAACCCAAACTCTGTTTTCTACCATTAAAAAGTCTTAAATTTGGAAACAGAATATATGTTTTCCAGAGCCTATCATAAATTAATTTCCCTCTAACCGACTTATCACAGTATTTTCTCCTGAAAAATAATTTGAATTGGTTAGACACCTGTGCCGAAAATCTTCGAATTGACACCTATGCCGAAACCACATAAGGTATTGTTTACGTGTTTTTAATTACAGCTCTTTTTCCCTAGTTTTCACAGTTTACACAATTGTTGCTGGGATACCTAATGTATAAACATGTTAAACTAATTCCAATATGACTAATCCCACTAATATTATTCTTAATCCTGATTGGTAGCTCTAGTGAGAATGCACGGTTGATCGTACATACACTAGGGTATCAAAAGTATTGCACCACCTCGTAGTTAGTTCTTGAGTTGATGTAGGACAGAGAATTCACGTTTATATCGATTGATAATATCTTACGGTTTATCCAGCCTGTTTCTTGAGTTTTACTCTCATTACGTGGTAAAGAATCAAAGAATGCATGGAGTGGGATTCACCTCAAGTATAATCTTTTACTCCAGTCATATTTTAATTAATTTGAGTATGGGGCTTAAGCTTAAAGATGACTGCAATTTCAAAATGCGTTTTATTAAAGGAGAAATTTAATTTTTTGCTATGAGAGATCATTTTCTTCTTACAAACCAGGAAAATTTTCCTTTTTATGATTTTTATAGCTATTTTTTGCTCGTGACCGTAAAATTAGCTTCATTTTACAGTGTCGTCAGAACAAAATTCATATTGGGAGGGGGGTGGGGGGGTAGCTGCTCATTGTCTTCCTTCTCACTCAGTACACTGTTTTAAAGAAAATATACTACAGTTTGTCAACTATCAGGGGGCTCGACCCCCACGGTTCCGACGGGCCTGTCCATATGTATTATGTCAGGTAAGGATTCAAACCAATTACAGCAGTTCTCCCAGCAAAGACCTTTCGTCACTTGGTGTCGTAAACTTCTTTAATCTGCCAACCCTTGGTAAATTTCTTACGGCTCTTGTAGGGAAAAATTTTTTACATGATGCATAAGCTGCACTTATTGAGCAGTCGACAATTCAATGCAATTTCATGAACATAATAGGGTGATTTTCAAAGAAGGCAATTGGCAAGCGCTTCTCGCAATTTAGTTCTTGATTTTCAAGAATTGTCTTGTTTACGCCTTAAGGCCTAAACACTTTCCATGGTTGATGTTTTTTTGAATTTTGGCGTATATAACAGCTGCCTTTTTTGATGGCAAAAGATTTTAAAAGTCCGTTAAAATTCGTTGCATGGAAGGCCTTCATGAAAAATTGCATGAAAAATTTCGATTATTTTGTGAACGTACAGTTTACAAAAAGAAAATATTTTTGAGCAATATTTGAGCACGAATTTTTTTATTCCCATCTTTCCAGGATTTTTTCCAACGATCAACAGAAGAACTACCAACTAAATATGACTAAGCACTATATGATCTAAAAGTTTTTTGGAAATCAAGTGCTTCAAAAAAAGGCTCTAGGTTTGAAAAACTCTCAAACTGGACTAGTCAAAACGTCTAGATTTTCAAAGTACAGTACATAGATTGTTGTTATTCATCATTTTTACCATAAATATGCGTTGGCCGATTACTTCCTCTTTGAAACATTTTTAGTCAGGAACGGAACTCTATCACTTGCCTTTAGTATCAGTTTATTCTAGTTCTGGTTTCTCGATTTATTTCCTAAGCCAATCTGTTACTTGTTGTACAACTTGGACAATGAGCGATTTCTTTGACCAAATTCCCATGTTCAATTTTCTCTGGTAAAAACATACTAAATAAGCTAAACTAAAGCAAATTGAAGGGAATACTAAGTATGGGAAAATGCTGGCCTAAGTCACTCTCTGACTCGCCAATTATTATGTTCAAGATTTTTGTGCTATATTAGGTGGCTTGAAAGGCCACAATCTTGAACACAATCTGGAAGATCTGCCTACGTTGCAGAACCCGTTTCCAAACTATATTAACTAAAACGATTTTAAAACGATTCTCATAAAATGCGTGCAACTCTCCAACTCTCACTCCCTAACTAACCGCGTGCTCTTACGTCACCGGTAACAGAACAAAACGCTATTTTCTACGGTAAGCACAATAAGTTACAGAATGGTGGACTACATTTCTTTCTACTTTTACCTTGTAGAAAAGTGAGGGGCCCTGGTTTCGCTGGTCCTGCAATACGTTGAAAAAGTGTATAGATTTGGTCAGGAAAAATGTGAGTGTAATATAAATTCACTCACCGTGAGCTTGACTGTCGTGGGAAAATTTTTCCCGTATGCATCTTAATCGGTAATCCCTTTCTCATGCTGATTAACACGTGCTCCTATGCCCCCGAGTTACGACGCCTCTTGAAAAAACAAAACCCACTGAATAGTTTTTCCTTCGAGGACCTCTCACAACCACATATTTATCCGAAATCCCTGCCAAGCCCAAATGTGCCAGGCAAAGTTGAGTTTGTTGCATAAATTTAATTCAGACGACAACTTCGACGCAAGTTGAAAAGAAGGGGGCAAGGGCAAATTAAGGACGCTGCAAAAAATAGGGCCATAGCCCCGGCCCGGCTCCTTTCTTCTGAAGCCGGTGTGATATGCGTTTTGGTACCCTATGCAAAAGTGTAACATTTTGAAACGCAATGTGTTACAAATCATGTTGATTTATCATGGTGTGATGTTAGGACACAATGTGCGTTACAAATGGAACACAGTGCTTCCCGAACAATGCGTTTCCTATATAAAGGAAATCAGAGCACCGCTTGTAGTTAGCACCGCCTTGTTAAAAATTAGTTAGATTGCTCCTTACATTCTGAACAATACGGACCAAACCGGAATGCAAAGAATATAAGAGCCAAAGCACAAGAACCGTATCCATAAACTCAGTTGCTTTTGTACCCTCTTTTCTTTTTTCACAAAAATTAAATAACTTGAGGTCAAGCTTTGTATATACGTTTTAGTCAAACAGGCCAAACTTTCCTTGGTTGTATGTAGAACCATTTCGAAGAAATAATTTAGAACAAGCTGAGGCAGAATTACAGCCAAACTTTAAATTTGAACAAATTTACGAAACCCCCTTAAAAAGTGTAATTCGAAAATGGTTCGTTTTGGTTACCTCTTCTTTAAGTTCTTGGGTACGTTTTGCATAACCAAAATTGCCATGCGTTTGTGTACCCGGACCGAAATGCATGCTAAATTCTACCATTCGTTTTGGTTACCTATTGTTTAAGTGCTTGGGTACCTTTTTGCATAACCAAAATTGCCATGCGTTTGTGTACCCGGACCGAAATGCATAAGGTTACCGAAACGCATATGACACCGGCTCCTGTCGTATGGACAAAGCATTTTTTAAGGCAAGTTTATTTCTCAACTCGACAATGTGTCCACTCAAAACCTTAGAAAAGTAATCAAGTGACCTGACGGTTAATTGGGGGGGGGGGGGGGGGTCTTTTTCAGAAGGTCCGACCAATGTGGGTCCGACGTGGGTCCGACCAACAGCAACTGTCCAATGTCTCGTGATCAGTAAGAGGCTGAAGCAAGTTGCATTCATTGCCATTTCCATTTTATGTTTGATTCTATACTGATATTGATTTTTCACCAGTTGAACCGATTCAGGTTGAAAATAGGATTCATATACTGCTACAAGCTCACATTTATGTTATAAATAAATTACAAACAAATCACCTAAAGCGTCAGTTCAGCACTTCAAAGTCCCGTGGATGCGTTTTTAGGCCTACCACTTAACCATTAGGATTAGAAAAGAAGATCACGCATGCACTTTTCATTGCAAACTTTCCTATTGGCCTAATTTCATTTTTGAATATTTGGCTTGTTTGAAAGATGTCTGTTGACAAAACCGCCGTCGAAAAGAAGCTTCAAGAGAGTTTTTTGCCGATCCATTTGGTAAGGAGTGTTTGCTTAATCTTATAATATTATTTGGTAAGGAGTGTTTGCTAAATCTGAGAGTATGAGCAGAACTTTTCTTGAGCTTTGCAGCATGCAGCCTTTCTTAGTTTGCTAGTCTGTCATTAGATAAAAGCAACTCAGAGACGATTTCTCTGAAAACTATGACATTCTAGTTTAACTTTTAAACTCAACTACCTACCTGTGTCAAAAACAACAAGTTAAACTACCTATGTTACAAATTTACAATATAATTATTTACAACGAATCAAAACAATTTGAGATTGTTTATAGAGAAATAGAGGGATATCATAAAGCAGGGGCTCTCAGCTCTCCCAGACCAAGCATGTCATTTTGGCTATTTATGGCTAAACTATCAGCTATATTAACTAAATTATAACATCGTGATTTCTGCACCTGGAATTACAGAGAGCTGGAAATACCCTCACTCTGGGTGAAAGTCTGGTCATATCTTGGACTCTAGCCACAAACCCTTGGGTCTGTAGTCAGCGCCTCTAAAAACTTAGCCATTCGCACCTTAGATTTTTGGTACTGAGGAGCTGTGCTTATTGAGCTGTGTCCTGGTCCTTTCTCTCTATGTGTGTGTGCTTTGTGTTTCCCTTGCCTAGAATTACAGAGAGGTGATGTCTCTCCTCACCTTGAGTAAAAGTTCAGTCATGTCAGGGAATCTAATACACAACCCTTGGACTGTAGTCTGGAATGCTAACAACTTAGCCGTTTGCACACAAGTGACTTCGTAAGTTGTCTATTTTAGTCTACCCAGACCTCCGGCACAAGACACCTCTGTGTTCATTGGATGTCTTTCGTATATCTTACTGCAAGCAAAGTGTATCATGATTTGATAGCTTTATAGATGCTTTATATATTACTTACATGCCTGCTCCAGAATTCCAGGTCCTTTCATCAAAAATACAACAATTTGCATGTTGAAGATTTTATAATCACCTCCCAAAAGAGAGAGGAATTACACTGTCTGACCACTTAGAGATAAATTCACTTTGCAATACAATCAATGGTGTGAGAGAGGGGTTAAGAAAGAAAAAATTCAGACAAATGTTCATCAAGAATATTTTATCACGAAATATGAAGTTTCATAATGAAACCTTACTACATACTCAAGTAGTTGTAGTGGATTTATCACTAAACTATATCACTATATTTACATTTTACAATACATATCTGAAGAACTTTTAAAAAGTATAAAATCAACAGTTAAGTGCGTTACCTCCAAATGTTATAGTTAATTTCTAGCGCTGTCATCAAACATTACATCTCTTATTGATAACAGCTCTTTTTGCCCTCTACGTTTCTGTCCATGCATATGATCATCCGTTTAAGAGTGTCTTTGCACCACTGAATAAAGAGCATTGGGGGGGGGGGGCAGTAAGAATGTTACTTGGTAAAGGACTGCTTTGTGTCTTTAAATTCATTTAAGTTTCCTAATTTCAGAAATCATATCACCCAGGTCTAGTGACTAGTTTGATACATACAATATCAGTCCTCGTTGTGAATGATCCATTTGCAAGCACCTCAACATACACATCCTGCTCCCAAGAGTGCAACTTGGCATTAAGTTTGCTTTTGATAAAATAACACTTCTCTGTCTTTGAACCAGTTAGGTTACAGAAGACAAATTTCTTTATCATGTTTGTCTTCTTGCCAGGACTTTTTTGTGCTAATTATAACATTCAAGTACAGAAATTTGAGGCCATTGTGCAGGAGATTGCTGAAAAGTTGTGATAAATTAGATTAAAAGAAATTTAGAACTTTCCCTATTTATAATCTCTTTAAGAGGCTTGAAATGAGCACATTTTCAAATACTGTGATATTTTCTATTGTAATGTTAAATTTCTCATGATTTTTCCAATCGTTTTATTTTGAAGGCTATTACTGATATATCTGGTGGGTGTGGAACCAGTTTTTCCACTGTTATTGTATCAGACAAATTTGTTGGACAGCCATTGCTGCAGCGTCACCGAATGGTTAACAGTGCCCTGTCTGAGGAGCTTCAATCTATACATGCCTTTACGATGAAAACGCTCACACCAGAGCAATGGGAAAAGCAACAAGCAATGCATTAATATTTATGCAATGGCAGTTTTTTATAATGGCCCTTCGCTTTTGTGGTTAAAAATTGCATTTTATGATAAACCAACAGAAGTTAAAGCCGTTCCTAATATTTTTTAATGTAGTAGAATTGAATAGTCATACAAAAGACAAACTTTAAGAAGACTGTCTGGGAGCACTTTTCAATGACATTTGGTTATTACCTTACATCTGGATTTTTCGTCAAACAATATTTAGCTTAAAATTGGTTAATATGAAATTTGCTAATGATTTCAAATGTTTCTAATAATAGAGAAAATAGATAACGAGACCAACAATAAAATTAATTGTATCGATGCTTTTTTTCTGTGTTGTATTAAACTTGCAATTTTATTTATTTTATTTATTTTATTTTTCAAATGTGAATATTGTTAACAAGACAACATTTTATATCCCAGGTCTAGAATGACATAAACTTCTTATGATCTCTTTAGATGTGAAACATGTGAGTTCTTAGCTGAAAACAATAAAGTGTTGTAAGCATGCCTGGTTGGAACAGCATTATCTGTGACCAACACCATGATAAAATATCAGTCAACAGCAATTAGGCCTACTTTACTCTGGAAATCAAATTTTTGCATTTGCAAATCACCAAGGCTTGAAATGTTTGTATTATCACAAACAGTGCTGCATGGGATTAAAAAACTCAGACTCTATAAGTAGAAAAAGGTCCATCAAAGATTAGACAAAAGATACAATAGTTTTGGACACAGAAATGTTTAGGCTAATATGTACTGTGTTGCAATTACTGTGTTTTATTTCTAATTCACCTAATCCTATGATTCTTCACTTCGACCATGACTATAGTACCAATAGCCAATAGACCTCTCTAAGCTAGCATTATAACTAAGCTAGCATTATAACTATCTAAAACCATGTCCAGTCCGTGTTAGTTAAAATGACAATGAATTTAATATAACTTCAGTTAAAAACTCTATTTTAATAATGATATTTATTATGGAAGGTGAAATTTCACAAGAAATTACACAGGTATGCATTGCTGTAACAATGGTCTTTTGAAAGCAGGTTCACATGCATTATAAATATGTACACAATAACTAATACCTACAGTCTGAAGTTCTCAATTAAAAATTGACCTAAATAAGTTTTTGTGCTATGTCTTTATTGGATCGTTGCCTTTGTACATGACTTGCTTGTGCTTTTCTTTGTCGATTAGTGACCTTACTTCCCAGAATTGGTTTCAATGCAGGTAAGCTAACAATTTGGTGTTTACCTCGAAGTGCAGGTGGGAGTTTAGCAGATCTAAGAAATAAGAATCATCCATAAGTAAATGAAAGATTGCAAACCCTAATGTTCCAAATGGAATACAATGACGGTTTTTGTAATGTGTATTATAAAACAATTGCAAGATGACCGATATTATTATTTACAAAGATGATTACTCATAGGTTAAATAATCTAATAGAAGAAAAGTTTAAATGTCACCTTCAGAGCACCTATTTGAATACCAGAAAGAATATTTCTCACTAATTTCTTTCATAAGCAGTGTTGGTAGAAAATGGCACAAAAAGGAGAGAACCCACAAAGGATGTTTAGGTCAGCATCACAACACAAAGTAGAAAGAGGTTGTAGAGATTTTGTAAGGTGAGGCAAATGGTCTTTGACTAGATTTTGTGAAGCAGTCATAGATAATATTTTAGTGCAAAGCTCGTATATGGATACTATGCAAAAGACAGACAAATTTGAATATGAAAAATTAAAAAGACCAGGCAAACCTTGACACAAACTGTGGTTTTTAAGATGTGCATTTCACAATAAAAGAAACATAAGAGCTCCAATCAAGACTGGGTAAAATAGAAAATCATACTGACACCTGTGTGAAAATACAACATGGGTGGTTTTATTTCTGTTGAACTTAGATTGTTGTCAACACTCTTTCTTTTTAAATCATTATCAGATCATCAGTGATAAGTGAGGCTGAGATTTTTTAAATCAACATGAAGAGCTCAGACAAGTGTCATCAGCAAAATAGTGATTACTTAAAGGGGCTGTCACAGGGGACATCCCGCGTGGCAACATGCCAGTTGAGCGAAAGTTGTTTGGGTGAAACAACAGGCGTTCAATAGGAAAATCAATAAGGAACAAAACAGTTTTTTGTATCCGTGCTCATCGTGCGAAGCTTTCGCATTTTTGTATATTTTATGAAAGGTAACGAAAAATAAAGGCTCTTTCTTCAGTCTTATCACCATACTTCTTTGGATAAAGGATGGCGATGCAAAAAATAAGGCTACTTTTACAGCTTTAATACAGCAACACGAAGGGAGCAGTTAATAGAAATTGGCCAAAATGACAACAAAAAACCTCCCTCACCGGCGCAAATTATAAGCGAAAATATTTTCTAAAGTTTGCAGAACAATTTTGGAGTGATCATTTTGTTATAAAGTGTCCAATTCCATCAAAATTCACCAAGAGAAACGAAATATCTTTGCCATTGATTGAATAAAGATTCATTTCCTTGGCCTAGACCAATTGCTTTACACATTTCCTGTCGATAGTCAGTACAAATGCGGAAATAAAGTAATTGTCCTTTTCATTTTCGGTAAATACACTCATTAAATACAATTTATCGAACTTATTGAAGCACCGGAGAACCATCGGCCATTATTCCAATTTTGCAAATTCCAATGTCCCGTGCATTTGGTTTGTTTACAAAACCATGACACAGCCCCTTTAAAGAGGGAGAAGAAAGTATATCACTGATGAAGAGAAATAGAACAGGAGCATGGACAGAGCTTTGTGGAACACCCTGAAGACTATAGAGGAAATCATCAACTAAAATGACAACAGACCTATAAGAGAACAACTGCTAATCAACAAAGAACAACATTAGAACCTGGTATTATTAATGTGTAAAATGGAAGTAATAAAATAACTATTTCATTTTGCGTTGGATTGCATGAAAAGTATGACTAAAGGTATGATTACTAATTATTTTTGGAAATTTGTGACAGAACACAGAAGAATGTTCCATGGTAAAAGGTACTTTTGGGACATTAATCAAAGGTATGTATCTCACAGGCTTTTTCGTTTGACACGAGCGATCACTCGCGATCTCGTCAGCATTCGCGCAAACCAAACCACGCTCGCGCAAAACAGTAAATTGTGAGGAATAAATGTCTCATCAATTAACACAATTCTAGTCATCTTTTGTGAACCAAGCATCAAAACACAGGGAATATAAGTATGTTGACTTAACCACACCTCAACGAATAATGAATTTGAAAATCAATTCAACCGTTAGTGTTTATGAATACTTAGTATTTGAACTGCATTAGCACTTGAAACAATTTCTGGGCAGTGAAAGCATTTTTAAAAGGTATGGAACAGCATTCTGCGATCATCCGGCAATAACATCTTTGTGACCTTCGTGATGTACATAAAGTTTATAAACAAAGCACACTTATAAACAGGATTTAGTCTTTCTTTGAGTCCATCACAAATCATCGTAAACATTCATTTTCATTTGACATTACCTTAAACAAAGGTACCTTATAACAGGAACAATTTCTTCACTATCAGAGCGATCGCTCGCACAAGAGAAATCACGGGAGCGATGGGCCACTCGCGTGGGCTTTTTCTTACAAAAAGGCCTGATCTGAATAACATTGCATTACTATTGAACAACAATACAATTAATCAGGCATTCAAGAACTTACTTTGATGCATTTCGAAGATCAATTTTTGGTAGATGGTTAGTTGATGGCCTGTGAGAAAGGAAGCATCAAATTATCTTTCCCTGGATTTTTGAAGCCTCAAAAGAAAAAAATTTCCTACGTGCTTAACAGTTACACAAGTTCATTTTATTTCAAATTAATATTTATAGGTCTTGTATAATTATTATATCTTAACTTAATAATCATGTCAAAATTGTTGGATTTTATATGAACATATCTGAATTAAAAACTACCAAGAATTATTGTGAAAAATTAAGAAAAACTCTCCTAACATAAATCAAAATGAGTTTAGTATCAAATAACATTGTCAATCCAATGAAAAAAGCAATGCGAATGTTGCTTTTGCATCAATTTGTTTTCCCAAATTTAACCAAAGTATCTCATCACATGCAAACAAAATAAAATGGGAAACGAACTGGAAAATCTAAAATAAATGAAGATATAATCAACTTACAAGTACAAGTCATCATATCTGCCTCTTTTCTCAACCAACTTCTCTTTCAAATGACTTAGCTAGAAAAAATTATCACGTTTTACATCAAGCATACAAAATAAAAAGATACAATTAAAGGCTTAGATAAAATCTAGGTACAAGAAGATTCAAGGAAAAGCATGGACCTGAAATCTAAATTCTGAGAAATTCAATCCTGTGATACTGAGATATGAGAGAATATTTAAGGCTTAACCCAAGTTGTGTTCATGTAAAAGTATGTAAGTTGTACACATATTTTCTACTGGTAATGATAAACGATGAATATTTAATATAATAAACAGCTGCTAAACAACACAATAATGATAAAATTTGCTTGTGGCTTGCTTTTATTTTGAACATAGTTGGTGGATAATTAACATGGTATGTAAAAATGAGCTTGATCAGAAAATACAAAGAAGTAAAGCTGTTTTTTTCCAGTTGTTTCTTAAAGGTAGTCTGTCCCCTCAATGATTGGCTAATATGAACAATAGCTTATCCCGCCTTAACGGTTACGCTGCTCGCTTTGCGTGGCCTAGCTGCGGTAGTGGACAACATTTGAAACTGCGAGCAAAGGGCTATCAAAAATGGCAAGAAGATATCATAACTGGAATTGAATGATGATAAAAAAGCATATCTGTATTATTTTCCCTGTTGACATATCTGTAGTGTAGCAGAAATCAAACAAGGAACCAAACTTTTCTAGCCACAGATTCGCTACAACGGGAACACAGCCATTTGATTCGAAAGCTCTGGAATCAAAGTTGTCTCTGATTGGCTTAAATCATTTAATTATCGATCAAGCTCAACAGTGCGTGAATTTCACTCCCGTGAAAATAAAGTTGACCACAATAGGGGACAGACTGCCTCTAATCTACTTTATATCATAGAATATAATTTACCTCACTAGCTTGCTTTGCGTTAAGCCGTTTTAAATTTCTGATAATTTCCTCATAATCTTCAGGTGTGTAATCTTTCCCAGTGATTAAAGCTGGTGTGTTTGTATCATGTGATGTCTCATTTTGTAACACGCTTGCAGCAGGCTTGGAAAACAAGCTTTCTTTCTGTTCTACAACTTCAATGGATTTGCTTGGTAAATAGGGAGAATTGTTCTTATTTATTGTTTGGTGTTGAATTTTTTGCTCCTTCTGACTGTGTTTGGCTGAATATAAACCAGATCTGGTGCTGCTAAAAGAATAAAGAATATATAATATAATATAATATAATATAATATAATATAATATAATATAATATAATATAATATAATATAATATAATATAATATAATATATTAATATAATATAATATATATAATATAATATAATATATATAATATAATATAATATATATATAATATAATATAATATAATAATATAATATAATATAATATATATATATTAATATAATAACATAATATAATATAATATAATATAATATAATATAATATAATATATATAATATAAGTGTATACTAGATAGAGAGAGAGACGATTGATTATGATGATTATTGTAATTGTTGCTTATGATGTTGATGATAATAATTGATTCTATTCAGCAAACTTTGTTTTTTGCAACCAGGCCCCTTTTCTAAATGTGGATTGAAATATGGATTAATTCAGTCCATTCACATGATATCAACATCAGAGCAACATCAACAATATCTTCGAAAAAAGCTGAAAACTTTTTAAAATCATTTCCATCTTTTTAATAATAATTACGGGACAGATATTAAGATTAATATAAACAGTTAGATAATCGAATTATTCCACGAAAGAATGCTTCCTGAATAAAAGATGCAGTTAATGCATTAGATTATCATTAACTTTGCTCTGTTCATTTATATGACCTGACAAGAGTTCCCACGATGATAAATCACTGAATATTTCATAATACGTTTTTAAGCACCATTAATCTTATTACAAGTTCATGATAGAATAAAACCTTTGAAGAGAGAAAAAATCTGATCTCGCCCTTGGAATTAGGTAGCTACACTGCAGAGGCAAGATTCAAACCATAAATGTATTATCAAAAGAGAAAAATCCAAAACCGCAAGAAGGAATGTGTTGTGGAGGGATAAGTAGATCAATTTGATGAATTAAAACTATATAAAACACATAAGACTTTTATCTCAATAGTTTGGTCATCAGTTAACTTACAAAAATAGAATTTTACATATAAAGTAATGAAGAAAGGGCTTTAAAAAATGGGAGTGAAACACCCACATGTAGAGCTTTGCAAAAAAGTCAAGTGGAAAGAGTGATAAGCAACATCTGTGAAATTAATAAACTGAATTCACTTTTCCATCTTTAGAATTTTTAATTTTTTTTCCGGCAACAAAGGGTCAAACTACATCTTTAAAAGACAATGCAAGTTAATGCAAACTTCCTGGGACTCAAAAAAAGAACAGCTTCTATGTAAGGGTCTATTTGTTATTTAATAGATTAAACGGTTTACGTTAACTTCCTTTTGCTGTTAAAGTTACTAAGTTGCTAAAGTTACTAAGTGACTGGTCAAACAAGAATAAAAGATGCTATCACTAAAACTGTGAGAAGAGATGAAATACTATAAATTTAAGTGAGATCAGTGGTGCTATTTAATGTCTATTATATACTTCTTACAATCATAGATTATAAACTGATTTTAGAAAAAGATTGCCAAAAATACTGCATTCTTTGAACCATGCAAGATTAAAATGTTTAACCGTTAGAAATATCAAATAACATACAGATATTTTTTAATACAAATTTAGCAAAATCTTAGGAAAAATTTTTCAATAACATGTATGCTCTGTAATATTAAACTTAGCCCTACTAATAAAAAATACTTATGTAACCATAATTGCAAAAAGTAATGTATATAATATATAATCATATACATCCAAAGAAATTATATTTATAAAACACCTGGGCACAATTATACTGAGTTTACAATTACTTTGATCTTGGAATATAAAAAATCTATTACAAGGCATCTCAAAAAGCAGCAGAATAACAACGTAAAAAACGTCTTTCTTTAGCCAATTTATCAGGGACATAAGAACTTATCTATTTAAATAAAAGGTTTTCAATCAGAAAAACAAATTTTTGCTAGCACAAAAAATAATTCAATAAAAGTTGTCTAATTGACAGATCTGCTACTTGATAGGAAAAAATCTACAAAAGAATGACAAATTTACTTCTTAATGCTAGATATTGAATAGAAGAGATAGCAGCTGGCCCATATGCTTTCAATCATTTGAATCAATCATTTCAATAAGAATGAATTAATAAGATTCCTGTTGCTAAGTTTGGTCTACACATGCAAAAAGGTCAAACAATCCCATCATTGAATCAAAACAAATGTCCAAATTTAAGAGCTCAACATTATTGGTGGACGAAATTGGAGAAGATCTAACATTTTCTTTTATTTAAGAACAAATGAATTAGGAGCTAAATCATGCTAAATGGGTTAAGGATTTAAAAAACTGCAGACAAAATTTATATTTCTAACATCAATTTATAAAAAAAAGGCCCAGCAATCTAAACTAAATTTTAAATCATCTCTATTCTTGTTATCTAGCATTTTCTAATTCATTTGTTCCAAGTGAAAGAAAACTTAGAATTTTTTAATCTCCTCCAATTTCATTCCACCAATAGAGTTTAGCTAATAAAGCTGAACAATTCAATTTCATTTTTCTTTCTTTGATGAAGGGAGTGATTGACCTAATTTGCATGTGTAAGCTAGTATCAAAAAATTATTTAGTAACAGGACATAAACCTTTAATCCACTTTCATTGAAGTGATCAAAGCATAAGATTGACAACATCAGGTTTAGTTGCTATTCTTTCTAACTAATACCCAGCATTAAGAAACAAAATTGTTGTATCCAAACAATAATTTTTCCAATCAAAATGCAGAGGTGTTCACTGCTTGAATTGAATTATTCATTGTACTAGCCAAATTTCTTCTATGGTTATATATTTTGGCAGTAAGAGGAAAGGTTCTCGTGTCAGAGGGATAAAGTCCTATGGGAGAATTGTTTGACATGAATATTAAATAATATATATAAGTTCTATTTTCTGTTGTCTTTTGAGATGTTTCAACACTGATTGGTCAATAAGGTGTGGAAAACTTGAATCTCCAAACCAATCAAAGATTTGGAACCTGTGCTAATTGTAATAATTATGGTTAATAACATGTTAACACTCTTCTTGGTCTTATAAATGTCAATTAAAACTTTTATATTTCATAGATATAGAATCAAATCTTGTTGGCTTTTATGTTTGAAGTTTTTCCTGAACAGAATTTTTAAGGCAGTTGGGGCAGGTATGATGCTTAAAAACCTACCAAATGCAAAAACAACTTTGCCTAAATCAAAAGATGACCTACCTGTCTTCGGTACGAGATGCTTTGCTTCCTGCAGACCTATAGCTGGCTTTTTGTCTCTTTGTCTCCTCTTTGGAAAAGGAATCTCTCTTTCCATCTGATCTTCCTCCTGGGGAAATAAAACATTTAAATTTATATACAAAAAGAAAAGCATGCAGAACTTTTAGGAAACAAGGGTGAATGTGATCTATTTTAAAAGTGTATTAGCTTATTAAGAAATCGACATTGCATATTCAATTTTAGACAGACATATCAATTTTACACTTCACCAGTAGCTGTGTCAGCCACTGCAGAGTGGGAGGGTGCTGGGCGTGACCAGTGAGACCAAGCCCTTTTTTCCTTGTTTCAATGACTTGTACCAGGTCAACTTTCCTTAGGAGAAAATATGATCTGCCTTTTCTTAACATTTTTTAATAAATTCCTAGAAAATTTTGCAGACAATGTTTTGACAAGTGAGGGGGGGGGGTACCCCCTATACTCCCCTTGGCACCACTGCACTCCACAGCTACTGAATTTTGTATCTATGTTTGATTGGGTTGGGAGAAATATAAGAGGATGTGTGACATGCATTATCTGCTTGCGTTTTGTATTAACATATTTTTCAAAATTTAAATGTATGGTCTTGAATGAAGCACCTTGACATTTCAAGAAGAGTTAAAATTGTCATTGTTGAATGCAACAGTAATTCAATTATTCAAACTACAAACAAGAATAGGTATGTTTTATCTTTATTCTAAATTGTATGACAAATAAGATTCACCTAACAATAGAAAAAGGAAAAAATTCACAAAAAGTTACAATCAGGTCTATAATTATAGCAATTTTTTAATTTGATGTATCATATAACACACAGACTTTAGGAAACAAAATAATATCTGTAAAAATTGACACTTTGAGGAATTAAACAAGATAAAGAATAACAAACTCTGTAACTTTTTCATTGAAAATTAATAAAGAAGTTGGTATGATTGCAATCTTGAAGAATCATACCCAAAGTCTGCTTCCTTATCAAGGAAGGCTGTCGAGGTTTGCCAGAGCCTTCCCTTCTGTTAACTAAGTCTTTAGTGTCTACAATGAAAATGGGAAATGATCAGAACACCCTTCTCATAAGATTAATTCAATTTCTTATTGATGCTGTACTTACCACAGATGCATAGTTTTCCAACTGATGTCACCATTTCAGACCAATCTTATAAAACCACCAAATGATAAAAGGTGGATACAGGGAAAGCTTTCTTTTGCAAAATTAATAATTTAATGAGCTTTGAAAAAAACCTAATCAAGGAATATTAACACCATTTAAGTTAATGTTTTGTGATTAAACAATTTCCAAAATGCAACTGAAGCAAAATATTTTTTAGGTATAATTGGAACTGACATACAAAGCATGCTAGAATTTGATCAAATGAAACCATCTTCTGAAGATTTTGAAAAGAAAGGTTTGGTATATGGCATTATATGAAAATCTACATGAATATTGTAAATCCTCGAATTGCCCCCCCCCCCACCCTTGAAAAAGCCTCCTTGAATAAGCCCCAACCCTAGAACTACAAATTGTCAAAAAGCCCTCCCCCAAATAAGTCCCCACTGCTACCATAAATTCTCGAATTGGACCCCTCAATTTGATGAGTTTTGTCATCTGAGGTTGCCAATGGAGTTTTATTGAATTACCTCAACAAATTCATATTTTTGATAGTAATTAATTAAATCCTCATAAAGAAGTTCCTACTAAAATAATCGAGGTCTTTTAAAAAATGTCTTCTTAATGTCTAGAATTTTATAAGAACATAAAAAGCCCCCCTCGAATAAGCCCCCATCCAAAAATATCAAAAATAAATGAGCCCCCAGGCTAACTTGAGGATTTACGGTATTCGTTCATTGGTTATCTTTACATGGAGCCATTGCTGGCCTGACAATTTCAGGTAAATGCTGGTCCACTTAAGGTGACCAACTTAATGATGCAAGATGACCTATTTTAAATGAATTCTTATCATCCTATACAATTCTTAAAATATCACTGCTGGTACAGAAGGGACTCTAAAAAATTAATTTCAATAGCCTGATTTAAAAATGCCTAACTTCAATCCTGATATCCACAGCTGCAACGTACTGAACCTTTTAATGAACTAAATATTATACTCAACTCTTAGAACAGCATCTTAATGGCAGACTGTTTGCTAATGATATTCCAAAGTCTTGATTTCATAAACTTGCAAATTAGAATTTTTAAATATATATTTCTGTTTTTCTTTTTGCATTTTGTAATCAAACAAAGATTAGATCTAAATTTGATTCAACTTTTCCAATTGGAATAACCAAAGTAAATTGTGATGCTCGATGAAATACAAAAATTTTCCACACCCAAAAACCCCACAAAAATATATGGAAAACCTCTGCTTACTTGTTCTCGATATTCGAACAAGAAAAGCTTATGCAGCTGATACAAAAAGTGTAATTTGAATTTGAAAAAAGATTTATAAAGAATCCTGAAAGAGGCAACTGGAGTCACTGGATAATACAAAGTAACTTTCAAGGAAAAGAAATTTGGAATATAATAACACCTACATTTGTTACTCATCACCATGGTAACAAACATTCTATGGTACAAAGGTTGTTCAGATGTGTCTAAGCTGCAATAATAGAAAGGATTAAAATGGGATTTCTTGCAAAAAACTAACCTTTTGAATCAGGCGATACAGAGAATCCAGTATTTGTCATCACCAACTTGAATGTAAGATCTAAAAAAGATAAAACAATAACATGATAAGAATGAGTCAACAGTTCAATGCATTCTTAATTGAAAACAGGTTGAATTGTATCATTGGGATAAGACCCATTATTTGCTGAAGACTCTTTGTATTAATGTATTATTGATAGGTTATCCTTTTATGTCTTTAAAAGGTATCATGTTTAGGCCAAATCAAACAATTGGTCATAAATAATGTTCCACACTGGATACTTTGTTTCTTGCATGAACAAATTCCTTTAGGAAAATTTTATGGTGGTAGTGCTCAACAATTTTTCCCAGTCTGGATGATACTTATATAGCAACAGTCTTGTATTTAACAAAAGGATTCATTAACCAATATTGAAAGTATTATGTTTCCTCAGTCAGTAGAGATGTATCCAATAATGTGTCATTCGATTCCTTTCCATATAAACCAGAACAAAGTTTTTCAATGCCCAAAAATTGAAATGTGTGAGAAGGAAGAACCACAGGATAGGATGTCTGCTGGATTCTGTAAATCTTGCAATGAGTATAATTTAAATAAGAAGTTTTTTAGGAAACTTTTGTGACTACGACCTAAAATCACACATATTTAGGAATTTATAGGGCTATCAACTAAGCACTGTGTGTGCCCAATATGCAAAAGCATGCAGATGGAAAGTTTGCGTGTGTATGTGGGGGGGGGGCTAACATAAAGGTGGTGCTTTGCAAAGTTTCCAAAAATTGAAAGTTGCACGTTAGCTAGTAGGAGAATCAATAATCAGGCATTTTCTTGAAAATAGTGAATAAATCTGGGAAACAAAAACTGCAAGCAAGCAAGACAAGAAACAAATACAAGCAAGAAACATAGAAAGGATATCCTTAATAGGTGCATACAAGATGTCGTAATGATTGTATCTTGCATGCATAGTGATTTCTTTGAATTTTGGGAATCACTTAATATGATGTAAAAAAAGCCTTTGAAGGTTTGGATTAGAGGTAAGATTTAGACACTGCTATAACTTCCACTATGGAATCCATGTAGCTTACACCGGAGATATCCAGCATGGAATAACAAGTTTGGTTCAAATTGTTTTTTTTTGCCTATATCTGGTGTGAGCTTTAAATGAATTCCAACCTGGTATAATTTTCAGGTCAGGCTGCTTCCTATTCATAAACAATGATAGCAATCTAAATCATTAAACAATATACCAAATTAAGAAGATGTTAAAAATAGGAAAATTTGTCTGGATTATTTGTCAGGTCAGGCAGATGACATTATCATAAGAAAACCTAAAAACTTATTAACTACTAGAGATTTTGTTTGAGTATGAGTTAACTAAAACTTCAAAAAATATTTTTAATTATCTCAAACAGATATTTTCGCTAAACGGTTTTTCTGACTTTTCCTTTAATCTTTCTAATCCTATGGCAATTAATAGGTATTTTTGCATCACAAATAAACAACATTCCAGTTGCAAATACAAGGTGGCCTACTACCTTTTCCTTTCAATTATGCTTTAGAAAGAAAGTCCGGTAGAGAAAAGGGAGATTCAATTTTTACATTCTGGACTACCACAACCTCACACTAGGTATCATGCAGAGTCGTAAACAATGAGAATAATTATATTTAGTGTTTCATTATATTTTTATTTATCTTAAGCTTAACATAGAAATGAGTTGTATACCTCTGTTTTGATTTTTGAGCCGGTCTAACTCCACGTGAAGTTTTTTTAGAACACCCTCATGCTCAGCTTGAACAAAATATAATTTTTTGTCAGCCACCATCGCAGAATTATCGTCCACCCTGAACTTATCTTTTCCAGAATCATTATTATTACTGTAACGTTCTAATCTAGCGAAAGCAGTTCCAGGGGGCGATGTTTGTGTGCCTTTTGATGTTAAAGGGCTCACAACAAACTCTGTTTTTCCAATTTCTTGACTATCTTTTGTAATCGAACGGATAAATCTATTTTTTTCTAATCCTGTACGGTTCCAAACAGGTAAATTCTTGAGCGGCGGTAGTCCAGTTGTAGGCTGACTGTATAATTTAATTGGAGATATTGGAGGTGACACACTGGATGAAGGTGAATGGCCTGATATTAGGTCCATGTTTCATCAACTATCTTTTGCAATCCAATACGTCTACGAATCCAAGCATTAATATCTTTTCAACACGGATATCCGAATTGTTGCTGCAACTATCTGTTCCAGCCCATAATGCTCAACTATATTACAATAAACACAGGACGAATCGACGACTCTTTCGTCTTGCCTTGGAGATATTCGGGTTCTTAAGAATTTGATCAATCGAGCAAATCAACATAAACACAGCTGTAATACACAAAACTGTTCGCGTAACCAAGTCTCTTGCAGAACCTGCCTCTTCTGAAATTAAAACACGCGTTGAGCTCCTCGTAATTTATCCAAACAAGAAAGTGGTTCTTTTCTGGCCACCCGCCATTTGACATCAACTTTTAATGAATAGTAAGATAATTTCCGTTGTCATGGCATGATAGCTCCTCCACAGCACGCGAAAACACAGACTTTCGTTAGTATAATTTTAACTTCTTTTTCAAACAACCTTGAGCTACCTCATCCTTAAAACAAATCCAAAGAGAATAAACAATATAACAAAGTAAGATTACTTATATTTTAAAAAAATAGGATGAATTATCCCTAAAAGCAATGTCTGCAATAGTTTTTTATATCAGGCAGATATTATTTTGGAAAGAAACTAAGAAAGGACCTGCCTTGATAAAGATTCTTAATATCTTCGGGGTTTTTCTAGCAAAAGTTTATTAAAGGTATCTAATGCAAGGATGTGTGAAAGGAACCTTGTTTGCAACAATCGCGTGCTGATGAATTGCGTGCTGATGCAAGTGCAAGAGGTTTTTGGCAACGTATGCAAAGAGCATTTGTTGATGTGAGGGTATTTTACCCTTCCGCTCCTAGCTATCGCTGCAAAACCTTAGCTGCAACCTTCAGATCTATGGAGCTGACGAAAAAGAGACAATACAACCAGGCTGTTATGAATAAAGAAAACGGAACTTTTACCCCATTGATTTTCTCATGCAGTGGTGGTATGAGCAATGAAACGAGGAAATTTTTCCAACGTGTATCGGAACTAATTGCTGAAAAACATTACCAAAATGTTAGTGAAATCTCTGCTTGGATCAAAAGAAAGCTGAGTTTTTGCTCACTTAGAACTGCAGTAATTTGTATAAGAGGTTCTAGGTCCCGACAACATGTTGTCCCTATTGGTGAAATGGGTGACATTGACACTATAAACAATTTATCTAGCATCATTAATTAAACAATTATGTTTGTTACTTAATTGTATGTTCATTTAATTTTGTAAACCGGCAGCCTTTCGGCATATAAACAGTGCTGAATTCTTTACATTACAACATCATCTCTGATTCTCGGGTCAAAAAATTGATAAAACACGATACGCAGAAACAATGCAGAAAGACGAGTAACAATCCAGAATGGGCAAATCAAATCTTAAAAACCAAAGTTTAAAAATTAAGTAAAAAATAACTGAATATCATAACTATCTGAATGAATTCATTGGACTACTCTGAAACTCTTAACATTAACTGAAACAAAATTTTTAGAGAGGAGAAAGGGGGTACAATAGAAAAACGTTAAAAATTTAGTATAGTTAATTTAGTATCGGTTCTGGAAATATAGCCTTGTTTTAACAGAATGTTGTTGTCTTCTGTCATAAATTTTTGAGGTTCTTTCTATAGAGCTGCACCTTTCTGAAACTTTTTATCAATAATCTCAACCATCAAAGGGGGGTTCATCATAAGCACGACTTCGGACAAACTATTTATTTGAAAGTTTCTGTCAATTGAAAAAATTTCCAAATCATACCAGATAAATGGTTTCTATTTCGCATCAAAATCTTCTACAGTCAGGGGCACCTACACAGAGGGACTGGAGGAGGGGCAGAAGGGGCAAGAAGTGCCCTGGAAAATAAAAAAATACTATAGAATTTTATCGATAACTGAGGACCACTTTGGCTACTCTCTTTGTGTGAATATTTATTAGAAAATACTAGACAGATGATAACACCAGCACAAAAATGCAGAGAATGAAAAGTTTGTCTGTGACAAGGTCGGCCACAAGTGGGAGAGCGGCAAAGTTAATAGATGATAAACAAAAGACGTGTTCCCTCAGAAGTACTCCAGGAACCTAAGAGGATAAATCGGTTTGGAAACTTAGCGGGCAATCAAAATTTTACAACCAGCCCATTTATAAAAGCCATGATCTTTATAAAACCAAATAATGTGAATAGTGAGTGACAAGGCTATTTAATACTCTTTTTTATGCGTGGATAAATTCGTCAACATTTTCTCAATGGTTTGAACCTTTGATATAGAAAAAACCCAGCTGTATGGGTGGCACATTTTCAAGTTAATATTTTATTATGTTACCCCATCCTCGCCCTCCTCCCACCTAGGAATGCTTGATTATGTTAGTAGAAAAATTTCACAATTTGCCCTCGGCACCAACACTGCCCCTCCTGCCCTAAACTTGTGCAGGCGTCTTTGGTCTACAGCTAAATAAATGAGAATTGTTACTAGGTTAGTTTAAAAAGCAAGGGATAAATAAAATTCTTTGAACAGCAAGGGTTCAACTGAAAGGCAACTCAGACATTTGTCTTCGGCAAAAAGTAATCAATTATCAACTATGACGAGCATTTGACCCAAAACACAATGTTGAGGAACAGCAAAAAGGATTTGATATCATATCACATAGCTGAATCGAAAAAATCAAAAGAAAACAGTATTTCTACAATAGGAAGTGATGATATAGATAGCTTGCTTGCAACATATAGCTTCAATTTTGGTCATGACCATGGCAACTAATAAATATTAAGGGTTTTTAACCACTGATTCGTTCTCTTTTTATGGATCTTTGCAGGTTGACACATGTCAGCATGGTTATAGCAATCTGTCATTACAATTTTTATGCATTTTTAATGATGGACATATTGGAAATAGTTTTAAACTTAGCGATGACTGAATAATCGGGCAGGACTATAAAACAATCGCTTTGCGTGAGTTTGATAACTTAGCATGTCACTCAAAAAAACAATAACTGGTTGCTGTTAGCATTAGAACGAAAAAAATAAAATAACTAAATTTAAACGAAACGAATCACCTAGATGAAGAGGTTACATGACCTGAAAATTAGCAAAGAATACCGAACGAAATTTCATCCTTACAATCCTTAATAAAACGACAAAAAAGTCATGTAAAGAGGATTTCTTTGAACGGCTTTATCGCAGAGAAAAACGAGACATGACACCTGTCAGAAGATAACCAATAGCAACAATTTTCTGATAAATATAATCTACTCTGAGAAACTAATAGGGAAGATATCTCTCGAAAGTCAATCTCGTGACACAATGAATTTAAAAATACATAGAACCTCATATTGAGGAGATTTTTTATCGATGAGTCTTTGGTGTTCTTTCATTTTTCGCTCTCATTCCCACTCACTAAGATTCATGCTTGCATTTTCTCGCTTAATTACTTTCGTTCTTTCTTTATTCGTTAATCAATTTGCCAGACAAGCAACCAGAATACAACATTCAAATACACAATCTTTGGGCCGTCGACATGAAACTAAAAATGACCGCAATATTTTCAAAATTGGTAATTCAGACTGACAATTGTAAATTATGTTTAACGTTGACTAAAAGTTTTCTTAATAGATCACTAATAAAAGGGTCAAAATGAATGATTTTTATTTTTTGGAAACTGAAATAATAACTCATTTTCTTAATGTAATTCAACTGTTGAGAAATCTATACAATAGCGAATACAGCAGCCAGTGCTTTGCTGCTTAATAACACTTGTGCACTCATAACTAAATGCGTGCATAAATTACAATAATTTATCTAAAAGCATAAACCAAGAGCACAATTGTACATATTGAAATGACAGTTCCAACAATAATGGTATCTCGTCTTTTTCGAATATTTACTTTCTGAATTAGATTGTTGATGGCTGGAAAACGATTTGACGAATGAGTTAAGGAATATAAGACAGTTGAAACTCAACTACAGAAAATTACTGACAAACATGTGTGATTAGGGCTAACAGAAACCTTTGAGTTTTTATGCAGTCTTGTAATGCAATAAACTGAACCAAGGTTTTAAAAAGAAACAGCTAGAAGCTGAGACTTCCATTTTTGAGATTTGAGCATTATGCTGAGATGTACGGAGATATAGTTTATAAAAGAAAAAAATTCGCTTCCGTTAAACCGCAGCAACCCCCCCCCGCCACCCCCCGCCACCCCCCCTCGCAAAGATAATCGAATTCTTTTCTGACATAGTTTTCAATTTATCTCATTTCTTGAGAAACTTTAGTCGAGTAAAGTGAATGGAACTTTACGTAATGCAAAATACGCTATAAGCAACTAAAGAAAAGGATATTAGAGACATTTCCAAGACCCTTCGAAATATTGTGTAGTACATTCCTTTGGGAACTGATATTCTCCTTCGTAGCCATCGCAATCCTGCAATAAAATTGATGTAAAAGGTCAGAATTTATAGCCCCCTTTCAACACAGAAACCTAAAATAATTCTGACGCCGTTATTGCAAAACAGATACTTCGTTATCAGAAAATAATACTTAGATAATGAAGGTCTAAATAAAAACACAATTTTATTTATAAGTAACTGGGTGCCATCATTTACAAAAAACATATGGAAAAAAGTTAAAATTATTAATCACTCTATTTGAAAGCAAGAAGTATTTTGACACTGTAGCCATGAAGGCATCTACGTCAGAAGCAACAGAGGGAAGCCGGAAATCTTAACAAAAATCAAACGTAAATGGAAACGACCTCTTTGTTGAAAGCAAACTCTTACGCACAGGTGGAAATAGCAACTCACGCATAGTCTGGAGTCTGGCCAGAAGCTTGAAGAAATGGTGAGCCAATTACTTGCGAAATGAATCTTGCTAGATTTGTTATATACTTGATTCTTTAAATACTGTAAGGTAAATAATGATGTATACTAACCCAATTGCTTCATCTGCAAGTCTGTCAGAGCTGAAAACCAAGAGGACAAAAATAACAGAAAATCAATTCAAAGTAAATATGTAGAAAAATAACTTATAAAAAAATAATTTAAAGTATAATGAAAAATTTATGAACTTGAAAAACATGGAACCTATTGATCAAATGATCGACTAAAACAAAAACAAAACTTCTACGCATCCAGGTTCTTTTCTACATAGTAAACCATTCCAAGTCTACAGACTAGAAACACATTTGGGGCTTAAATAATTTGCAAAAAAGTAAAAGGGCTGCTGCACATTTGGCAATGCTAGTAACAGTTATGTGCTCGTGTATTCTGATTGGCTTATTTCGATACACAACTGCGCATATATACCTCCTAGCTTAACATTTTCGATCATTTTCCTGATGTCTTATACTAATTAGAGTTTCAGACGAAAAGCTTAAACATGTTTTTCAAAGCAAACTTTAGAAAAATATCTAATATCTGCATATGGATAAAGAACATGATTGGCATGAGAAAATCTAAACAGAAACCTGAAACATGGAAATGTCAAATAACGTACTTCCGTAAATGTTCGTGCTCCTTCAAATATAAATCTGTTCTTCTATTTAGGCCATTTTTGTATGCACTGCAAAAAACATTCAAATAATTAAGTTGTAAAGTAAACCATCAACATGATTTGAGTTACTTGACAAGCATATTATCACTAGAAAGGTTCTTGAAATTCAGAATTGGCAACAATATACAAATTCATTACTAGGCTAATACGCATAAACAGTGACAATTGAACAGAATTTTTGCAACAACGTAACTATGAATAAACGTGATTGAGTGACACGACCAGGAAATTATCCAGACCCCTAACGAATTATACTTTATGTTGTGGTTCTACCTGGTCACGTTTTCAATCCAAGCCCAATGCTGTACATCACCCCCTCTTCACCGAATAAAATTAAAGAAACGAGAAAAAAATACACACAGTATGAAGGAGAGCCAAAACAAGTAGGACTCACTTCATGTCTCTTTTTACAGACCCAAGGAGGTCTTCCCTGTCTCTGTTCGCTTTTATACTTGCCTGTTCAAAATATAAAAACAAATTACAATTACATGTCTAACGTTAAAAGATCTTAAAGTGGAAATGAAACTCAAGTGGAACTGTCATTATATCATCAAGGTAAAACTCTATGGCTCAATTAACTACATCTTTACTAGAATTAATTCTATCATGTAAAGATAAGACATAGATAAGACTCTGTAAAAACTGTTCCTTTATTTGTAATACATTGTATTATCCTGATTAAGCACTACTAAAATGTCACACTTTAAACCAACCACAAAATCAAACAGTTGAAGCTGCATCCAAAGTGATCTTATTAAGGAGGCCTATTATATTCTAATAAAAAGGGGAAATTTATAACATGAGCCATTCTATTGGAAAGATATTTCAAAAGCTTGGATGGAATTTTGAAACTTCTGCTTTGGCAACTCTCTAGAAACCAGTCATTTTGTCTCATGTCTGGATTAAAAGTCTTAAAGGCATTGAGTCATGATAAATAGACTGGGTATACCCTAAGTGCCAAAATCCGCTGAGTCATGAATGCGATGCTATTGGTTGACCTTGAACTGGTCACATGAACTCACCTCGTACTGATTTACATAACAGTTTCCATCAGTAGCAAGTTGTCAACAACGGATGCCAATATCACATGAAACAGCAGCGATCACGCCGAAACCAAATGACCCCCTATAGAGAAAGCCTATTTACCATGACTCAATGCCTTTAACTTGTCAAGACCTTACAAAAACGTTGTCACAAAATTCCAAAAGTTACAGCTGAAATTTATCAAACAAAGAGAAAACATAACATAGGAATCATTTGCAAAAACAGTCTCTAAAAATCCCTTAAATTTCTGACCTTTGTTTTTGTGAATTCATGTAAGTAATCTTGTAAAATATCTCTATGCCTTTGCATTGTGTGTAGCTGGGCTGCACTGGGTTCTGCAAATCCTCTTTGTGAAAAATAATCTCCCATTTCATCAGATATTTTTGTCAACTAAAATGGAAATTGAAAAATCATTTTCTGAGATGTACAAAAACAAAAAACCTGTTAATTCTTTCCTTTTTTACAGAAGAATACACTTGCATAATTGTGCAGCTTCGCAAAAAAATTGTGGATGTTATAGAAACAAACAGAAATTGTCTTCAATACATTCACCTATAGTTATTTTAAACATTAAAGCTATCTATTTGAGCATAAAGCACAGAGCGATGAGCACAAGATGAACGACCTTTCTACCTATAGCAAAATTCAACCCCCTCCCTCCAGCTCACTATTAATATCCTCACTATTAAAATACAAATACACTTTGAGTTGAGAAAAGGTGTGCCCAGGACTATAGACACAACACACAACTTACCCAATTAGAAATACCTAAAAAATAATAACTTCAAATGATCTAGCCTGTGTACTAGATTGTTTAACTTTGATTAACTAACAAAGTGTCTTCACAGTCATAAAAGTCAAAACCATCAATATTGGTTGTTTCTCAACCATCTAGCTATTAGAAATTCAATCTTAGGAATAATCTAATTTTTGGTATGAAAAATATCAACATCAACTAGGGTCAAAATAGAGAATGTGCCTCAAGTGGCAGATACACCACTATTTGCTATCTATGTTACTCAATTGATGCAAAAAGGTGTGGTCTCAATAACACTTTAGAAGTATGCCCTTTCAGTTTGTCCCACCACAATTTCCCCTACACCTCAATTCTTGGAAACTTGGCAACTATGAAAACAAAAACCCTTAAAAGTCACACAAGAACTTCAGATGAATCAAATGAACTTACATCAATGCTACAAAGAAAAAACAATTCTTGTTTACCTTTGACAACAGTCTCTCAATCTCCATGGACATTGTTTCAAACATATGGTCTCCGTTCGAGCCAAGAAGAGGCTCTCTGTCAGTTCTAGGAATTTTCAATTCAATATTTCAATATCAAGGTTATAAATTTAACTAATAGCTACATTTTATAGGCTCGAAAATTCATTCTGTTAAGATCAATGTAATCATAGACAACAGAGCCTATTAAGGCAGGCCATGTTATGTATATAATTATTGTTTAACAGTTTTTCTAAAATACGTGGCCAACTATCCCCACTCATTAAACACAAGGGCATATAATTCCCATTAAACATTAAGCTTGTAGAAGATCCTGCAATCTTTGATGTGCTATAAACACTTAACCTTCTTTGGAAAACTAAAAGTCACAAGAGTCACATACCCTTCTCTGGAAAAATCGCGTAACTGGCCTGTACCAAGTTTACTGAATGATACCAGTTTCATTTCTAACTCATTTTCAAGTTGTCTTGCTTCTTTCCGAAGCTCTAAAAAAAATAAAAAGTGAATTCATATTTAAGAGAGAAAATTAGACAGATTCAAAATTCTAATTGACATGGTATCATACTTGACATGGTGACATGTTTTAGTTTTGTAAACACTTAGCATATTGCCTTTTTTAAGTTCTCCTCAGATAATTTTCAATTAATAACTATTTACATCCTAATATCAAACAAAAAATAGGAAGGGTTTAGTACATTTTATTCTGGCCATACAAAAGTTGAAAATAGCTTTGAAAAAGCAAACATTTTTTACATGCTTAAAGGCTTTCTTGTCTGACACTCTGCAGATTATAAAGCATCAGAAGAAGGGTCCAAATCAACAAGCTGGAAAAAATATACCCAGCTGGGGATTGAAATAGGCCAATCAGAAAATTGTGAGCACATGACCAGTATAGGTGTCCAATGTGTGTACTGTGTGCCTACAGAAAAATCATCACTGGAGTCCAAAAGACAAAAAAAACTCTTTCTGTCTAACTCAATTGTGGTCTTTTTGTTTGTTTGTAGATTGATTCCAAAACTGCTAGATGAAAAGACAACCAGGCTCTGCCAATTATCTGAATCATGTCACCAGGATAGATTTTGGCACAATCTTAAGATAATCTTAAGAAAAGATAATATTTCTAGACCTACAAGATCAAGGAGGCTGTTCTTTTTTAGAGCAGTGCTGATTGGGCAACTATACTGATTAGACATATTGACCAGACTTGGTTCACTTTAGCTAGTTGAATAGGTGCAAGGATGCCATGATGCATCGGTGGTTAGGGTAACAGACAATAGATCTAAGGGTCTCAGGTCTCAGGTCCTTGACGTGACCAAACTTTCACATTAAAGTGAAGAGAGAAGTAAGCCTTCTGCAGTTCCAGAAATAGGAAACGCGAGGTGTGGTCAAATCGAGAAAAAGGACCAGGGCATAGATCATGCCAATCATCAAAAAGGAAAATAATGAGATTTGAAATAATGTATCATGCAAAAAATATTCGCAAAAAACAGCTTATATGCAAAAAGATGTTAAGGATTATCAAATATCTGGGAATGCTTGCACTCAGGCTGACCACAAGCTCCAGTCCCAAAAATTCTAACTTCTCTTATAAGCTGCACTTAACCTGCAGCTGCACTGGAGCATAGCATATTTCTTTCTATCGGCAATGAAGAAAGTAGACAGGCAAAAGGAGTGTTGTGGAGGGACCTCAGTAATTCAGATATTTCAAATGTCACAATTTCTAGCCATCTATTTATTTGGAAAAATAACCAATAGGCATATTTATGGTGGAGTTCACTGCATGCCACTCATGACCAGAAAGAGAAGCCACATTTATAACCGATAAAAATGCTACAAGAATTTTAGAGTTTGACTAGAATTTTTATGCTTGTGTCGCAAGCGTAACATACATAAATGCTACCCTATTGCTAAAACCCATGATAGTCATTTTTGACGGCTTGAACCATTCCACTGTCCACACCACCACAAAAGAATTGTTTTTGAGAAAATCTTTGGCTGTTCAAAGGAATGACAATCTAGATGATTTTTCATATCTAGTAGGTTAGTTTTATATTTCAATTCAATCAGTAAGTTCAACTTTCTACAGTCTAAGTAAGAAACGTTGAGGTGCTGATCTTGTTTAAAGTAAATAGCATTTAAAGGGGCTTTACTTTCCACAGATTGGTGCTTAAAAACTTAACATAAGTTTTATTTTTAGAATAGATATAGAGATGATTTGCTACACTTTTTGTAAACCTAAATCATAAAGCCCAGTTTCCACTTAAACGAAAGTAGTTTAATCAATTGACATCAATCAATTCAATTGATACTTCGGGTTCACAGACCAGTTTTCACTTGCCTATCGCCCGTTCTTGACCGATGTCAATTGTCAGGGTGCGAGTATGTTTGGCATGGAAGTTTTTAATCATTTGCCTGTCAAGTTTGAGGGAAAAAGTGTCTTCATCGGAAAGTAATTCTCAGAAAAAGAGAGCAAAGAGTTTATTATCGACAACCGTCAATAGCGGTCTAGGGGGAGTCTATGGTATGCGAGTTCGATCGATTCAACCACTTCGTTTGAGTGAAACAGGCCTTATAGGCATTGCAATTAAATAGCTAAAAGCTTTCTCACTTTCTTCAGTTACAGAGAAAATATCTCACAAAAGTCACCATCTCCTTTTAAATTGGTTTTTTGAGCAACAATAAAATATTTTACTTGATCCTCGTCTGCCTTCATTGCTCCTTGTTACGCAGGTATCGTCAATAGCAAACGACACTAATGGGGTGCGGTTGACACAGGACCCTATCCTTACTAAACATTCTTCTGAAGTTTATCCAACATAAATGGTTTTGATTATGCACCTAAAATCGTTACTAGAAATCGAAAACCTTGGTAAAGAGCTTCCTTGGCAGCAGCTGAGCGATGATATTTTTCAGGGGATTTTTTACTTAAAAATATTATTTAGGCGGATATTGCAATTGCAAAAATATTAACATCGCTTCTTACAGCCTGAGCGTCAACTCTGAGGAAATCATGTAGGGAATTCTACTGCTTTTTAAAATGCCCTTTTCAACTAAAGTTACGTTTATGAAACAGAAAAAAAACGTTTATACCTTCCCACTTGTTTGGACTCAGGCCGTTCGCCATCTTGGAGTGATGATTTGGTAATCAATGCAACAACAACAACATCTCAGCTGATTTTTTTCGCAGAAAGATAAAATTTACGAGAGTGTTCAATTTATTTACTTTTTAATATAACAATTTACAATTGAACCAGAATTTGAATCACAAATCAGACAGAGTTTTGCCAATAAAACATATATTTTTTAAAAAGGAAAACCAAAGTGAAAACAAAGTTAATAGCTTGGTTCGGACCAGAAGCGGCGTCACGGGGGACTGGGGGGGAACAAACTGCCTTTACGTAACAAAAATTAAGTCATGGGCGTTCCCTTCAGGTAAAATTGGCGTTCCATGTTAGTAAAAGGACGTTTTCTGGTGTAAAAAGGGCGTGGTTTAAATAGTTTTGTCCCCCCGAGTCTAGTAGTCTAGTGGCTGGCGCCGCCATTTGCTCGGACTGTTCTTTTTAGAGAACTTTAATCTAAATGGTTTCAGCGTTTGGGATCTTCAAGATATTCAATTTTCGATAAAAGTATAAAAAGACCCCAGCTAATGCCTTGCGAGTTCCAATCTTATGGATAAACGAATTTCCATCGTCTCATCATAGCCATTCAGGCCATCGCAGGCTGATGGCATCCCTAAAATCAATGTCACCCTGTTTTTTGTTTTTGACCTTCCTCTGTTTTCTCAATATCACCCCGCCATCCTCTTCTCGGTCTACCACTATTTACACTCTTTTTTTCATAAGAGCAATTTTATAAGAACACGCGCCTCAAAACTGGTCAAAAGTTAAGAACAAATTAAGAACAAGCTGAGGCTGAGCTTCTGCAAAATGCAATTTTGAACCACGTCTTTTCTCAAAATCGAGGATTTTAAGCGATGTGTGGGTGCTTTTTCGGTGAATATTCAAATTTGTCAGCAAATTAAGGCTGTCTCGCTCACTTTGTTGGCAAATGAAGCTTTAAAACCTCCTTAGAGCGAAAAAGCTAGCAATAGCACTGCTTACACCCTCTTAATTTAAGAACAAATTAAGAACAATCCAGCCTCAGATTTTCGAAAAAATTAAGAACAGTCAGTCTGAGCTTAAATTTACTGGTTCTTATAAAAAAAGAGTGTACTCACCTTTTTTATCTAATGTTGTTTCATCTAATTGCTAACTTTTTCACGTATATTTTTATTATTTTTCTTTTATTTGCATTAATTCAGTAAATCATTTTTTGTATCATTGCAATGTTTTAATTTTGGATGTGTAAACATGGCCTTCTTGATACAAGAAACTGCACATTTCTTTTCAGGAAAAAAAATTCTCCCAATCAAAACAACATCTTCCTCTGTCATTCACAACTACGTGCAATCTGAAACGAAAGGTTGCCGTTTCTTTCCTTTCCCAACGTGTAACACTAGAGTTTTAGCATGACATCCCCCTCCCTATTTTTCCCAATAAACAATAATATTTTCAATAAACAATCAGTTCTTTTAGCACAATAGTATTTTGCTAAATTTTTGTCTGAAAGATGCCTTTTAGCCCTTTTACAAGGTATAATCTCAAAAAATTTCTTCACGTCGGACCCAACCATGGTAGGTCCTCCTACCTCACTAAACTCGACTCTTAGCCCCACTGGGCTAAATTTCGTTGCGCTGTCTACATCATGTACCCCCCCCCCTAATTAGCTGTATATTAGCTTAATTTTGCAAACCAACATTAAATGAAGTGAATATAAAAAACAATTTACGCTCACGTAGAGAAATATAAATTTCATAGGCAGTGAAGTTTCAAGTTTGTTTCTATTGCTTAGAGGTTTGTCCTTGGTAAAGGCCAGTGTACACTGGTAAAGCTTTCACTAGTAACCTTTAGACAAACCGTTGCTACTAGGTCTGCAGGGCACCACTCAGTTTTGCAGGGCAGAAACCCTTTTCACCCCCCCCCAAAACTATTGGCCAAGTTACGCCCCTGGCTAGGAAATATATATACCCAGTTGTGGATCGAAATAGGCCAATCAGAAACACGAGCAGATGACTGTTGAGGTTGACCAATCAGTGCCGCTCTTGTAGCCTGCCCTTGTCGCTGTCAATTTTTAGGGGAGTTAAACCGTGCAAGTTTCTTTTTGTGTTAGGTGCGGTGCCAATAAATGTCAAACTAAACTTTCTTTGGCTCTTTAGCAACTTTTCCTTCAAGTAATGCAAGATCAGCGAAATCATAATAGATTTCAGTGTCATCAGCTAGAAGCAAAAAGGAGATGATGTAGATAAAAGCAAAAATGGACCGAAAACTGATCCTTGGGAAACATCATAAGAGCTGCCTCATAAATAAGAATAAGAGCCATTCATAGCAGCAATTTTTTCAGATTACTGAGATATAAATATGCACTTGTGCTCCAATGAACCTAAAATTTGTGCATGTTCCAGAACTTGAAAACTTGTTCAAACAGGTAACTCAAAAAGTTCACTGCGCTTGCAAGTCGTTTACAAAGCAAACAAAATTATAAGAATTATTTTACTGAAAAAGTTCTTCAGATTTGAAGATGAGACGCTCTTTCTATGATTTTAACTTTTGGGCTGCCAAAGTTTTCAAGGCTACTACAGTAATGATATGCAATGTAAAATAAATAAGTTTCTGGTTCTCGGAGGCCAATTCAGCTCAAAAACTCATAGGGCCAATATCAGTGTCCTAGACACTTTTTAAAAGTCTTTTATCTTTTATCATTTTACCACATTTTACATTTCCTTGTAATTCTGTCTCTAAATTAAGCTCAATTTGTTGGACTTTGTTCGCAGCTAATAGAGTCTTTTATAATTTAAGAATACAAACAATCGCACGATAAATCTATACCTGATACTAGACCTGATATATCTTGGCAAATTTTCCCTCAAATCGTCTTACCTTCCCTTGATTTCCTTGATTCTCTTGATGCTGCCTTATATCTTTTACAATGATTTTATGCTCACTCTTAGAATAGTTATAAAGCACATAGCTCCTTTCCACGGACCGCGGAAGCAAGGGCCCGATGGGGCTTAGCCCCCACTAGAATATCATCTTAAAACATTGTTGCTCTTTATTTTTAACATTTCTAGTCCCCCCCCGGAAACATTTTAGAACCCCGATGTAATGTGCCCCCCCCCCCCAATGTAATGTGCTCCGCGTTCCTTTCTTTGGTACTTCTATCTCAGTTTAAAGTTTGGATAGTAAAGAGTTTTTGTAAAAATAATAAATTCCATTATTTGATGAGGAATTGCCTTGTCTTTAAAACAAGCTAACTCTATCAAAACTACAGATGTCCTGATTTCTCCAGAAAAGATTTTTAAAATACTTCTAATTCTTTGCTGCGAAATGTTGGAACCTGGTAACCTCGAATCGGATGTGTTGCTGCTGATGGTGCAATGATGCCCCGCAGGGCTCCATCGCCTACTTAAAGACAAAACACAAGCTGACCGCCGCTGCATATAAGCTCAATTCATCAGCACCGAGGACATATGAATTCGAGAATCTCAAGGTTATTACACACATCATCTTTTTAGTACAGTTTTGGAAATATTTATTTTCAAACAGTGCAGTTATTTGCGCTGCGGTGGCGCTTTCGATTTTGTTTATGGTCATCCAATAGCGGGAATGTCTAGGCCCATTGATTGGGTTAATTTTGGAGGTGTGTGCCTTTGAATATATTTGCAAACCATACACGATTCTTCCAGATTTGTGAACTTGTCGTTTGGAGAAAGATAGAGAAAAGAATATCAGCATTATTTTCATGATTGAGCAAAAATGAAACTGAGAAAAGATGCCGACGTTTTGTGGACACCTCGACCCGACATCCGAACGCAGATGGACGAGTTTCGATGCCACGTCAACAAAAAATTTGCAGTTAATATCGGTACAGTGTTAATTTTTAAACTTTCTTTGCAATAAACAAATGAACAGTTTTTTGTTTCTATTTTCATATTCTGTTTATATTAACCCGAAGGAAAAGGTATTAGGTAATATCGATTTTATCAGCAGTCATAATTTTCCCCGAGATCTTGGACCTGCAATGTTTCACAATTACCTTTCACGGCCCTTTTTTGATTCATGGGTCCATTTTTGTCCCAACTACCCCTGTCTTTGATAGGCAAAGAGAGGAAGAGAAAGAGAGGAAGTGAAATATTGTATCCCCACCTGCATAAATGTTCTAATCATCTTACCTGTTCTTGTCTTTTAAACAAAATATTTGCTACCAGAATTTAGTGGAAATAGGTTTATTTTATCCGTTACAGATTTGCAGTCCCACAGCGGTACCTTAATTGTATTTTGTTTTATAGTAATTAGTTTTAAACAAAAAAGATATTCCAAAGTGTTTGCATACAGGCAACTTCCATTGACTGTATAACTATTAATAATAAGTATTAGCACTAATACTTATCTACCACACTTGATTGTTCTCAAGACAGAACACCAAACTTAATGCCAGATGCTACATGTTAATTACCCAACAGCTTGTTTATTAAGTTTCTGACCTATCATGTCAATCTTAAAGCATGCATATTTTGAATTTAAAATTGTGGTCTTCTCATATGGTTATTTGACATTCATCAATTCATTTATGTTAAGAAAACTACCAAGATCTGTGGCAATGGTCAGTGGATAATACTTCATTGTTCTGGGGCGAATTCTGGCACTTTTCTGGTTTAAAGTATTCTCAGAAGTTTGAATCTGTAAGTTTTCATTTTCTATATTATCTGTTATTCTGTTTGGTTTTATTTTTTATGACTACAGCTATTAAATATACAACTAAAGTACTTTTTATCCAACAGTCCATAGAGTGTAGCTGTCGGATAAAGACTAAAAGTAAGCAAAAATTTATATCAAGATGCAGATGGATAAAACAAATTACTTTTTGTTTTTGACCAGTCAATACTTACCTTTATGGCCACGATCTGATATTTATACTCTAAAGAGCCTCAGACAAAAGGGACTGAAGTTTTCTACAATTTTTTCTTTTCTCTACCATGTTCAATTTTTTGCAGTACAAATAACTTATATACTTGAATGTTTTTATTAAATGAATTTTGTATTGGCAGTAAGTCACATGTGATATATCATGCTAATATGAAAATTTATTTCATCATAATATAATCTGAAATATATATATCATTATGTCTTTAATCAATTATACTTGCGTGAAGAGCTTTTTATAGCATTTTAAAAGTACATCTTTCAAGTATTGTTTAAGGATACAGCTAGCATTATCATTTGACTGTGGTACATATTTCTGCATAATTTACCCAAATGTGATTCACTCCTGGTAGTGATTTATAGTTTTTTTTATCTCTCCCCAGTATGTGTTAGATTTGTGGTTAGATTAGATGCTAAATTCAGTTAAATCAAATCTTGCTGGTAGTGGTTTATAAACATTTTGAATTATGCTGTTCAAGATTTAAAGTATTTTGAATTGTTTTGCTTTATAATCAAATGACTGTTCCTTTGAATTTATAAACAAATATTCAAAGTAATCAGGACTTTCTAGAAAATATTATACCAAAAATCCTCTAACAAGTGCCTGCTATACAGGGCCGTCGCTAGAGGGGGGTGCGGGGGGTGCAGGTTTTGTCGGGTTTTGCTTTCAAAGTTCCCAAAGCAATAGCTTTAGTGAACAGTTGGGATAAGATGAGGATGTGAACTTAAAAGTGTTGCCCAAAAGCCCTCAGCAATTCAAAACAGGAAAAGATAGTGCTATGGGTGTCACAGAGGGGCAAATGTCCCCCAAAAACTTCAAGGGACTCCCTTTCGGCAGCCAGAGTCTAGAATCTAATGTCCAAAATCCAGGGTGACCTAATTTCTACCTAAAGTTTGGGGTTTAGGGAAGGGTCAAAGTTTATTGAAAAACTCTGAACGTTGATCCTGGAGGTACTGGAAACCACTGTAAGCAGGGCTGCCGAGGGGAGCAAGTGGGCAAAGTGCCTTAGGCACTTGAGGTTGATGGGGCCTCAAGTAGTAATGAACTCTATTTTAAGAATGAAATCAATGAAGCATAGGTATGCCTAAAAATAGTTAAAAGTTCTAAATGATTGCAAGAAATGACTGCAAGAAATATTCTGAAATGCATTTTAAGACAATCTAAAGGGCGTGGTTGCAAAAATTTTCTGCTCGCTCAGCTCGTAGGGGGACCTTGTCTTTTGGTTTTGTTTCAAGGCCTTCAAAACCTAAGTACCCACAGTCACCCGAAAATTGAAGCAATGATTGACTAACAAGAACATCCTCTTTGATAAACAAATTCAATTGCATCAAAATGCCACACCCCCACATTGAAATATCTTAGGCCACGCCCCATTTTGTCGGCAAATTGGTGACTGGCACCCCCCAAAGTGAAAATGCTTAGCGACGGCCCTGCTGCTATATAATTTTTTAGTATCGGCACAATTTTTCTCCAGAATCTCAATATTCAATTACATAACAGGTTGTAGATACAAGTGCACCAATGTCAGATATTCCAGAATGGTTCCCTGGCAGCCGGCTTAATTATGCAGAGAATTTGTTGCAAGGGGATGATGAAGATGTTGCATTATACACAGCAGGTTTGAAGAATTTGACTTTTTTTGTCTTTTTATGTAGATAAGGCAGATCTATGATTTCTCTTTAGCCTTGTCTATTTGGGTCAGATCATGGGACTGGCATGCCTCAAGCTAGGGACCACATTAATAAAATGGCTGGAATGGGTCCAGCTAGGCAGTCCTGGTAATGTGAAATTTGGCGTGCGATCAATAAAATTGAGACCTTACAATTTGTGTGCAGCCATTTTATCCTCTTAAATATAATAGATACTCTTTTGATAATGCTTGAGGGATGCATGACTGTTTGAAAAAAGCATGAGGTTTTTGTAAAGCAAAGAATATTTACCGAATTGTAGATGAATTTTCTTGAAAACAAAATAAATTAATTATAACAAAACAAAATAAATTATAAAATAAAGGATCAAACAGGTTTTCTAATTGATTATTTATCCGGAAAGCTATCATGATAACAGACCCAATAGATATGGAACAATTATTTTAGAAAAAATTGATAACAAATTATATATTTGATAAGAAATTAAAAGAAAAAAAAGGAACATGAATAGTCAGGGAAAACCTTGTGCTGCACATTGTTGTAAAAAGCAGATCTAGGGAGTTTTAGGCATGTGTGCACATGCAATTACGCACCTGTTATTACCAGGGCTGAGCTAGAGGTCATATTATTAAAGGGGTTGGAATAGAGCACTATATAAAATAAGCTGTCATAGCTGAAAGAAAATTGCAGGAAAGATATGCTATGCTTGGCTGAATAAAGAATCCCATGAAAATGATGACAGGGAAATATTTGATATCTTGCCCTGTGTGATTTTAAAAATCATGAGGCAGTGGCAGTGCCAGCCATTAGGATTTAGGGGGAGGGGGGAAACTTCAGGCCACCTTATTTTACTGTTAAAAAACACCCTTTTATCAGCAGGGAATGCTAGTTTTTCCAATTGTGTATGCCCATGTTTGGTTATGTAAAGGCAAATGCAAAATCATAGAACCTGAAGGACCAAAAAGTCTCCCCCCGCCCAAGCATTTTTTCTTCGAATTCATCCGAAATTCAAGATCGTTCCTGCCAAAATTTACTTGGGCCTTTCCACCCTCTAAGATAAATTATTTGTACAAAAGCCAAGCTTATTGTATTTTGATAAACAGAATGAGACATCACTATCAGGGGCGAAACTACCGGGGGGGTGTGGGGGGGTGTGACACCCCCCCAATCCAAAAAATAGTCGATTTCGCAGGGCAATCGAAGATTTCGCAGGGCGCCAAGAAGAGCTTTATTGGCACGCAGAAATGCCACCTCTGAAGTTCTTAAAGAGCCGTTTAGGAATTTTGAAATGGAAATATCGTATTTGTTATGAACCTCCCTTCCTGACATTGCATTTTAGAGAACGGAACAGGTATGTAAGGGAAAGCTCCGTTATTTTATGAGGGCAAGGTTGAGTCATGCAAATTAATTTAAGTTGTAAATTATTTTCATGACAAGCACGGCGTCACTGGGGGGGGGGAATAAGGGGCTGAAGTCCCTCACTTTGGTCAAGATAGGAATTTTTTTATCATTTTTTCTATTACTTTTTAACAGTGCATGAACTAAAAAACATAATAAATCGTTAAGATACCAATTTTGTTTCATCTAATTGCTAACTTTTTCACGTATATTTTTATTATTTTTCTCTTATTTGCATTAATTCAGTAAATCATTTTCTGTATCATTGCAATGTTTTAATTTTGGATGTGTAAACATGGCCTTCTTGATACAAGAAACTACACATTTCTGTTCAGGAAAAAAAATTCTCCCAATCAAAACAACATCTTTCTCTGTCATTCACAACTAGGTGCAATCTGAAACGAAAGGTTGCCGTTTCTTTCCTTCCCCAACGTCTAACACTAGAGTTTTAGCACGACATCCCCCTCCCTATTTTTCCCAATAAACAATAATATTTTCAATAAACAATCAGTTCTTTTAGCACGATAGTATTTTGCTAAATTTTTGTCTGAAAGATGCTTTTTAGCTCTTTTTACAAGGTATAATTTCAAAAAATTTCTTCACGTCGGACCCAACCATGGTGGGTCCTCCTACCTCACTAAACTCGACTCTTAGCCCCACTGGGTTAAATTTCGTTGCGCTGTATACATCATGTACCCCCCCCCCACAATTAGCTGTTTATTAGCTTAATTTTGCAAACCAACATTAAGTGAATATAAAAAAACAATTTACGCTCACGTAGAGAAATAGAAATTTCATAGGCAATGAAGTTTCAAGTTTGTTTTTATTGCTTAGAAGTTTGTCCATGGTAAAGACCAGTGTACACTGGTAAAGCTTTCACTAGTAACCTATAGACAAACCGTTGCTACGAGTTCTGCAGGGCACCACTCAGTTTTGCAGGGCAGAAACCCTTTTCACCCCCCCAAAACTATTGGCCAAGTTACGTCCCTGATCACTATTATTGTTCTTGAATTTGATAATAGTTTGTTGATTATACTGTTAAGTGGCAAAATTCCAATAGATACCTTATTTACTTTTTTGCTTATGTTTCATATGCGCAAGCTATATTTTACAGGAGAGAGACGAAGTGTTGAGACAGTTACTTTTCGAGAACTTCGCAAACGTGTTTCCATTCTTTCAAATGTCCTCAAGAAAAAGGGAGTGAAAAAGGGCGACAGGGTAGTTGGTATGTATAGTTCATACTGTTAATTTGCAAGGATCTTCATGTTTAAGGTATCACATTTTTCAAAAAGTTGAAACAACTGTGGACTTTAAGTAGCTATCTTGATAGCACAATTACTTTTCTTGTTCTCGGTCTATTTTGAAATAAGTATTTCACCATTTTCTAGTATTGTTTACTGTTATAAATCTTTATTTCTAAATAGTGACCAATTAGATACAAATGGCCACGGAAGAACCCCTAATTGTCGGACTTATATGCTCGTTATATTTCGAAAGTTTTCTTCAATTTTGTTTTTCAACAAATCTAGTTCTATCTAGATCTTTTCTTCAAAACCCTTAAATACATTCTGATTTGCAATGTGACATGATTTGCAATGTGACATGATTTACAAAGTGATGAAGTAATAAAATGTTTGTTTCTTGCCTAGGCTACATACCTAACTGCAGTTTGGCTGTTGAAGCAATGCTGGCGGCTGCTAGTTTGGGTGCAGTTTGGAGCTCAACCTCTCCAGATTTTGGTGTCGCGGTAAGGCCCTTATTGTTCATGGACCTAACTTCATTGCCATTCTGAAGTTATGATCTTATCTATTTGTTGAAAGGATTTGTGCAAAGAATAATGGACGAACTAAACATCTAGGCTCCTTGTGAGCGACATTTTGATCACGGATGTAAAATCAGTTCATTTACATTTTAAAATCCGAACAAAAATCTTTATAATGAATAACAATATCTAACTGGTGGTTGAAATTCTACACAATTGGAAAAATGGAGAACAAAACAGGCAACGCTATATGAATAATTGTCAAAAAACCAAAAATAATTTCTTTAAGGAGGAGCTCTCTCAATGGATTAACTAGTCGAGGACTGTTCGTTAATGGGAAGTGCCTGATGTGAATATAAATAACAATTCTTTATTGACTAATACCTGTATTGATACAGATCTTAGTGCATCACAGCACTCTTTTTCTGGAAACGTCGAACTATTTCAAAAATGGTTAGGTAGCCATTTTTCAAAGCTTATTTAAAGAGTCTGACAATAGCCTACTTCTCTGGCGATTTTGATTTTGAGTGTTCCATATTTTTGACTGTATCTTTTGAAAAGACCGCTGCTCGAATTGGAATGGGAGACTCAACTTAGTAAGACACTTTGGGAATTCCGAAGCAAATTGAATTCCAGTATGAGAACCACGCGGAACAACCTGAGTTTTATTATAAAAGACAAATCCTGTGTGATAGTTAACATTGATCATGACTAGGCCATGCTTAAAACGTCTCTGACAAAACCATGTTCTAACTGTTAAGTGACTAAGCCATCTTTTGACACAAATTTTAATATTCAATTATCATCGAATTTGACAATTGTGTTTTTGACGTTGTTCGTTGTAGTATGTATCAAAAGTGCGCTTTCCAAACAATGTTTCAATCTCGATACGTAAAATCCATATTAAATCCGAAAAAAGTCTCATTGCAACCTAATATCTGGCATTCATACAATTTTGTTATAAGTATATCTTTTCTTTGCCTGCGAAGGGTGTTCTTGACAGATTTTCACAAATCAAGCCAAAAGTGATATTCTCTGTTGATGCGGTCATCTACAACAACAAGATTCACAACCATCTTGAGAAGCTAACCAAAGTCATTGAAGGTTCTCTTTTCTATTTAGTTTCTTGTAATATTTCTTATCTCTCAACATTTATTTTTTATTAATTTTCATAGTTTCTTAAAACGTCTTAAGCTTCTTACATACCTTGATGTCTCTGCTTACCCGGTATTGCAGTTCCCATCCATGAAGAACCATTTTAATTAATTAAGCTCCTGTAGCAAGCCCAGGATGTAATACTTTTTTTCCAACCATCTCTTCACTAAACTTTTCTATTGATGGAAATTTTCTTTTTGCAGACTTTTTTAGTTATTGTCAATTTTGTTCAAATCTTATTTCTGTTTTATTTTTTCGTAAAGAGCTTCCTGAGCTCGAAGTAGTTGTCGTCGCACCATACGTTGGAAACAAAGATGATATTGATATATCTGGGATAAAAAATAGGTTTGTCAATTACTTCAATCATTAATTACATGTTTGACTGTCTTGCCTTGATGCATTCTTTGTACGAGGGGCTGTATCTACAAGTTTAAGTGTTTTTCTTTCTGTTTGGGGCAAACAAAGGCCGTCCTCGGATGCAGTTTCGGGAAGAATTTTACTGGAAAGTAAAATTTTTTTTGGGAATGTGTTTGAAGTAGCTTGAGAAAATAGATCAAATCTGAGAAGACATCCCTTGTGTGATTTTTGGAGAGGCTTTCTTAAGTAACATGAAGAACAAAGATGAGTAAAACTTCACGGAGAGCCAATATTAATGCAGAAATGCTTGGGAGATAATAGAATACAAATTTCATGGAATAATTCAAGTTTTCTCTAATTTTTTTCAGTTTTTCATCATTCCATTTTGTTTTCTGGTCTTCGATCATTTTTTTATGAAAGAAAAGGACACTTTGTTGAAATAGAGGCAAAAGCATTGCTTTTTATTATAGTATGAAAAGATGACATAGCCTTTTGAATTATAAGTTTAGTCATCGTTGCGAAACTCAGACAGGCCTTATGAAGTTGAAGAGCTGTCTGATCGATTGAAACGCAGATCTCAGCTGAAACTGTCTTGGTAGCGATCATAGCTCGGTCTGCGTAACTTTTTGTAATGTAAGACAGACCATCAAACAGTAATTACAAAACCTCTCTTTTCCGATATTCTTTTGAATGGGTATCGGGTACTTCCAAAGGTAAAACTGGAAAAATGCGACATTTGACTGCAGCTATTTTAAAGTGTCCCTATTTAATGTAGACCTTTACGAGTTTATGGCTTATAATTTTTAACTTTTAAGGGTGATGTGTAATATCAGATTTTGTAGTCTATGCGTACGCATTCGTTGGCTTTAAGATCGAAAGTAGTTAATTAATTTGTTTTTCTACATTTTTGAAGCACAGGAAAAGAAGTTAATTTCCATTCTCTATTCGCAGAATTTGTTCCATCTAGTTTTTCTGTTTCTTTTTTAAAAATTGTATCTGCTCTTATTTCAGCATATTCTTGCCCGACTTTCTGGCATTGGCCGATCCAGTTCCCTTACTTGAGTTTGAACAATTGCCATTCAACCACCCCCTGTTTATCATGTACTCATCCGGTACCACGGGACATCCAAAATGCATCGTGCATTCAGCTGGTGTGAGTACAACCCCAGATATTACTTTAAAATATGCAAATTCAGCAGCACACGTCAAGTCGAGTTTTTGTACCCATCTTAAATCTGATTCTGAATTCGAATAATACTTTGTCAGTGACCGCAAATGTTGATTTTAGAAGGGAAATTTTATCTTAAGGAATGTGGGGATCGAATTTGGTACCCCTATTGTATGCCTCCAAGTCTAAATCGTAATCGGTAGGGCACAAAACTTGACTCTGACCGGAAAGCATGGGTATAAGAGATAAAGATGTGCTAGTAAATAAGTTTATAGGTTGAGGTTCTTTATTCTGCATAAATAAGAGTTCTAGAGATAACAACTAGGCATAAATATCTAGAATTAAATTCTCTTTGAGTATGCTTTTGGCTGGGACCGTTCATCATATGGTTGGTTGAAATTACTAAGCTTGGTTGTAGGATTGCAGTCACTTCGCCAAGGTCTTGAATCTTTCATAAGAACTGTATTTTTCTTCGGAATCATCTTCCCGAGAATGCTCATTTGAAGACTGACAGGTTTGCCTGTATGATTTACAGTGAAGGAAAGAAATGGGACAAAGAAATATAGCCTGCTAGCTAATGAATGATGACCTTCGAAGAATCTGTTTTCATGAAATTCCGAAGCATCTGAAATGGAAACCTTTTAAGGATAGTTTTTCAACAAGTGGATTTGTTTATTAGCAAGTTTACCTCAGAATCATAAGCAAATCTCAAAATGCTTTACTCGAATAAAGGATAGGCAACCATATCAGAAGTTTTCCGAAAAAATAGCAGTTTATCTTTACAAGGGTTTTTTCGCCCCCTCTGACCCCCCTCTATCTACACTACTGAGTTTTGGGGAGAAGACCATTTTGGGAAGGACCTGGCTCTTGGTTAAGTTCTCAGAAACATGATTGCTAACTTGTGCCAGCTATTAACTTCCCCTTTTACCTAACATTTTCTAGACAACAATAGCAACATACTTTTGATTGCATCCATTATTCTTTACTAGTATTCTGAATGCAGTATGTTTTTATAGGGCACGTTGATCCAACACCTGAAAGAGCACAAGCTTCATGGTGATATGAAAAGAAAAGACATAATGCTATATTATACGACAGTAAGTAAACATCGTGGCTTCTTTGTTGTGGAACTAGGCTAAACATTAGAAACGTAATCAGTAGCTATGGCTTGATGTCTGTCTCTCTCAGACAGCCTTTCCACCAACCTGGCTTAAAACAAAAACGTGTTGGAAATTGTCCGTTGTTGCATTGCGTTCGTTGTCGGTGGGAACACCAAAACCGGATTATTTATGATACACTTACAACAACAACAGCGTTATACAAAATAATTCAAGGACTATTGTTGTGAAGACTGATTTCTCACACAGTTCTGCGTGCTTTGGTTTCTGCTTATAATGATCTATATCTAATTTACCTGAAGAGTATAGGGCTAAAGCTACATTTTAAGCCTGGGTACATTTTAGCCCAGCACGGTGAAAACGATCAAAAACGGATTAGAACGAGTTTTAAGCAAACTGGCATTCACTCACTTTAAAAACGAATACATTTTTGTTTCAACCCGGGTTTGTGACAAAGCTTCTGTACTGGCAAATTTCAATGAAAATTTTTAGTTTTGTGTTCTTCAGCTGTTGATCAATGATATATCTTAGCCTGGCAAAGCAAAAATGGAGAAAAAGAAACAAGGATCTAAGTTTGTCACGATTAGTTCATCAATAGGCTTAGTATTTCGAGAACCTTTTTCTTTCAGTTGATTGCAAGCATTGTTTGTTCATGGTCTTCGCCTTTTTCTTCTTCTTCTTTTTCTTCTACTTCTTCTTTTTCTTCTTTATCTTATCCTTAAGATTATTCTTCTTTCCTTCTCATTCATCTTGTTGTTGTTGTTTTTCTTCTTTTTCTCCTTCTTTTTCTTCTTCTTCTTCTTCCTCTTTTAATTGCCCTCTGATACTTCCTGTTAACATCAAATTTTCTATTCCTTCAGAGCTAGTCGCATATTCCAAGATCTGCAACTGTTAGTTTATGCAACATATTCAGGTTTTTTTTACGCTCATGTTTCAGGCCTTCAAAGCTACGTAAATGCAGCTTCGCCTTTCTTTTTTACTACTTACATTTGTGTTACAAACTGGATATGAGTTTTTAATACCTGAAAGAAACATTTTCTGTTTCAGATTTGATTAGAATTTGTCAGTTTAATTAATGGAATTTTATTTAACTGTCCATTCATGAAGTGTGGCCAATTTTTAGACAGGCTGGATGATGTGGAATTGGCTGGTGTCTGTTTTAGCAGTTGGAGCATCGGCTGTTTTGTACGACGGTTCCCCTTTGGTTCCTTCTCCGAATGTTCTCTGGGATCTGATCGATGAGATCAGGTATGTCAATCATTATCTTCATCTTTCTTATTTTTTATTTTTGCATCAAAACCTAAAGCTACGTTTCCCTGCAAACAACACACCCTATCCCACAAAACGACTTTAATCTGAAGAGAATGCTCTCATGTTTACAAGCTTTCTGACTTGCTCCGTGTAGATCAATCTCTAAAAGTCATTTTGAACAACATTGTTTTTGAGGAGAAAGACAATGCTTCCATCGAAAATTGCACAAAACCTCGTGTATTTTAGCAAGAATTTTGACAGTGATGATGTTAAACCGAAAAGTCTCAACAATTTTCTTGATTAGGACTAAAAAGACAGCTTCAATTCAACGAACGATCACTCGATTGCTTTATAACATCTCATCAAGTAGTTCTGTTTGAAAGAAATATGCAATTTTGTAGTCGAAAACTCAATCAATATTAGCTGTCTCGTGTGCTAATTGTGAGTGATGTTAAACAAACTAATAAGAAATGTTTGATTGAATTTAGTTTTTTAGCAAAGCACCTGCGAACTCTGCAAATATTTGCAGATTCGAAACTGATGGTTTACTCAGCATGGGTATTATATTGGGTGAAAGAAGGTGCATTAGAGTAGACACAGTCATAACTCATTTAGTATCATCATCGTCATCATCATCATAAAATATCATCAGTTAGCATCATCGATCATCTTAATCACTTAAAGTCGTCATAAATCATAATAATCATGATCAGAATAATCATCATAAATGGTAATCATCGATCATAATATCCATCACGATTTCATTTTTCATGCATTTGTATATGGCTAGTTATATATTGATAATGATTCCGTTATCACATCCTTATTGTTTTCTCCCTTTAGTATAACTGTTCTTGGAACTGGTGCTAGGTGGCTTGAAGCCTTATCAGAGAAAAGCGTGACGCCAAGTGAGTTCTTTTTAAAAAGCATTTAAGTTGTTTATACGATGCTATTAATAATTTGTTCAGAAAATAACAATTCTGAAATTTTTAACTGCTCTTTGGCCTTCTTAGATACAATTGACCGTAAATTATGCAGAGGAAAGCTACAAGCCCCTGTCTATCAAGAATAAGTTTACCTACTGTTGTATAACTGAGCATTTATGTCGCCTTTTCCTCGAACTCAGGTTATATTAGCTGTTGGATTCATCCTGCATTGTAATTTCTCTAAACTTCTGCATTTTGTACCGAATTTGAACTACATAGAATGCTAAATAGTATTTTAAAAAGCTAATGTTTTAGTGTTCTGAAAGAATCTCTAATAGAAATGATTAAAATTTGAGCAACAACTTGTCACTTCTGCTATCGCTGTTGTAGATTTCCTCGTGTATAAGAAAGGGGGAGTACTAAAGCAAACACAGTAATAGCCTCGAGATGTGTATTGCTTCAGAATAGGATTAATCATGTTTTGATCCGACTTTACTAATGTTACAAACATTTTGTTGTACGTGTACTTTAATAACAATGTTAATCAAGTTTTATTTGCGTTTTAGTCGAAACACATAATGTGGCATCACTCCGGGCAATTTTATCCACTGGGTCGCCACTTCAACCTGATACATTTAAATATGTTTATACAAGCATTAAGAAAGATCTGCTTTTGGGCTCAATCACTGGTGAGTTCATTAAGGACCTTTTGTACTGTTATAAAATGTTTTAAATACCATATACTGTTTATTTGTCTGTTAGAAAGTGCTTGATGTACACCCTGATAGGGAGAGCTGTGCACCCTGTTAATGTATAGAACGAGACGATTCTAAGATGCCACTTCGAGTTCCCCTCTTTAATCGTGCCATTTATACCAAAAAAGTGAGTATGTGAAACTAGAAATGATACTATCAATGCTTTAAGTTTTTGTGGAGAAGAACGGTCAAAGACTTGAGTACTGTACTTTCTTTTCAGGTGGAACGGACATTATATCTTGCTTCGCGGGCAGCAACCCAACTTTGCCGGTATACAGAGGCGAAATTCAAAGCAGAAACCTTGGAATGGCTGTCGAAAGCTGGAGTGAAGAAGGTGACGATTGGATTTTCCAGAATACCTCTCATGTTACAAAATCAACTTCAGTTAAAACGAAACTGGGTTCCTCTCCTCTCCTAAACTCCTCCCATCTGATGTGCAAATAGTTTACGTTTTCTGTTTATGATCTCCTAAGAATACTACTTCTCTACCAACTTCACAACTTTATAATAATTACTCTTCTCGCATTTCTTTTTACTTTGGTATAGGATCTCCTGTTTTTGATGAAAGTGGAGAGCTTGTCTGCAAAAAGGCTTTTCCATGTATGCCGATCTATTTCTGGAACGATGAAGGCGGTGTGAAGTACAGAAAGGCATATTTTAATAAATTTCCAGGTAATTACTTCAACTTGATGCTAGCCACCTTCATATATTTTGTTATGAAAATCAACCCCTGATTGGAATTGATAAATGGAGTAAGTGAAAATCTACTTTTTTAGAATAGATTTTAGTTTTGTGGGTTGCAGTTGCTACTTGCGCAGGGTTCTTTAAAATTTTTATGGCTGCCCATACGGCAAGCCTACAAAAGAAGAATTTTCGCACCGATTTTATGGATCCAGTTTATTCAAAGGCTATACAAACAGTTTCAAGAAACAAAAAATTTTCAATTAATTTTTAAGAGCGTATAAAAAAATATCAAGTTTTAGTTTCTTTACACTGTATACAAACGGGTACAAGCTTTACCTACACTTAGAAGTAATAGCTCTATTGTCTTTAATTCCACTGCATCCGGTGATCTTCTGGGAACGTGTATATTTTCCACAATTTTTCTTGGACAGGTTCTTGTAGGAAACTTCTCAATTCGCGTAACCAATTCTAAACCAGCCTGCCTCTAGCCTAAATCTCTAACCGGTGAAGCTATGCCTGATTCTTAACCAGTCTTTTCACAAAAACAACGAAACCAAACGCTTTCCCTTTAAAATCTCGATCAAATTCTATAAAAGCTATTTATTTCAGCCATCAACATTTGTCCCTAATAACCTGTTGAAAATTGTGTAACGTAAGCGCCCCAGTAGTTCAAAACATTATCCTACATCCTAATAAATTTCAGATAAGCTATTTCATCGAAGCAGAGATCTAGATTCTCTGTTTGTTCAAATTTCATTTGGCATCAATAATTAACGCTAATATATCAAACATGATATTCTCAAATTTGAAATCCACTTGCTTCGGCCTCTTTTGTGCTCCAGTATGTTTCTGATATATTTGTTTTGTTTTTCTTTTATTTCACTTTTATGCTCAATTGTTTATAAACCAATAGAGCATTTTATGTATGCTTTTCCTCTTCAATGCTTGTGTCACTATAGGTTATATGAAGGCAAATGTAAGTTTAGCCTTTTTTACCTTTCTCGCCTCAGGTTGTAATAAACTAAGTGACCTCGCCTGATATCTTTCATATTGTCCTGTCGATATACGATACAACTGTTTTATGCAAAAATCTTTTTTCTTGATTTTTACAAGTATTTAATTATTTCGGGTTTTTTAGAGCTTAGATCATGTTACTCTTGTCGATTGGCTGAAAATCCTTTTGCTCTCTCATTGTCTCAAAATTTCAAGTGGAACAGTGACGCTTTTGTAATGTCATTGGGTGACTTAAGTAGGTACCGCTTGGTACCAATATTGACCTGGCCTACTTTGCCAGAAAACTCCTTTTTTCATTACCACATAAATATTTTTTCCAAAGCTGACGAGAATTTGAAACATAAATCTGTTTCCCCATCATTTATCAAAAGTTATCCTTTAGGTGTGTGGGCTCATGGTGATTTCTGCCAAGTAAATTCATTGACAGGTGGCATATTGATGTTGGGACGAAGGTTAGTAATAAATTTAAATAGGTTGATATATTGACTGGCTAACCATATCTCTCTCTTCCAATTACATGCTAATTAAATGTATTTAGAATGATATTAAATCTTTAGTGACATCTGATGTCGCTTAAATCACTTTCAATAACACATTTTGACAGTAACAGAGAGTTTCATTGAATCAATTCTCTTTGGGTTACATACCTCGTCCCTCGAGGGTTTGACAGCATTAACCTAAATCCCAAAGGATGATTGACAGTGTATTTATAAGCTATCGCAAGACATATCGTGTGTTTTGTCATATTCAATATTTTGATAGCATTGACAATTTTTAAGTTTAATATAGTATTACATGTTCGTATCACTTTAAACGAGCAAATTTCTAGCCAGATATTTCGCTTGTGTAAATCAAAAATTCTTTTTCTTCATCCAAATTAAGAGACAAAGTGTAATTCCAAGTTACCATTTTTATCTTAAACAAAAATGACCACTTGAATTTCCAGTATAAGAACTTTCATTTTGTCACAATATTAGCCAGAATCTAACTGAATTTGTCAAAAATTGAATGTATTATTAAGACAATAGAAGCTATTTCTTTTAGAAATTTGAGTAATATTTTTATTTGATCTCGATAAATTTGCGTAAATTTTGCGATGGAAATGCATAACGACTAAAATGTTGTGAAAATAATACTTTAATTGAATCGGTCTGGAATGACAGGCCTATTTTGTCTTTCTTAAAAAGTAGCTGATAGAACCAATATACGATTGTTTCTCCTTTGAGTTTTAAAGATGAATTGAAACTAGTAAAATCTTCTGGCACTATTCAATATCTATAAGTTGAGAATTGGGTGATAGTGTTACCGGAAAGGGTGTATTAAATCCTATATGAAAAATTATCATCGACCGTTAAGCACTTAAGCATCATCGTCTATTCAAATGATAATTGTATAATGGAGGTTTGCAATATGATGCTAAGACGTATCATAGTGTTAAATTGACCTGCACGGGCTATGCTCGAGAATCTTTAAGGAATCTATACCAGTTAATCTGTATAGGCTAATGAATCCTTCTTTGAAAAGAACTGGTCCGATTATCTTTCACCTTTAAGTTGCGTATTATAATCCTCGTGGAAAATTTTTGTTGGTTTTTTGCTGCCGATTTTTTGCTCTCTCTTTTGTGGTTTTTATGTAGAGATTTTTCCATTTTGATGCATCCAAATTGGCTATTTTGTTGCTTTAAAATTGCAGGAATTGCTTTCCGTGTATTATTTCCAGGAAGTGTTTGATCAAAAATAATCTGTAGCTCTTTTTCTTAGCTACTGAACCATTTCTAACCAGTTTGAAGTCTATGTCACGTAGCGTGGAAAAGTTTATCGATAGTAAGTTATCCATTGTATTTTTTCAGCGATGGCACATTGAATCCGAGTGGAGTACGGTTCGGCAGTGCTGAAATCTACAATATAGGTATATATTTTCTAGTCATGTAGCTATATTTTTCGATGATCGTATTGAATTTGGTCAAGGGATTGTGCACTAGTTGTCTGTTGTTTGCATCGTTCATGAAATACCTTCGCCATACCTTCTGAGGTATGCACACGGCAAGAGCACATATTGTTGACATCCATAATGTGGAAATGAAGAAGAAGAAGAAACAGACATAAATGAATTATTAGATTTAATCATTAGGGAAAATTTTTGTTTTTTCTTTTTTTGCGACTTGTTAACAAATTATTTTGACATCATGTTTCTACATTTAGATGGATAATGCCCTAGTGCATGAGTAGGCATTGCAAGCATTTCAAAAAGTTATCTAAACAAAATTTGAACCAGCCAGTTTATGACACACGTTGTATATAAATGAAATAATAAGACATAAGTTGTATATAAAGGTGCTTTTATCTCTTCTTGATATTTTGTTGGACTATATTTTGAGATCCTACCAGTAAATTTTCCGTTCTTATTTTAATGTATACATAGTTTTAACACCATACTTCTTCTATTCACAGTGAATCCAGTACAGTTTCCAGAAATCACCGATAGTCTCTGTGTTGGAAATAACCACAATGGCAGGGAGAGAGTTGTCTTGTTTTTAAAAATGGCGGATCAGCAATCGTAAGTTTCAATTTATTTTATCACTGTACCATCTTACCCTGTTTCCCAGTGCATGTTGAACTTGCCTAGTCTTCGGGTGCAAATTAATCCTTTACAAGCGGTAATTCGACGCCAAACCTCCGATTGCGCTTTAAAAGATTTCGAGTTTTTCAAAAGTTTTTTTTAATTTCTTGATAAGTCTTGATTTGTTTGTCAATCTATATCTGTTTTGGTATTTAGGCCAAGATGTCCTCTAACCTAATTGCAACCATAACATACCATAAAACTAATTCTACACCTTGTTACACGTAAATAACGGCACACTTTAAGATAACACAATTCTCAGTTCAAAACAAAAAGCAATTACCAGCACATATTATTTACAGCAAAAAATATTCAAGTCAACACTTTGGCGTTGGTATTATACTAATAGTTGTCTAACCTACAATAAGAACCAAAAAATTTGGTGCCAAAAATTTTGGCCAGGTTTTTGAAACTTCGGTGTAAATTTCGATGAAAAATTGAAAAATTTCTGTGGAAAGAAAATATTTTGATGAGCAAAGAAACGAAACACATTCAGCAAGTAATTTCTATCTTCAACATCAAATTATCTGAACCACAATCATGAAAGTTACAAAAAGTGAATACGAAAATTGGCAAGAATATCATAAACATTTATTTAGAGGACGTCCTTTTTATTTCATTTTTCCAACCCATGGAGGAAAATTAATTGGAAGCTTTTACAGATCACCATATTTTCGACCGCCAATTGCAACCAGGGGATTAGAAATTCTGATCGATTGTAAGATTAAAAATTGACGCGTCCAAATTGAAAGCACTGGAACGTTAGAAAAAAAAAATTAAGAGAAATTTTGAAGTGGCAATAAAAGCATCAGTTCAGCCAATAGAGAACTCAAAGTTCTTGAATGTAGAGGGTGAAAGAGAAGAAAAGATGAGCTGGATATCTTATTTGTTTATGATAAAGGAGAACCAGAAACTTAGAATTGATATGTACTGGATGTATAGTAATACTAAAACAATATCAAGAAAAACTTTTGTTATTTTGAATGTCCATCGTTGAAAAGTGAGATTTTTCTAGCGTTTGAAAATTTCAGTAAGAAAAAAATCCGGTTTCAAAAAATTCAGAGGGATTAATTTTCTGTTGCCCTGCTTCACCTAAAATAAAATCCACCGAAATTTTTGGCTCTTAATAAACTTATAGTCTCAAAGCATTTCGATGCAAATGTGGCAAGGCTAAGACATCTTTAGTCCTCTTTACTCATTATGCGACAGATTTGAGTTCATTTAGGTGGATATCTTGAAATAAACTCTAGGCAATTCGCACGCCATCAAGTTTTATTAATTATTCCTCAACTTACCGGATAATTTACCAACAGGAGCGCAATTTTTTTAGAATTTAAAGTGCATTAATCCCCAACGAAAGTTTTGCCGTCCGAAGTTTTTACCTTCCGAAAATCTTAATAACAATAAACTGTGCTGAAACTTCAAAAAGTAAATTTCCGATGCAATTTATTGACCAAGCAATGTTTATAATTTGAAAATTGGATACAATACTGCAATGCAATACCATTACAGGTAAACACCAAATAGAAATAGGAAGAAAATGTGAAAATATTAAGTTTTGTTAGCTTAAAAATGCATGCTATATGAGGGTTTTCGGTCATCAAATACGAATACAGCAGGACTGTTCTCGTCATTTGACTTGCTTTTATTCATCGCCGTCAATATGCTTATCGTCATGATTAGCGCCCCGATCCAACTTCTTATTCCAAATTCCTCAGTTCCGTTGCGCCATTTACATTTTTCCGAAATTTCAGTCCGATGTTTTCCGTAATCAAGATTTCTTGGCCCAAGATTTCCTGTCCGAAAATTAAGCATCCGAAAAAAACGATCCGAAATTTTTGGGGCTTATTATATCTAGCAAGGAGACCAAATTATACTTCAAGTATTTCTCAGTTGTAATTTCATCTTAAATTTTCAGTGTTTGTTCTTGTAGACATTAAAGTTCACAGTTTGTTGATTGATTATGTATTCAACTAAATAAGTCATTCTATAAAGATGTTTAAAATATTAAAATATAAAATATTTTTCATTTTTATCATAATAATTATTTTTTCTGTACAGTTTTAGTTTAGACCCTAGTAAAACATACAGAAATTCGAACAATTTATAACTTTCAACAATTAAAATAACCAGGACAGATAAAATATGGATACATACGCACAATATACACAAGACTAATAAAAGATACAAGAAAGAAAAGAGAATCATTCTTATTAATGGAAAACGTTCACAGTAGCGAAGTAACCTAATCGTGGAGTGGAGAAGAATTTGTAGGATATTTTCATTGCTGCAGCCTAATTTAGACAAAATGAAAAACTATGAGTGAAACGAAAAGCTATTAAATCGCGAATGAGCTTTGGTAACTGCACAGAGCCCCCGAAGACCAGGGGACAGGGGGCCATGGCTCCCCTTTCTTGAAAAATAATTTGCTATGAGTCTTCGATTTGCCATTGCTTCCTCCCCACTTTCTAACTAGCGTCAGAGTCTATGCTGCTTTTTTGCAATTTTTTTGTGCTTGTGAGGTCTTTCTGTCGAATAGGCTTCGTTTATTTGAACAGGCACCTTCCAGTCAATGTATTTTGAATTGAGGATAATTTTCACTTCTCCAATTAAAGACTAACACCTAGGCTTCGTTTATTTGAACAGGCTTCTTCCAGTCAATGTATTTTGAATTGAGGATAAAATTCTCTCCTACCGTTTATGGCAACCCTTGATCTTATTGTCAATAAACACTTCAACGAGGGTTTAAATATATCGTCTATTTGATATGTTAAGTCTTGATGTGACATTAGCCTCTTCATGAGCACCTTTAAAACGATTCTGAAGCCTCTATCGTTCTTTTTTAAGAGAAATGTGATCGTGTATTGTACCGATTCAATCATTTGGCATTACCAAAAGAATTTCACCTTTAAGCAACTTTTATCAAACCTAGTTACCTAGAGCTCTAATTAACATCTTTGATATCGACTCAGTTCGAGTGAATCCCTTCAATCGCTGATTTGAATAGAACCAAAATGGTGGATGTTCCTTTAATCGCGAGATAGCTCAACCCTCTAGTTGCGCATAATCAGTTGGCTTTCAAATTTTTGCACCATATGCACATGGCCAGTTGAAATCAATGACATTGTTGTCACATCAATGATATTTTGTGATAAGAACATTAATGGCAGAATAAGCTAGTCTCAGATCAGCAAACGAAAAAAATTTACAGCATTGCGTTTCATGCCATGGCGGCGCCAGCCATTAAGCCCTAGGGGGGACAAAACAAAAAATATGCCCTTTTAGGCCATGCCCTTTTAGTCACCAGAAAACGCCTTTTTACCAACAGGGAAGGGAACCGCTATGAGTAATTTTTGGTTACGTAAAGGCAGTTTGAAAATCCAAGGATTATGTCACATAAAGTACGCTGTCAAAATAATACCCCTTCCCCAACATTTTCTCATCGAATTTAGGCGAAGTACGAAATCGATTCTGCTGAGAACTGGGGGGGGGGGAGAGACGTTTCCCCCCTGTCTCTCCGTGGCGCCGCTACTGGTTTCATGAAAAGAGTGAAGTATGGTTTATATGATGCAAGTATGATATGTAATAGCCACGAGAAGGACCACGAGATGTAACTTTTGCCCACAGGCCTCCACCCTAACGCGCATGTGCATGTGCTCTCAAACAAGGCAGCCAATTTCAATTCATATGAATTGATGTATCATCTCAAACTATGTGAATTGCTGTAAGATGTCAACCCAGGTTTAAATGTTCACTACCTGTTTTCGGAGTCTTATCACCAGCCAATAGACTTAGCTCTGCGCATCTTCAATCAAGAATTGTTTGATTCATTAATCAAGAAAAAAGAGCTACCTAGAAACGTTATACCTGTAATTTCTCAGGTTCTTGCTTGAAGGCAAAAGATATTTCTGGGTACCATTAATCCCAACAGCCAACAAGAGCCCACGGAATATTACTAAAATCACGCAAAATTTGTTTTAGGTAGTCATAGGAATATAGTAAACTTTATTTTTTTCAATATCTTGTGCATAGAATTTCGATTTCTGCTTTTTTTCTGTTTGATTTGCTTTTCTTGAATTTCTCCAGTTTCCTTTTAAAATTTTCAATCAAATTTTTCCAAACCTCACGGACAGTAGCTACCCCCCCCCCCCTTCCTACTCAGTCCCTTTTCAGGGCATTTTTTAAGGATTTTTGAGTGGTGGAGTATTTTTCAAAGGGGCCCACGCTCACCAGCAGAAATTCTTTGGGGTTTATAGACGCCGCTTTCGCTAAAAATTCCTGACTTGTTGCAAGGGCTAGATGAATTGTTGCGCTCATATAACTTGAAGACAACCATTTTGTTATGGTGTGTTCTTACACTTACGCTGTCCTTTTGAATTGCAGTAGTGGAGCTATTTCATCAAGACATCATGATAATAGAAAAGGGAATATTCTTATTCTCTTTGCCAGCAAATTTGCATTATGTTTGTCCTTTCGAAAGGGTTCCACAGTGGCCTAGACATTTGGGCGTAAAAGTAGCATTTTGCATATCAGTGTGGAGGGGGGGGGGGGGTCCGTGGGGCCTGGTTGGGCAATTCCTCCACCGCTGAAGTGCCCTACCTCTTTACTGCTAATACACTCTTTTTTATAAGAACCAGTAAATTTAAGTTCAGGCTGACTGTTCTTAATTTTTTCGAAAATCTGAGGCTGGATTGTTCTTAATTTGTTCTTAAATTAAGAGGGTGTAAGCAGTGCGATTGCTAGCGTTTTCGCTCTAGGGAGCTGCTGAGGCCTCATTTGCCAACAAAGTGAGTGAGACAACCTTCATTTGCCGAATTTTGAATATTCACCGAAAAAGCACCCGAACATGGCTAAAAGTCCTCGTTTTTGAGATAGAACATTGTTCAAATTGCATTTTACAGTAGCTCAGCCTTATTTTGTTCTTAATTGTTCTTAACTTTTGACCAATTTTGAGACTTGTATTCTTATAGAATTGTTCTTATAAAAAAAGAATGTCTTTTTCTATGGAAGTAAAGCGAATAATAGCAGCACTAGGAATGAATGAGTCTTTTTTACTCTTATGTTTCTTTTATCAATGATATTTCGATAGTCATCCGTTGTGTTTGAGAAAGTAAAATGAAATCAACTCTTTAAATATCTGATTAATTAGGGAAGACATAGCAGATGTTATGTTTTGTATCACATAGCGACTCTACTATCCAAACACTTTTTTATTTGATTTTTTGCGTGCATCATGGCATGAGTATAATCCAAAATTGGGTGTTTTTTTAGTTTCTCATACCCACGAGAAAAAAATTGTTTCGGAAAATTTTAATCATAATACGTAATTATGACCAAGAGACTTCCCTAATAATAAGAAACAAAGAGATCTCCACTCATGGAGTCCCAAAGACCCCCACCTTCCCCCAAAATAGAATCACACCTTTTTGAAAGATTTCAGATATATTATTTCTTAAGATTGAGAATGATTTATGGTTGAACCTCTATTTCGGTTTTAAGTTGACTGTGGAGTGCTCATTTTGACGGTTGACTAGCTTCATGATAAAAATGCTTTAGCAAATTGAAATTCAACACAGCCAGTTGTAATAATGAATTTTTAATTTGGTTCAAGGTTCAACGATGATCTGGTTCGTGAGGTAAAGAAGCGAATACGCGAAGAGTTGTCAGCCAGACACGTGCCTGAAATTATCTTGCCCATAAGAGACATCCCGTATACGACGAGTGGCAAGAAGGTTGAAGTTGCCGTGAAAAGAATTTTAGCCGGTGAACACATTGCTCAGAGGGGATCTCTTATCAACCCGGACTCATTAGATTTTTATTATGGGATTCTCGAAAATGGGGAGAACGGAAAATCTGAGAAGTAAGGTTGGGTGTTATAATTTTTATTTTTATGCTATTAAATTATGTTGTACTTGACAAGTATTCAATATGAAGCTTGATTGCAGAATCCTTTTTGTCACAATGTATCAAGCTATAGGCTATTAGCATCAAGCTATAATGCAACAAGAATATTGGGCAACAAGCTATAGGCTAATTTCAACCGTAACGAATCCAATAAGAACCCGTCTAAAATGGCCTAATTGTGACCTGAACATTTGAGACTGGAATTTTATATCTTAACTATGGATAAGAATCTCAACGGATTGAATAGGATTTAAAAATTTTCCTATGAAATGGTCGGCCATCTTTCATCTTCTCTGATAGAAGAAATTATTTCTAGGCCAGAGGAAGACTCGTTTATTATTGATAACAGAAAATTACAGACCTAAACCAAGATAAGATTGTTTCCCTAAAGGTATCCTTTGATAATTAAGTTTAATATATTCCTTTCTTAACTTGAAGTCCCTTTTAGCGTTTCTAATTCAGTTGCAAAGCGAGGTTTCATTCAAATATATCTTCAGTGACTCGATCAATCTTATCACTACAACGCAATTTGCAGAGCCTCGATCTGGGCCCAGAGACTGCCTCGACCTGGAAGTTGAGAAGCAGCTTACTGTTTTACTTTTTATATTCTGTTGCTTGCAGCACTTGAATAAGCCATCATGAAGTTGAATGTATAACAAACTTATGTGGGTTTAACTTCCAAATTTCTCAATAGTGCCGAGGCTCTTCATGTTTACTTACGCCAGCATATCTTGCGTACAGTCCTTTGTTTATTTTTTAGAAGTCTTTAGTCGTGAATTTTCTTAAAGCTTAAAGGCTTGATTATATAGTAGCTATATATTTTGACATATATATTCTCTTGAAGAATTTATCAGAAAAATGTTTAGATAACGCTTCCTTTTTCTCTACAATACTGAATACAACTGTTCGACTTCAAATTGTAGAGAGAATATTGGGAAAATTGATCCCAGACTCTCGTAACTCTTCGAATCGTCTGCTGTTTGTCAGAATTTCTCAAAACATAACATACTTAGGCTAATTTAAAACAAGCTCGCCCCAAGATCTGAGGTCTGCTGTCATTGAGCTCAGCGATGAAATTTAAAGTAAAACGTGTATTGCATTGTATGTATGCATGTGCAGGAGATGGCGTCTTCTTGGTATTCCAAAATAGACTTTATGAAACTTCGGTCAAATTTACGACATCTCATATGGAAAATTTTCCTGAAATGTCGTTTTATCGGACCGTTGCGGACAGTACCAGCCAATGGCATACCTCCGTGTTCGCTCCTCCTGAGTGACCCCAAAATCTGCCTTCTACAGTGATTGTCATGTTATCTATAACAAATTTGGCTACTTACAAGTATTCCTTGCTTCTTCTTTTCTCTCTTGTGAACAAATTGGCTTGCGAATCTCTTTTCTTTTGGGCGCATTAATCAGGAAGAAGAGAATCTTTTATTGCAAGCGACCATTGATGCAATTTTCATTTCACTCAGAATCCGACGAGTCTTAAGCTTGACTATCTCGAATTCTCAACATCGATTGTTGCTTGTTGATCGGATTGCAATCCAATGCAAGAGGATGATTGGCAATCCAATTTGCCGCCTTTCTTCCTCGTTCTGAAATCCCGATTACAAAACAGAGGTCGTCCTGCTTCTCACTGATTTCTAGCTAAAGCAAATCTCCATAATCGGTACCTAACCTCTGTTTACAGCTAATGGATTTCCAAATGATTTTGTTTACGAATTTCGCTTTAACTGATGATGCTAGATAATAAATACGGAAATCGGTCGATGGCACCTCTTCACGTAGCAAGGGGGTTGACGCGAAAAGGTATCTCTGTAATTACGAAAAGTTTTTCATGTCTTTAGAAGAAATGCATTGTTGCACCGAGAATATTTTCTTGTGCCTAAACCTGTCATAGATGCTGTTTAAGGCGGCCATTGCGAAACTAAACAAGCGATTCAATGTTAATAATCACCAAACTATGTCGAATGAATTAATCACAAAAGTGGATGTTTTTCGAACCTGCTCTCTCTCGCCTTTCATTTCCCTTGAATTAATGATAGTGATTTATTGAGGGCAGAGCGCTATGTTGCGAATGTATCTTTCTTCAGAGTCTTTCAAACCTTTTTAATTGACGGTTTGCCACAATGTACCTTCAAGTACTGTTGCGAATCACCGTCCCATTTTGTAGAGTACTAAAATTAACTTGAGGGGACCTTTCTTCTGTCCTAAACTTGCTCAATATGACACATATTTTTAATAGAGGAGACATGTTAGACCAGATTTACTCTCCATTGCATCGACGTGCTTGTTACAAGGCTTACACCTTCTGCAGAAACGTTTAAGACAGAATCATTTGCCCGTATATTGTTTAGAGATTCCGTTATTCAGAAGTGTCCGTTGTTTAAAGATTTCCGTATTTTGCCATTGTCCGTTTCTAAGGGATGTAAATTGCTCAAAAGTGTCCGTTGTTCGGAAGTGTCCGTTGTTCGGAGGCATCCGTTGCTCAGAAGTGTCCGTTGCTTGGAAGTGTCCGTTGTTCGGAAGTGTCTGTTGTTCGGAAGTGTCCGTTGTTCGGAAGTGTCCGTTGTTCGGAAGTGTCCGTTGCTCGGAAGTGTCCGTTGTTCGGAGGCATCTGTTACTTAGATATATCCGTTGCTCAGAGGTGTCCGTTGCTTAGAAATGTCCGTATTTTAGATATGTTTAGAGCTGTCCGTTGCTTAGAGGGTGTCCTTTGTTTATAGATGTCTGTTGCTGAAAGATTTCTCTATTTTAGAGGTGCTCGTTATTGGAGGTGATCGTTAATTGTTTCATTTCATATTTATTTCAATTATGCCTTTCAACAGTCGCAAAATTTTTGAAACCTTCGGCATAACTCAATTTCGACTATTTTAGTGATTAAAGTTAAAACATCTAATGAAACACCCGCCGACTGAATTCCAAATCTCAAAATTTAATGAAACACAAACAATGTATCATTTATTGAAACAAGGATTAACATACACAAAGCAACTCAAGATAAGACCTATGATGCAGGCAAACTGGATTCCGCAAGAAATTTCTTCAAGTGTGTGTGTTCCGGAAAGGTTTTTGTGAACTATGCAGGAACCACGAATGCATTTGGATTTTGTGGCTTGGTAGGAAGCGTGTTTTTCTAATAATATTTGTTTCTTGCAAATACCTTCGTGCCATGGGCTTAAGCAGCATAACAGAGGATAATTGCAATGGGTGGTTCGTTTTGGCTCAAAATGTATGGTGTGTCTTTACCTGGATATGCAGCACGCAGACAATCAGCCCAACACGGTCTCATGAGGGTTACGGTTCGTAGCACTTCCCAGTGGCGGATTTAAGGGGGGGACAACTAGGGGCAGTTGTCCCTTCCTCAACGAGTTGAAGCAAGTCTGGCGCCCCTTTTTTGGAAATTGTGCGCCCCTTTTGAAGAATGAGAATTAGATAAAAAAGGTTCTTGGACCGATAGGTTAATTTGCTTCTAGGATTTCCTCAAAGTTATGTTGTTTATTCTGAAAAGGTACCTGAAATTATTGTATACAGCGTACTCTTGTAACCAATTTTTGAAAATTTTTCAGCGCCTCCACTACCAACTGCCCCTCCTTCAACATAACGATGGCTTTTTGGTAGCTCCTTTTAGTACTTCTCCTCTCACCCACCAAACGATTTATTTCAAAATACTGTAGGCATTTAAAAGAGTTTGTAATCGGTACTGTTCCACGGCCAAGCTATCGTTTATGAAGTACCATCTTTCTTCAGCCAAATTCTCCAGCAGGCAAAAGACTTCTGTCAATATCCCTACCTGATGACTATAATTGGTGAGACGTTAACTAAGGTTTCAAAATTCAAAGGGGAAGGACCCTTTCGAAACTAGTCAGTTCATTGGACGATGCACGACGATACAGTTTGTTTTAATCATGCTCCTTTGATGTCAAAATTCAGCATTCTAGGAAGGATACGAGATCTGCTTCAATTTATGAATTTGTGTCCGTTATGTTTGTTCAATCATCGCTATATCAACGCATTTTCGCATATTTTGAAACTATCAATCCCCACAAAATCTTCTTGGTTTGCTTGCAGAAAACACTTCACATTCTTTATAAGGCTTTTAAGTAGCTCTGCAGTGAACCTTTGACAAAGTAATCCTGAAAGTTTTATACTTAAGTTCTTAAAATTAACGAGTGTAATGCACCAGGGCACTTCATAGCATTAAAAGTGAAGCTATCTGAAACACGGGGCTTGCTGATATCTGTTGCGGATCACTGCTAGGTATCTATAATTTTTTATCATTGAAGATCTTTCTTACCCTGAAGGCCTTGCCGACACTCAGGTTTTTTTTAGATGAAAATTCTGCTGGTTGATGAAAATGCATTGGGGGTAAGATTAGCAGAGCTAGAAAGGCACGCAGTCCTAAGGTAAAACACGAGTAACTGATTGCATAGAAATTGGGGGCAGGGAAAATATGAACCTAAATACTCAGGATTCTGTTGAGTTTATTGGAAAGGTAACTTGGGTACTGAGGCTTCGCAATATGATATTCACACTTGTTGTTTTGAAGATAAATTTTATAAGAGCACGAGCGTCGAAATAGTAAACAAGTTAAGAACAGGGTGAGACTGAGCTACTTGCTGTAAATGTGATTTTGAACAATTTTGCAAAACCCCCTTAAAAAAGGATGTCTTATTGACTTTGTTGGCAAATGAAGCCCGAACAGACTAGCTAGCAACTGCACTGTGTACGCTCTAATAATCTAAGAACAAATTAGGATTAATCAAGCCTCAAGTTTTCGAAAAAAGTTAAGAACAGCCAGCCTGAAATTCAATTTGCTTGTTTTTATAAAAGAGGAGTGTACTAGAAATGGATTTGATAGTCTCGAATCTTAAACATTTAAACCAATAAGGCTTGATTAGCGAGTTTGGATATGAAAGAAGGCGAAGCAGTTCATGATCCCCCTGACAACCCACAGTGTAAAACTCAAACCACATCCAAGACTAATCTAATCAAAGTAAAACCAGCTTTGCACGGAAGGCTAAGAAAGTGCGGGAAAAATTTGCAAAAAGCTGATTACATCGTCGTCTTAACAGGATTATTCATTGGTTACTGATTTGATACATCGTGTCACTTGGGAAGAATTTCGCTCCTAGGTGTTAAGTTTAACTACCATGCTTTTCAAAACTCTTCGGAAAGCCTACATATTCCCCAACGTTTTTGCGTTTTTCTTTTCCGTGTTTAAAATAGACTAACCCCATCCCTTTGAAGCAATGTTGGTTAAAAGAAGACCATTAAACCAAAATCGTATGAAAAAGGTTTGTCGACAAAGTATGTATTGACTTTGCTATATGACAACATTGTCAGAGGTGGGGGATGGAGGAGGGGTGGATGCATGCAAATATCGAAAAAGTCACTAGTGTTCCTAGAGTTTTGGTATTGATTGTGAAAGCTGCGATTTTATAATTATTATTATTATTGTTACCATTTTTCATAGGCATCATGATTATTGTTATTATTATTGCTAAGATCAATATACATTATCGTCATCATCATTATTATCCTATATAACAATCATTGTCATGGTTACGAGCAATCTCGTAATCAACAATCATTAACATGATGATTATTACAATTTTCTTGCCACTGGCAGAAGAGGAGAAAACGCCTCGTCAGTCACCAATTTTAGATGCGGTATTTATGAAATTTGATAAGATCACTACGAAACCATGGTGCCTTCGCCATTTTGAATGGGGCAGCAACCTCAAAAACCCACGCGAAACTTGTGGCTTTGTAGTCTCAAGAAACAAAGTAGCCCTCTTCAGCTTGATAAATGAAACAGCAAAACTAACAATTCGTTGACCTTTTGGATGAGAAACCTGTCTGCTCATAAAACCGAGGTTTCTGCCCTGCAAAAGAAGCATCGCTGCGACCAATATTCATCAAGCAACGAACGAGGCTGCGTTTCAACTTTATTCATGGGCCAACGGATTCCCTTATAGACTTCATCCGTTTATTAATGATAATCAAATCTTTTCTTTACATTCTTGCTTACAGTATAACATTACAAAGATTTTGTAAAAAGATTATGTATGACTTTTTATCCTTTAATGTCTTTTGTGGAGTTTATGGGATTGCTTTAGGACGTACACCCATAAAACGCATATCCTCCTTTCAGAATTAGATTGTAAACAGTGAAAAACAGTTATACTTTAGAACTAACTTCAGTGCAGAAATATCACTATGGAAACACTGTGCTTTTCATCGCTTTAAAGCGATAAATTGAAACAATTTTGGCCCTGAACCCTCAGAATCCCAGTATTCAAAATCAATGGCGTTTTGGAAAGTAGGGGGTTTCCAAACAAGGAAACCAGAAAAGGATTGATTATTTTGACACTGTTTTTGAGGGTTTATAGTAAGAAGCTAAGTTATAGAAAGAAACTTGTAATGGTAATAGAAACGACGATAAACGACAATAAAGAGCTTTTCTGTAGAATTTTTGGCAGGCACCACAGAGCAAGGGGGCTTAGCCCTCCCCCACTTTTTGTAAAAAACTCTAAGTATTAAGCAACGAGCCACCAGTAAAGCCTTTTTTGTTCGGTTTTAGCCCCCCCCCGTACTTTTTCTAGACTCCCTCATTTTCCAAAGCGCTCCGCGGTACCTGATTTGCCAGGGGTCTTTGGGAGAGGAACCTTGGGTCCAGTGTTTCATGACTGTACCAAGCTTGAAGGGATTGGGAAAAAATAATGATGAACCTGGCATTGTTTCAATATGGTCTCTTTGAGGAAAAGCTCCCACCCTACAAGTGAATATTTATCTATAATGCTGCTCTTGCTAAAATGGGGGAAGGGGCATGTCCAGTTCCCCATACCACCACAACTGGTGTGAAATATTGACCACGATTTATGGCTCACAGACATATTTTGTGAATAACTGTTTAAAAGGCTGAAATGATCTAACGGTAAATCTCTTATATAATTTACATTGATCGTAAAGTGTTTTTAAAATCTCGATCACTGTCATTTGTGTTGTTGATGATTCTTAATCATTTAATTATGATTAGTGAATCAATGATTATGAAGATCATAATATGACTTATAACTGGATTCAATGACGCCGGAGCAGGAGGGGGGCGGCTCCAATCTTGCCCTCGCGAACTAAACAATTTTCTTTTTTGCTATTGTTATGTCCTTTGTCTTGATGCTTCGTCCATACCTCCACCTCTCTGCTCTGCAGCTCTTCCCGCGCCTCTTACTATGTTCTGACTGTTAGTAGCCTATGCCCCAGTCCACGCCGAATGTAAGATTTTTGAGTTGTGGAGAGAGGAAGGAATGAATGCCACAGGTAATTCTAGAAACCAGAATTACAAGCAGTAGCGAGCATTCTCTCTCTTGCCTTGAATACCAATATGAATTCCTCGTTGAAATTCCCAGCCGTGACCAGAGTCCACCGCGCGTGGTGTTTGCGGAGAGATGACAATGCATCGAGGATCGGATGACACGACCCCCTAATGGTCTGCGAGTCCGTCCATAATTACCGTTCTTCAATTGTATTGTCCTGCTTTGCGATAACATTTTGAAGTGGCGCTTTGTTTGTGTACGCACGAAACTATGAACGAGTGTGTTTAGTGTGAACTAACTGTATATAACTTTGGAGAAGCCTGTTTCAAAGGGTTTAAATATTCATAGCTTGAAATCGATACGAGAGACTTACTTTGGATTGTTCAAGAATAGCTTGTCACAAGCCGATGAGGAAAGAAACATTGGATAAAAGCTCTATGTGATTGAATATCGATTCGGCTGCTGCATTTAGAGAACCACGATGTTATTTGAAAGGAAAGATCTCGTTGAATTGGTCAATTGACCAGGTCAAGTGAGTGGTGTAACCAGCAACTGGGAGAAAGGTGAGACTGCTTGATTTTCATCTTGTACTGCTTAATGTTTTCATGTCCGAACTTGATTTTAGAAAGACAGTAGAATTGGCTAGCCGGAGTAGGTTACATTTTGTTTTGGTGCATTTTTAAAGTTAGGCTAACGGTTTAGCAACTTAAACGATTTGTCAACGATCCCCCGAAAACATTAATGCCAGTGACATTTTCTTGCCCTTAAAACGACTATGAAATAGTCGCGTATATTTAAGAAAACCATGAGATTTTGGATGTTTGACCCCTATAGTTGACGGTGGGTGCTGCTTCCTGGACTCCGCGCTGTAATCTTGAGGTCAAGGGGTCATACGTGAAAGGAGATCAGTGTTTCTGACATTTCAATACATAATTCCCAGGCTGCCTGAAATCAGAAGTACCGAAAGGGGCGTGTGCTGGGATTGCCATCATCTGAAAATACCCGTAAATTTTGTGATAGGAACTTCGTTGAAACCACTCCATACTTTCCAAGTAGCGCTCCTGATCTTGGCGGGAAATTATTTATGCGATGTATATTGTCAGAATTTTCCATATTTATAAGGATGAAATATAATAAAGGTGAACATTTGCAACAACTGCATAGCACATTTCGAATGCCATTTAGTGATAATTTGCTTGAACAAACAAGTGGACAATGCATATAAAGAATTTAAAAATGTTGGAGCTATCGGATATACTGGTGCCGAGGTTTTTTCACTGTTATTAGCTTTCTAAAGTTGTTAACCTGTTAATTTAGGATAGAAAGGAAATACGAAATTAAACAACTGGCGCCATCTTGGTTTAGGTAAGGCCTACATGTATGTTTATTATTACGTCATTCAGGGTATGTGACGCAGGGTTTGAAGCAAGAACTAAACCCAATAAATTCCGCTCAAATTCCTTTTGCAAAATGCTCTGCTTCTTATCTACTTTTACCAGCAGGTATTCTTGAAGCAGGACAGTGACTGCTTTTGTTTTTATTGGGAGGGGGTTAGGGGCTCGCGGGTAACTGACCACTACACTGCCGTGTTGCCGGTAGTATTTCTCGCAGAGTTTCGTGCCTTCCTTGTTTCATGACCTCTTGTAAGCACTACAGTCAGTCCGAGACAGCTGCAAAACTGATCGTTTCTCCGCTTTTTCTTTGTTTTTATGTCCAAGTAATATGAAAGGCAATACAAACACGAGCAGCTGCCATTACTTCATTTCCAGTGACCTGAGAAGCTTTGCGTTCAGTGTTCAATTTGATTAGCGCTAAATTGAATTAGTTGGGCATGGACATGCTGAAACGAAAGAAGAGGACAGAAAGGCAATGGAAAGCGAAACCGCATTAGCTCAACTTCAGTTCAAAATATATAATGCTTATTAGCGAGGAACATATAAATGTATGTAAAATATCTTTGTACGTGTAGAAATTGGTACAAAAAGGGGTATGCTGAAGTATTGGGGATGTGTGGTGGTAAAATTTTTAATAGACATTTTGGAAAACTGGTTTCAAGCTAATGGCTGATGAATTTCAAATTAATTGAGTACTATTATTCTTATTAGTTTAATCTTAATTTTTTCAAGGTTAAACATGCTGTCGCTAGATTAATAAAAATTAGTATACTGCAATGAACGAACTTCGGGATTGAAAAACCCTGAGACAAACGATTTTGATGACCTCTAGGTTTGGTTCATTGATCAATTCAGCATTTAAAACAAAAATAAAGAAATGAATTATTTCTCAAAGTTTTTCGGAGTTCAGAAACCTCTTATTTTATACGGGCTGGTCCACATTGCATGTCCAAAATTATTATGGATTTCGACATTTTTCTTGTTTATTGCAAATGGTCTTTTGGTTTGCTTTTTACATACGAAATTGAATTACTTGCAGCTCGAACTTTTTACACATATTTCATCAAAATTTTAATTTTATTTGTAACCCAAGCTACGGCGACATGCCCTCGCAGTAGTACGAATGGCTTAGGGATTTAACAAAAGAGAGACTTTAGGAAAGTCTAAAGCTACATTGATGCTGGCAACCCTACATTTTTGTCGAGCAATTTTAGCATGCATTGAATGGCTGCCATCCATTGATTCTAATGATTATGATGACAGTGAGAATGTTTAGCGACTCTGCGGTCCTTGATCCTTTGCGTCTTAGCACGTGTGAACAAGAATTGTCATCAGTGTTAACTGCAGCAGTAGGGGATCCTAAGCACAACGGTGTTACCAACTGCGAGTTTGCTGTTCATGCGCCCTAAATCTGTCACTTTCTAATGTTTTCTTACGTGGATAGCCACGGTTCGCGATGCTAGCATATTTAATTACGCTCTACAGAAGTGACTTGGTAAGCTTGTTTACTTGTATTTACGCAAGAATTCTTGGGTGCAAGTGTTTTTGTGTTTTTGGTGCGAATTTACAATGTTTACTTCAGTTTACAGAATGATATGACCCAGCATTATCTTGACATGCTAATAGAGTTTGTATTTTGCATTTCCATGTTCTTGGCTCTATCGTTAAATGTTGTATTCGTTGAGATTTTGCTACTTCCATTCTTTACAAACCATAGAAATTGATAGGATTAAATATCTTTGCTTAGTAAACATTAAAACATATTTGTCTGCCTATGAAATTCTGTCAGTTTTTGGTTGTTGTTTATTTTGTTATTTCGCGTATTCCATACATTTAGGCCTGTGCATATTTCATCCCCAGGTGAACGGAAGTGCGACAGATAAATCGGCCACGAAAATGTAATTCCACAAAGCCACAGTCATAACGTACCAATAAGAAGCAATTTGGAATGAAAGCAACTCCACTCGACGCCCAATGATGATCAGAAAAATTCTTATCATATTTGCAGTCGCTGGTAAGTCGAGATTTCGTTGAAAAATAACTCAAAATTAACAAAGAGTATCTATTGTCCTATCTCTGTTCTATATAAGCCAATAAATCACGCCGATAGTGTTATTTGTAATGGCCAGTTCAGGAAAAGTGTTATGGGATGTCAATATAATCAGGAAATTTTTAAACCGTTTTTGCAGCGCCATTGCCCGCCTTTCCAGGCTAAGTTAATTTATTTCAAAACACAATTTGCTTGCAAGGGAATTGGTCTAGGGGCAGTTCACTCTTGGAAAAAACCAATCCAATGTGAGTTCTACGGATTTCCACTGATAAAACAATGTGAGTTCTACCAAAGGTGTACGGGGTTTGCTACAAAGAGTGATTTGCCTCTCGGAATCGGCAAGGATTAAATTTCCAATAGAATTTTGCTAGAGATTCGGACAATGAACAGTGGGAATATGCAGTCTTTTGGGGACGTTTTACCCCGAGATCCTTCGTATTTCTCATACCAGGGGCTTCGTATTACTACCTGATATGACCCTTTATCTTAAATGTTTAAAGCGTTTGTTATGAAAAGTTATCGTTGTCATTTGGAACCAATTTCCAAATAATCTCTGGATTTACACATGCACAGCCATTAATCGTATCCATTTGTGCATATCAAGAATTCAGTTTATTTTCTTCATTTTTGAAATCTTTGTTCAAATTTGTTTTCTTAGTATCCAAAACGCATTTATCAACTCATTGGAATTCTTAATTTATATCATAGCCCATAAAGTGCCCATCTAGGAGGAAGAGATAAAAATACATAAATGCCACCTTCAGAATCTCAGGGCACGCGCCACTGATCCTAAACTGGAGGGGCCAGCAACGTTAAGAAAGTTTCCTCTTACCCCCTCTAGCCCCAATTGTGGCAAAAATTTTGCTGACGCTGTTTTACTTTGGTTCAATCTTTTTGTTGTTATTCAAAGGTTTATCTTTATACATAATTTAAGCTGTTTTTATTTAGCGAAAAAGTCCATGGTCGCCCTGCCCCCCCCCCTTTGGCGTGGGCCCTGAATCTCATCTATGATCAAGAGCAATTTCAGTAGGCTGCAAACCTATAAAATTTGGTTTGACATCATTACACTCCAATTAGAACAAGGCTTTACTGTGGGTTGCCTCCCCACTCCAATCGAGAAAAATGATCATGATTTTTATAATGTCATTTTTAAGCACCATGAAAATAAACACCCCCTGCCCTGGAACAGCTGAAACGCTTTCAATGGGGCATTTCAAAGTGGAACAGAGGCAGTGGCGTGACGCAGTTTAGGGCGTCCCCTCAATCAAAGGTGGCAGTTTTTGCCAAGACCCTCAGGTGACTCTATCGCCCCATGGTTTAAAAGTCAGGCTCTTGAGAAGTGAGAGAGCCAGAACGAGGTTAGGATTAATTACTTAGATTATAATGATACGTCTTGCTATCAAGGAGGGGGGTTTTGTCTGTTAACATACTCTAAAGAAGTGTTTGTACCTTTGAGGCTATGCTTAACATTCATTTGAAAAGTGGCAGTGTCAATTAAATCGCAACTCTCAATACAAACAAGCCTTTCCCACGCAACGATTGTTTGGACTAGAACTTACAAGCAACGGTAATCGGGGTTTTCTGTGGGTCTTTAGAAATTATGATTTAAATCTTCCGGTCGCATGTTCTTACTTCATTGGAACCATATTGATCATCTGGAGAGACAAATGGGCTAGTATTATTATCCTCATAGTAGTGAGGTATAGAGGGTCGTTACCGAAACACCGCACTGATTGTAGTTGAGCATAGAGGGGCGGTACGGAAACATGCGTACTCACTGTAGAGGGGCGTACAGGGGCATCACTGAAACAGTCTTTCTCGTGAAGCAGTGTAACAACGTTTGTTGGGTATGTTACCCATAAATAGTGTATTCATAAATACAGACGCAGCTGAACAGAAAATTGTGTTTTAAGGCATAGTAGAAGAAATCCAGTTTTTTAGTCTGAAATGAATTATATTAGGACTATGTTACATTGAAGCAACGTAACTGGAAAACTCTCGCTGTTTTCTCTATGTTTCTCAATCCGCCAACTTGTGCTTGCGAGACAAAAAGGCCTTTGTAGTTACCATAGTAACTCTTGCCTTTATAATCAGACTATGTCATATACACTGATTTCACCTGAAGGAAGCTTTGTGAAGAGAAGAGCCAGAAAACGAGTTCAAGAAAATGTGGATTTTCGCCAAAGCGACTTTTCCTTCCTGTTTCTTTATCAACTTGTTATCCTTGTTCCCAGTTTCTGAGAAAATCTCTGCTGGGAAGGAGCATCACATGTTTTCAGATAATTCAATATGGCGCCCATTGCTTGTTCGCAGATTTATTTCACTTAAATAGGGATTGGTGCAATAATCTCACAGAGATTTTCAAAAGTTCTCTTTACCGCTATTACGTTATTGCAGAGAAACTGTTGCTAGCTTTATACAGTCATCTTTTTGTAACGAGAGTAGATCTCATTTAGTGGTGGTATAATATAAAGTTTTTCATAAACATGGGTCTGGTGACTGAAACCAGAATATAAACCACTTGTCATGGCTGAAGAGCAACACTGTTAGTTTGAATCATCTTGATGGCTTTTCTATTGCTTCAAAAATATCTTGTTCTCGCTAATTTCTCCTATATTGCCGTTAATTGGGCCACATACTTTCAAAGTTCCTCTAACATTGTTATAAGTAATAAAACGATCATCTTTTAGCAAGTTCCTGCCAAGAACTTTCAGTTTGAACATCTAAACGAGGGGAATTATCAATTCTCAATGGACTTTCATCGTATGGAAAGATGATATAACAGGGTATCACTGAGGGGACATAGGGTTAGTGCCTACTTAGTCATGTCAAAGTCAGGGGTTTTTTAGGTGACCACAGTTTTTTCGAAGGGGATTAAGCTGTGGGGGCAAGCCTTTGTTTCTATAAAGAGGGGGACAATAGCACATTGTCAAAACTATAGAAAGGCACTGGGTCTTGAGGGGCAGTTGTCCCCGTATGTTACAAACGGCCATGTAACTGAATAATGAAACCTTGGTGTTCTGACACTGTGTTCAACAAGCCTGAAAGTGTTTTTTTTTCAGCAGGAATCCATCTCTTGTTCTCTTTCTTCAGTCTTCACCCCGATTTGTTCTGTATGTCCGATTTGTATTATCTGCAGAACTTTTTGATAAAAAAGCGCACCTGGGAACTAGTTTATGGAAGCCTTTTTTCCGTGACGAACACCAGTATGCTACAGTCAACACGAGCAGTCAGTCAGTTGACTGTCCTATTGTAAGCCTGCGTGTGTTTTGGCGTGAACAAGACACACAAAGCAACAGATGGAATTACATTCTTTGCACAATGATGATTAGGTTGAGCAGATGATTTGGTTAGATTGGTTTCAAACCCTGCAAATTGAATTAAAGAGCCACTGAATAAGATAAGAGTAAAAGATTTATTTGAGCAATTGTTGCAAGTTTTGAACCCAGACTGTCGGGCAGATAAAGACCTTGGCTGGAATTTTCCCTTCATAAACTTACAATGCCGAGAAAATTGACTAACTGATCTATCTCTTCCCATAACAAGATTACCTTTGCTTAAAAGTTAAACTTATAGATTGATTTCAACCCCTTTGTAAAGTTTGGGACTTTTGAAGCAACGAGAAGACCAACATCTCTCTTAGTTTTAGATTAGTGCATCGTTCTCATAACTTAGACTAGATGGTTCAAAGTATCTGGCCCCAGTGCTACTTCTTCTACGTAATCAGTTCAATTCTAACCTTCCTCGAGGGTACGAAATTAGCTCTGGTTTCTTTTGAATTAACCATACGGCTTTTGCTTCCTGTATACAGCGTTTCTCTTTCTCAAAGATGTTATTTGCGCATGCTCTTTGACTGTAGCAAGTGAGTTGTGCACTGATAAGAATATTTTCCCCGTTTGTCTTCGCTATGGACAGTTGAACTCTGGTTCTTTATTTGTCCATTCTCGACGTGCCCTTTAAAGAAATTCCAGTTTCTAGCCCTCGACCATTGTTGTTCATTTAAGCAACTGTTTATTGTTTATTTTGTGTAAGTTGATTTCACGTGGTCAAATCATACGAGTGTGTTATTTTATGTGAGTTATCAAGACACTGGTATTTCCAATATTGCAGCTGAAATGCATCGACACTTCAATTTTCTGTTGGAACCTAATTACCTAACGACTAATTTATTCATTCAAAAACGATTTATTTAGCTTTTAAGATGTCTCTCGTTTTTACTTGTTGCAAATGTTTCTTATAGACCGTGTTCAGCTGCAGGTCATATAGCCGTTTAGTTTCACTGTCATACCTCGTTCGCATTCATCTTAGAAACGAGGCTGTCAATTAGTATTTGATACCTTTGAACAAAGAACAATGATACTAACATAATTAAAATCGACATTTTTTTCATCAAAAATTTCATTCAACAACGCATTCTAATAAATTACTCGGTGTAAGGTCTGTTTGTCTCTAAAGAATTCGGGCAATTGCATCACTAGCCTTACAACCGTTGATCGCTTGATAATAATGGTTACACAGAATTGATTCCTTTACAATTTGTGGTATCTTCATAGGCGAATCTTATTGCCATGGCTCTGCTTATAGCTTCCATTCGATAATATCACATGGCCAAGAATGTGCGTGAAATGACTCTTCTTACTTAATTTATCCCTTCAGAACCATAGTAAGCCTTCTGTCGGCAGCGTAATCTCCCGAAGTCTTCATCTGTCTTTAGGAATTTTCATCTGTCATGAACTCAAAGCCAATATGAAATAACTGTTGAGTATGTCTTGGGCGAAGAACCAATAGTGGCTATGAAGTGGTAATCAGTCACTCACTGGATCGCCCAGAAGAAGAGGTTTTATTAGAAACACGATCATTCAAAATTTAGGAAGTCCTTATACTCTAACATTTGAATTGAATGGTTCATGAATTTCATTAGCTCTTTATGCATGGATCTTTTTGTTACTTTACAAAATGACAGC